CTTAGTACAGGTACGTACTTAGTAAGAATCCTAGAAGCCTATGAAAGATTTACCGTACATGATAATGCTGAAATGATAGATTGTCTTTGTCTGTTTGTTCATGATAAATATGTATCCGTAAAAAAATTATAGTATCATAGATCAAAATTTAGGTTGGCATATCGATGCAATAGATTCTGGCTTAAGTACTCCAGTGAGATATTTTAATCAAGATTATATATGATAAGCTTTACTTGTTAATATCATTTGAACTTGATATATTATTATCTCATCCGTGAATCTTGTATAACAAAGTTTTACTTACCTTAACTTACATCTTTGAATTCGATGCTCGTTTTCTGATGAATGATGAAATATTTAGTTCGAATTTGATACATCTTATTGAAAATTTCATATCACTATTGTTTACGGTGAGTTTAATAATCGATTTAAATTAATTATTCACATTAATGATGTTCCCGTTAACAGTTTCACTCTATTATATCAAGGTAAATTATTCTGTATTAAACCAGTTATCGAACAAATCTCATCATTTAATTATAGTTCAGCGCAGTATTTCTACGGGTGAAATGCTAAGTATATCATTTGAAATTGTCTTCACGATAGTCGATTCATTTTTTTTCTTCACTATATAAGATGAATTATATATTCATAGAAACCAACCATAATTATTTTCTTACTTAGTGCATCAAAATTTTAATCTAACCAAAAAATAAGTACACTTTGTACTTTAGGAAGATTGCTTTAGCGTCATACTTTCTGACATCTCAATAATACGTTGAAGTTTACATCAAATATAAAGAAATTATTAAAAAATAAAGAAAAAATATTTGAATACGTAAAACTTTGATTACTGGATGGTTTAACAAACAAGCAGTTAAACCGATTGGTAATTGTCAATAACTGATACTCATCCTACTTCTTACTGGAATCTATTTTATGTGAAGACGTTTTTTCAAAATCATATTGTTATATAGCAAGTTTTGTTTTAACTATAAAATTTATCAAAATATATTTACTTTCTTAAAAAATAACAGCGTGTCTCATTCACGATTGTATGCATCCCATTGTAACATGTTCATATTATAGTTCTAGCTCTATTGGCTGCGCAAAAAGAACTGTATTGGAAGCTTGCATTATTCTACTGATGTATTCTTAATATGGATAATAAAATGTTTTAAATTTTATATTCAAATGTATTCATCAGTTTACTATATTAACCAACAATTATTGAGCGTTGTGTTAAGTGATTGGTGATCTAATATTGACAATATATGATGAATTCGATATGATTGGAAAAGTTTTTGGATAAATTATGAGTTCTTTTTATCATTGTTAAACAGATATTCAATCAACAGCATTATATCATCTTTATTAAGCCAATTTCTAACTCAGGTGCTTTTTTTCTCTTGTCACATATGTTAATTCATCAATTCAGTTTCAAACTGAGCTAAATCAATCATAGGTGTAGATAATAGTGCAATAACTGGTGTGCCAAGTATTCAAACTCAAGATAAAGTTCTTTGCTATGACCTTTCTATAGTCAAGAATTCAGGAATACTAATAGTTTACCTAATACAAACTTTCATTTACGTTAGTAAATTGTATGATCTTCATTAACAACTAATGTACAGAATCATTTTAAAACTTACTTTAGTCATAAAAAATAGTATCTGTTTCTTTTTACTCGACTTAGAATTATGCAAAAAAATTGGATATAATATATTTTTCGTTACCTATCCAGAAATATTTTGGTAGGTCTCTTTATATTGGCCTTGAAAATAATATTTGATTGAATTTACCATCGCCTTCCTTTTTTTCTGTTATTGTATTGATGGTTGCAGGATAATATGTTTATGCTATCGATGAAAATCTCAAATGTGACAATTAGATTTACAAGAACGCTGTCTACTGGTTAATATTTAGAATTATTAATTTTTAGAATGAAGATATTACATTAATGATTATATACATGAGCTAGTAGGATAAATATTGTCTGCCATGATTTATTGATTTCTATTTGTTTCTACTAATTTCTTTCAAATGATTTTTTATTTACATCTAAATAAAATTCAAGCTTTTATTTGTTTACAAGATTGAGTTAATCGTATTGAATAAAATATGACTTGTTCGAATTTCAGAATCGGACAAATATTGTAGAGACGCAAACAGGAATGAAAAAGATCTTAATACTATGAAAACAAGCTGTTAGAACAGTGTTGTTTATCAAAAGAAAATTGTTTATTCAACCTAGAAATGTTTGCTTATGTAAGGTGTCTGCAATGTTTAGCCGAGTCAAATAAAAATATGTGACTATTTCAATGTGTTGCTTTTACGATATTTAAACAAACCTGCAACAGTGTGAACATTTTTTATGTTCCCTTGTCCGAATGAAAAATGAGTTGTTTACATAAAATACAACACATGAAAGGAATTTGATGGTTGTAAAATGACTAAATTAACTAGTAAATGTGTTCTCTACTACACTTTGAAAAGAGAAGCGTTTTTTACGTATTTGAAAGACGCACAAACACGCCTTTGAATCAACTAGTAATTTTAAGTCTAAGAAAACGCTACTTGAGGTTTATGTGTGATGGCATAAAGTCGTTTTTTCTAGAAAAATTTTAAAATAACTTCTCGAGATTGATTAGAATTAACCAATACATTATATCGCTCTGTCTACTGTAGTTTCTATTACTGCTAATCGATATACATTTCTAGAAAAAAAGTCTCACACTCTTGTTAGGTTTAATTATTTATTTTTCTTTTAAATTGAATGCTTCGCAGTTCTTTTTAATCCTTTTTGGATATTCCATTCATATCCCTATTTCGAGAAAGATTAAACTTCAAGATAGATAGTATCAAGTCAACATATTCGTGTCATTTTCTTAAACATATATCGATGTATGGTATTGACATGCTATTCTTTATGTTCGGTTCGATTTACTATTATATTCTACCGATGTCAAATCATTTGTTTTTAGTTTTAAGATTGACTAAAGCAGGAATTTCTGCATTAATAATAGTCTCAATGTATTTTTCTTTTACTGCCTTTTAAAATAAGATTGTCGGAAATAATTATTAAATAGCCGTATTAAAACCAAAAGAATCTAAATAATGATACTTATCTTATTTTGTTTTACATTCAACAATAAAAGTAGAAGTGTGATTCCACATTTCCACATAGTTATATGAAATATTTAACGAATGATTCTTCTTTTTATTGCCATTCTTTCTTACTTATCGAAATCAGACAAAAATACTTGACTTTAAAGAATTTTCAGAAGAAAATGTTGGAATACGAGCGGATATGTGAAATATGTTGTTTGCGTCTGATCCTTCTAATTTTTAATGAACTGATTTGATAAATATTCAAAAAAAAATGATTCAATTTCGATATTTTTATGTTCACACACTTTCTTATTTTTCACACGACACACAAAGCTGTAATAATCTATAAACATACGAACCTAATTGTAAAAGTAATAAATATGAACTAAAATCAAAAATTTATGTTGAGATGATTGCTTATTTTTGAATACTCAATATTCTCATTTGCTCGGCAATCCAAATAGAATGCAAAGGGATAAACATGAGAAAGAATAGACAAATACAGAAGAAAAAACAAATCTCTCCTTCGTCCCTTTCCCCTGTGTCGGCAATAAGAAAAAGATTGAAAGAAAATTACGAACAATCTATACAAGGAAATCTATACGTGTACAAGTATTAGTAAAAGAAGAAACAAAGCAAAATGATTCATTTGAGATATAAATCACATGGGAAAACTACCATGCTATATGCAAATGAAACCAATTCAATGATCGACAGTTTAACATTCAACTCGACTGTTCTCGTACCTATGAAATACAAACGAATATTATACATCGAATTGAGTTCCAATTAATAAGAATGATGCAATTATTAAGAGATAAGTACCGTATTTGACAAAAAAACAACAACATGTGAACATATAATTAATTGTTGACAAATAAAACTAATATTATTTGTCATATGTGGGCAACAATATGGTGTATTTTAATGTGATGTCAGCACAGTATTTCATAATTGTTCTGTTCAGAAAATTACATAAGCTTTTTATGAAATACGCTAAGTTTGTCTGTCGAAATTTTTCCACGAAAAAGCTCAAAAGCTAACAGTAAAATACTTTTTTATGTATTTATTTTTCTAGGGAACATTTGAAAGAGAAAAATTTAATACAAACAACTCGCTTGTCCATTATAAAAGCATATTGAAGTTATTGCATGATTTATTTACTAAAGTGTTAGTTTGACAAGGTTGCTTGGGTGCCCATCATGTTGCAAGTACTACAATCTAGGACGATTCTAATAGATGGTATGCTACCAATTTAAGATAATCTAAATGAAAGCGAAAAGATTTTTTTAAATCCTGAATTCTGTTTCAATAATATTTTGCCACTTTTGACAGTTTATGGTTGAAATACATCAAAATAAATTTTGAAAAATACTTGAAAGATATAAATTAATTGAATAAGCACGATGTTATATTTCAATATAGTCAAAGTATTAATTCAGTATTTTGCAACCGACTTTTTTTGTCGGCATAGAATACGATTTTCTGGTCAATATTTTTATCCCATTGAATTTTGAAATATTTCTTCGAATAATCTACTCAATTCAAGAAAGCTATCAAACAAATGAACCTGAATTCATATATTGATTTGCTAATATAAAACTGCATGAATCCACTAGAAAAAATATATTGATTTGTCTTATAAAAGAACAATAAATATTGTAAGAAATAGATACTCGACTTCAATGGTAATAAGCTTCAAAAGTTTGTTATACTTTACATGTGTGTCTTGTATCTTTGTATGTTGTTTGTGTAAGACATACTTGCTTTTAACAAGCAGAGAAACAAAATACCAAGAGTTATCACCAAATCTGTCATTAGTATACATACATCTTCTGTAATGCGATAAGTAACGTCTTTCACATGTAGTATTATCATTTTGTTGTAAAATGCATCTGATAATAACGCTAATGCATGTTATTCTTATATTTGGTAATGATGTCGAAGCAACATCGTTGAAAAATCATTTTCAATCTTTCATTAAAACCGTGGCTACTGTTTACCATTCAAATTGGCGTCAAAATTTTCTGGCAAAAAATCCCTTTGTTAAAAATCGTTTTAAATTAACAAATACGGTTACACATTATAATTCGTCTGATTTTCAATATCCAATGATTCTTACTGTTGGATCATGTCTTGTCCATAGAAATCTTAAAGTAGCTCGAGCTCGTTATAATCTATCACAGATTTATGTTGATATATTAAATATGAACTATGATGAATTACCTTCAGATTGGGCTTATGAAAATCGAGCAACAGCACGTGTAGCCTGCAAACGTGTTTTACGACGTGTTCGTCGTAAAAGTTTATTTGATGAAAATTTTATCGAAGAAACATCCGAAATTGTACATATCGAATGGATGAAACGTAATGTACATCGGTCACAACAAGAATTAATGGTACCTTATGTTAATTTAACTGATGTAGAAAAAGATAAAGATCGACAAGCTGTATTGATTGCCTGTCGTTTGTATAATGACCATTATTTATATTATATATTTAATACAACTCCAATTCATTTTAGTGGACATATTTTTGAATAGACAATAATTTTCAGTTTTGTTTTCTTTCATGGTTTTATTTTATCTTTATGATATTACTGTGTTTTGCTGGAAATTGAATATATGTCTCTCTTATAAATTATTATTTTCAATTTAAGGGCAATGGAACATAAAGCTCATTTATTTTTCTCTATTGTAAGTGCGACATAAGAAAAAGAAAAGCGATCATGCCAATTACTATCGTTATTTAGATTGTAGAATTCAAATTCTTGTCATATATAACATTTCTACTTTGACCAATAAATAAAAGAATATTTTATAATTGAACCATCAAAGAAAAATGATTTTATATTCCAAATGAAAATATATTATGATCAAGAAATTTACAAATAACAGAGAAGAATACATGCTACTGTGTATTTAAATCGTATATATAGAATAATAAAAATATCTAAATATTTTTCTATGGTGATGTATCTTATGATAAAACAAGTGACAGTGAATAGTTCATCGTACTTGAATAATTGTAACGACTTCGATATTCATATATATATATATATATATATATATATACAAGGGGTAAAACTCATTCTCGGCCATTCGAATGGCTAGGAATGGCTGGGAATGGATTGAAATGACTTCCACTTAATCGATATGAATTAGTACCTTGAAATAGCTCAAACTATGCAGGAATATTACAATTTATTATAAAAACGATTACCGCTATTTTCGAAGTACTCTGACTAGAGGAAGTCTGCTAAAAAAACAGTTATAATCGTTTTCCAATATACATCAAACTTTTGTGGTTTTGATTACATTCTTTTGTTATTCAGATAAATAAACATTTGTTATATCCATAATTACGAGTAGTAACTAACAAAGAGATCGATAATTATGCTGATAGGACAAAATTTTAACAGAATCAACTCATGAGAGAACCTTCCGAGATGATCCACACGAATTTCAATGAATTTTTGTCCACGGATATTCCACGATATCCTAGTAAACCTACTGAAAGAATTTGGATACGTATCACTTCTTTAAAAGTTTTGCTCATTTTTCTGATTTTGTTTCGTTTTGTATTGAGTCATCAGGTGCGTAAAATAAACGAATTTTGATCTGAAAATTTATTAACAAATAGGCTGACTCAAGAGTAAAACACCATGAAACGTTTAACCAGAATAAAAGAGCTCCTTTAAATAGACTCTTTCAAAAAGTTCTGATTGCCTTATGTTTTTGATAAAATGGCTTATTCTTCAGAAAGTGAGTCTATTTAAAGGAACTCTTTTATTGTGGTTAAACGTTTCACGGTGTTTTACTCTTGAGTCAGCCTATTTATTAATAAATTTTCAGATCAAAATTCGTTTATTTTACGCACCTGATGACTCAATACAAAAAGAAACAAAATCAGAAAAATGAGCAAAACTTTTAAAGAAGTGATACGTATCCAAATTCTTTCAGTAGGTTTACTAGGATATCGTGGAATATCCGTGGGCAAAAATTCATTGAAATTCGTGTGGATCACTTTGGGAGGTCCCCCAGACAGTATTTTCACAAACAAAAGAAAAACAGATGAAGTAATTAGAAAATTGATTCGCAGCTAGATGACCATTTAAATAGTACCGCCAATTGTATCTTTTATTTTCGAATTAAATGGATACTATTAAAACAAAATCAATCTAAAACATTCAAGTTACCTTTTTGATACCGATGACATTCTATTCACTACTATCGACACCTAGATCGTATATGATTTTCTTATCCTTGAAGGTGACTTGAATACTATGCAAAAGCAGTCATCAAGTGTAAATACATCAGTATGATTTAGAATAATTCGGAATCATGGACATCGCAGACTACCAAGGTTAGATGAGAGCAATAATTTCAATGACTTAAGTGATCAATCAGAAGATTCTTACAAAAATTAGTCGGACTTAAGGGGAGTATGCTAGTTCTTGTTTTTAAAATTGGCCAACAGAATAGCAAAATATTTTTCGAAATTATAGCATTAAACCTCTGCTATCCGTTCAGAATATAAGTACTGCACGTTTCAAATCAGTTTTTTCTCACCGCATCGATGTTTCATGTATTTGAATTTGAATTTGAATTTGGATAATGTGTAGTTGTTAATCAATGAAAACCTATTGCTTGCCCGAAGCTTGATATCACTACTTGCAAATATGCGTCAATTAAGGTTTACATGATGTAAATCGACTTCAATTTTAAAACTAACTTGTAGAAAATGGGTGACCGGACAACTCGTTGCAAATGTGTAACTGTTGTATTACGCTGTTAATATAACTATAACTTTATAATCAAATATTTTACATAATTTGTTGTATTGATTAAACGGTAAAGAGAGACAATACAATGGGAAGAAGAAGAAAAACATTAATAATAATAAATAAATAAATAAGAGGGTTATTGTATCAGATCATCGTTGACTTCTAACTTGTAAATTAATTAGATATTAAATATATCAATAGATATTGATAGGGAGAATCTATAAATTATAGATTTAATTTTAATCCAGATCAAAAAGATCACAAAATAAACGTTTTTAACTATTGATCTAATTTTTATTCAGTTACATTTAATCACAGAAATCAACAACTTATTATATATTATTACAACGAATTGTCCTAGTACCATTTACATTAGTTTTAAATCAAGCTTGATGTCATTAATTAACCATTAGTATCAAGTGTGAAGTGTTTAGAAGAAAACACATCTTAAGTTTCATGTTGCGTGAAACTGCTTAAAAAAGTCTCATGAAGTAAAATGATCCATCCCTCTTTGAGGATGTTTTAGAATAGGTCGAAGTATATTGGAATGGATGGAAATGCTCGAATGAGACCGCCCATCGCTACCCTTGGATATATATATATATGAGTTGTAGCTAGTTATTTTAGACAATGGATAGGTTTTATTTTGATGATTGAATGAGAATATATTATGAATTGGAAATTGGAAAAACGGTATCTTTCAATAGAACTTTAACATGCGTATATATGTTTTTTTCCGTTTTTACCTATTCTGTTATCGTATCAATTCGATAAGAAAAAAGAATCATGTAACTTAGGAAGAGGTTCGAGTAATTTGAACCTTGTGTGTAACTGCTGCCATTTGTCAATCATCGCTCATGCTTTTGTACTGAAAAAGTCAAGTAATAAGATCTTACATATACGAAACGAAATAAAAACGAAAGCATTTGTTCCATTCACTCGTTTTTTTTCAAGAGTTCATTTCTCCTTTAATATTTCAAATGATACATAATATGATTTGGCAAATTTAGAAAAGCATCAAAATTCATACACCTCGTTTATAATGTGGAAATCAATGATTATGTGTTGGATTCTACTCTCCTACTCCTATGCTAATAATCATTTTTATAAAGGGTAAATATAAATCGAATATATAAGGATAAATTCATATTTTAAAGTAGCCATGAGTTAGTACGTGTAGTACCAAAAACAAATGAACATCTTCAATTGATTCGTTATTTTGAAGATAGTCTTGGAGTAAGATTTCATTTATTTCTATTTTATTTATTTTTCAAAATATGAGTTTTTCTCTTTAGGTTGATCGATGGTCTGAAGTTCTTCAATTAAACCGTGATATTAAAATGAGTCTACCACAGGCACAAGCATCGAAAATAAAAAAGTTATGTAAACAATATGGAATTGATGTCACCGTTCTTAATAATGACTTAGATGGGTATTGTTGTTACTTCATGAAATTAAAAAATTTTAATTTTCTTCTAATTTATTTAGATTAATAAAAAAATCCGACGATATTTCTAAACAACATAAAATACGAACACGACGATCGACAAAAGATAAAAATTCATATCACCTTGCTGATTATTTAACATATGAACAGGTGAAAATTTTCAAAAATAAGTCAATCATCATTTTGTCTTTTTCAAATAGATTGTTAGATTTCTCGACGAACAACATAAACGCTCTCCATCGTTACAGAACTTCACATCGATCTTTTCTATTGGTAATACATATGAAAATCGATCGATATGGACGATAAGAGTATTTTATCTTAAAAATAAAAAACAAAATAAATTCTATAATTACTTTAATTAAGATTGGTAAACCATCTGCACGACGTAATATTTTAATGGATTGTGGAATTCATGCAAGAGAATTTATTTCGCCTTCCACCTGTCTTTATATGATTGATAAAGTAGAGTGTTCTTTTGATTTCTAGATGGGTACATCAAAACAACAAAAATTCCTCTATTTTAGTTTATTGATGAAGTGAACAATAGAAGACCATCGATTTTATCTATATTTAATATTTATATAATTCCATTGCTTAATCCAGATGGCTATGAATATGCTCAAACACAAGTAATTTATATTGTTTTTCGTTTCATTTAAAGAATTTCTTTTTTATTTCATAATTATATAGAGACGAATGTGGCGTAAAAATCGAGCACCTAACAATTACTATTATGGTGCATATTCAAATTGTATTGGAGTTGACCTAAATCGAAATTTTGGATATCATTGGATGGGTGAAATATTTTTCTCTATTTCTTGTACCGTTACTGTTTTTATTCTCGTAGAAAATGGAGCATCAGCAAATCCTTGTTCTGAAACATATGCCGGACCTAAGCCAGATAGTGAATCAGAAACGCAGAACTTACAAAAATTGATTAGTCAATCATCTAGAAATTGGGATGCTTATTTAACATTCCATTCTTATGGGCAATATTGGATCTATCCATGGGGATTTGCTTCATATATGCCTGATGATTATATTGAATTAGTAATTTTAAATCTTTTTTGTTTTTGTTTGATCTATTTAAAAAAAAATTAAATATATATCTTATCTTGTAGAAAAATAAGGCTGAAATTGGTTCCGAAGCATTAAAACGTGTAAATGGTACTTCGTACAAAATTGGATCAGCAGCTAATTTACTTTGTAGATTGATATGCTGTTTTTTCTTCCTTTATTTTTTTCTTCTTTTCATTTAGATGAATCAGCTGGTGGTAGTGATGACTGGGCTAAAGGTGTTGGTCAAATAAAATATGTTTACACCGTTGAATTACGTCCTTCAGACGATTTAAATGATGCTCATGCACATTTTGCTTTTATGCTTCCATCAACATTTATCGAACCAGTTGGACAAGAAACATATGTTGGTGTTAAAGAATTTCTTCGATCACTCATAACATCTCGTAGACAAAAGTCTTTATCGAAAAATAATTATAAAAGTTAATAACTCTTTGTTTTGTTTTGCTAGTAGTATGATCTTACACTTTATCTTATCTTTTCGGTTTCTTTTTTTTTAAATATTTGCGCAGTTTTCTTTTCTGTTGTAAACATGTTACATGATAGTCATAAACGATTCATTCGGATTTGTTGACGATTGTAGAACAATTAAAATGACTGAAATAAATAAGAATAAATGTGAAGTTCCTTCAGGCCAACAACGAATATTAATTACTGGCGTATCAGGTTTGATGGGAAGAATTTTATTTAACTACTTAACTGAAAAATATCCAACAAAGTATCAAGTCTTCGGAATTGATCAACATTTGAATATTTCAACACGATATCAGTCGATAAACATTGATAATATTAAAATAAAATCAATATCCTCTATTTCAACAGACAAGTTCTTTCAATGTGATATTACTGATAGAACTAAATTACATCAAATCATTCAAGAGCAAAAGATTGAAATTATTATTCATTTAGCAGCTCTGCTCGAAAATTATACTGATATTGATAAGATTTCACATGTTAATATTGATGGAACAAAAAATATCTTTGAAGCAGGTACTATCTTAGTCAACACACTTTTTTTTCTTAATTAATTGTTCTTATCATATTTTAGCTGGTATCCATCGTATTATATATGCAAGTTCAGTAATGACAGTTTTTGGTTATATTACTCAGGAACCATATCTTTCAATATTTCACGATACATTTGATGATGCAACGATGCTTGAAAGTCTTCAAAAAATAACCATAAAAGATTATCCACCTTTAGCTGACATTCAATCACCCGGTTGTACAGCGTATTCTCAAAGTAAAATCATTGGCGAACAGATGGCTACTGATATTGTTAAAAATAGTTCGAAGTCAATTATTTGTGCTCGTTTTGGATCGATCAATATAGATGATCAACCAGGAAAAACATGGCTTCGACATGTTTGGTGTAGTTATCGAGATCTATGTTCATTTATTGATAAAGCATTAGAAGCTCCTCAATATATTAGTGGCATCTACTTCATTATGTCGAATAATTATCGTCTTTGGGTTGATTTAGATGATGCAAAACAAGACCTTGGTTTCGTACCACAAGACGGTGCTGAGAAACTATAAAAACAAATGTTGAATTTAAGTTCAAAACTACTCGGATAGATTTCGCTTAAATTAGAAGCATAGCAGAAATGTATTTCATATAAAAATTAATAAATCTTTATTTTCTAATATGAAACGATAAAAAAATAATGGAGTCTGACATTCTCATGTAGATTAATAATTATTTAATATGAAACTAGATAAGATAGAACATTTTTCTATGCTCAATGCTTATACTAAATTATAGAGGTTAAAATATTCTATTGAACATATAAATTATGGCAAAAAAGAAGCAAATGAAAAAGCATTCAATGGTCTCACTCAAAACGAATTAGTATCATTACATCTCTATAGATTGAACTAGTAATGAAAGAAATAATTCTCTTAGCTCTATCTGAAGTGAGAGATCTCAGTATTCAACATCCTTCGCTGTTCTCGTATCTTTCCTTTTTTTCTTTTTTCCGTAGATATTATTCATCATAAATCTTCTTTTATTAATAAGAAATGTTCCATGGTGAAAAAATCTAGTCGATTAAAACATTAGCGTTCGTTATATCTTTAAATTATACAACTAATCTTTCATATCGAATTTCAAAAGAAACATTCAAATTGACGATTACAAAAAAACTGATTTATCTTCAAAGCCAATTGTTGAATTTTACAAACAAAAAACGAATGATAAGAGATGTACATTTGATTTGCTAAAAAAAAGGCTATACACAAGAAATATATTTTCTTCTACCAAAGATCAACCTGTGCCATGCACTTGTTTTTATATATTTTAGATGTAATTAATATTATAATTGTTAGATATGAAAGTCGACCGAATAGAAATGAGTTGTTTCTATATGATAAATTGTAAGATTTTAAAACTATCTTTATCTGAAGAAAAGAAAATAGATTTAGCATTCTTCAGACATGAAAATACGAATGAGTAACTCTATACAAATGAAATTTAATACTGTCAAATTTTAACATTTACAGTAATATGATTATAATTTCAAGTTAATACGCTTACATATTATATATATCTTTATAGCATGCAACTCTTTTTATGTTAACAAATTAAATAAATAAGTCAGTATATTTGAGTAGATTAATGCTTGGTTAGCTGTTCTCTTTTTTTTTAATATTAAAAAAACAAAATAAATCACAGGTCTACGTTGAATATCGTTGGTTGATTTCATGCTTCTCTTTTCAAAACAAAATGTCTACTAGGTTTCTTTGCTGGTATATAAATAAAACCGAAATAATAACAACGATAGACTTATTATTTATTTTGATATACTATACTAGTTGATGAAATAATTCAGTTACGAAATCGAATATGAATAGATTCAATGTATAGTAAGCTAGTGTGTTTTTGTTATCAAAAAAACATCAATATTGAAGAAGAAGGTGGAGTAGAAGAATCACTCAACTGAATAAATCATCATCGTTTTTTCTCTTTGTCGTCACCGGTAGTTATTATTATTGTTCTCTCCGATGTGTTCCTACTATTCGGTACCAGAGTATTGGTATGCATAAAGAGTGAAATCATCCGATCCCGACCTGACCAAACAAACATTGCGTAGGTTGAATGACGTAAGTAACGAAAAGAAAAAAGGTACAAATATATACATACATAAAAGCAAAAGCACTTTCGTTCTTGTTCAATACGTGCCATCAACAACAAATAATGATTATCATCATTTGTACCTCTTGTGCATCAATACACAGGAAGGAAAAACGTAAAATGAACACACATTTCTTTATTCTCTTTTTAGAATTCATGATGACGCCCATCGTCCATTGCACGTCTTCATTTATGTGCCTCAAGCGGATGAGATGAAATGAACGTGTATATGTAAGACAGGAGAGAATAGAGAGAGAGAGAGAGAGAGAGAGAGGGTGCAATTATCACACATACACATGCACATATAGACCTCCGTCGTCGGTCTGTCTTACTAGACATGTATGCTAGAGCTCAAGTAAAGAAAAAAGGAAAGACTTTTTCTCTCTTCCCTTCTCTTCTCTCTGTCTCTCTCTTAGTGTTTCTCTTCTCGTCTCACATTCATTCAGTCATCAGTCATGCCGTCGTGGTGCATATATTCCTCACTACTTCAATCTCTTCTGATTATTTTAATCATTTGCTTTGAAAAGAGTTTATCAGCAAACGATTATCAACATCAAATATTGAAAGCTGATGTCGGCCAAGATGTAACAATGTCTTGTATATTTGATGAAGAAAAAATTGAACAGGTTAGAAAAAAATTGTTGAGGATTTCCTTTTCTTTATTATATAGAAGACTCCTAGTTACAGCCAAATATTTTTTCATAGGATCGATTGTTTTCTGTATTGAAGAAGAACATCAGCATTCTTCTATATCTATACATCGTGTGGCAAACAAAATATAAACTATACGCGTAACGGATCATTGTTTATTCTTTAGTTGAACATTAGACGAGTGTGTCTATATCGATTTTCGATTATCCAGCTGTACAGGGAGATTCTGTTCATTGATCAATAGTATATGTGTATATATATTTTATGTCCGATATTGTCGACAGTTATTTTAATGAAAACTTGTGTATATTATATGCTATTGATACGTGCAAGAATTCTTTCTTTTCTTTTTTTAATCAACTATACTTTTCATGTCTCTGATGAGTAAATTTGGCGTAACATCATGCATCAGCTTGTTTAGCAGATTGACTAATCTGATAGGTCAGTATGAATGAAAATAAACTTTTATCATATGTCGCCTTTTCTGATACATTCAGTAGATTTTAAGAGCTCTTCATCATCTTCGAATCAGTCTTTAGTTTCCTTTTTTCTTCCTCTTCGATCAATATTATTGTTACTTTCAAGGAGATAGGTATACTTAAACATAAGTTAAGCATATTGACCGCACGGAAGCTCTTATTTAGCTTTCTTTTTTCTTTTTTCTTTTATGAAAAAAAAAAGATAACAATTTGGTCCTGAGACAATTTAACAGATGTTTGTTGATTAATTAGAACTTATCTAACAATGACATTCATTTCGTAGAGACAACTAAGTGTCTCTAAAAATTTGATGGATTTAATAAATGTTCAATTAGGATAAGTAAATTTTGAGTGATGAATTATATATTTGTAATTTTTTCAGAATAAAATCTTAAGATAAAATTATTAATATTTTATTTTAGGTGTCCTTCATGCGTCAGATGACAGGTGACATATTGTCACTTGGTTCAGAATTGTTTGTTCATGAGTTCTCATCGAATCAACATATTAAATTAATTCAATTTTCAACGAATCGTTTAGATTTAAAATTAATATCAGTTAATCAAAATGACTCGGGCATTTATACATGTATGTTTAACGATGAAAAATTAACATCATTTTTATTAGAAATATTTGGTAAGAATCTGTCATTCATTCATCTTATTCGAGACTAATAGAATATGAAACAAATTGCTTTTTATCTTCTTAAGTATGTTCTTCAAAAAAAAAAAGGAAAAAAATGGAAGAAAATGAATTATTTCCGTAGTGATGCAATAAAAAGAGAAATGAAATTTGACAAAATGGGTCAAGTTCATATGTTTCTTATTTTTATCGTTACTATTCATCAAACAATTAATAGAATTAGAATAGCATCATTTGAGAAAAAAAATCCAATGTTATCAATATTAATTTATCGTTAACGAAAATTTAAAAAAAGTTTCTTTTTTTTTTTTCGTTGTAACATGATTGCATATTGTGTGTATATATAATCTCATTGTGCTAATTGCAGGAGGTTCTTTCTCGTTTGTAATCTTGACAGGCATCTCGATAAATTAGCGTTAATGACGCGTCCGTATGGTGATCGATACGGAGAAGAAGAGAGATAAAAAGAATACAGCTCATGTCTTGACCTTTTAGACATGCATACACACATGAAATATATAACTTACGTTGATGATGTGTTAATCATTTTTGTCTGCATCAATATATGTTCAACAGAAAGAACTAAACTAGATTATATTACTCAAATATACATTTAAATAAGATAACCATGCATATAACAATTATATATATATATATATATATATGTATCTTTGGGCCAATTTCTATTCATATGCCTTAAGTTTATTGTTTTATATTTGATAAAAAGAAAAAAAAAAATTTTGATTTCTATCTAATTGAGACCGTTAGATGTGTGACTATCAATTTATATGATTTTCTTTTTTCTTTTTAGTCCCACCACTATTTATTTCTTATTCTCCACTGGAAGGAAGTGCTTCATATTCAGAAGGCTCATCTATGAACTTATCGTGTCATGCTTTTGCTATCCCTTCAGCAAATATAACTTGGATTTATCGAGATAAAAATAAACAAACAAAAAGTAATTGTTCAATTTGATAATAATCATTAATATGATTAATATAATTATTATTAAATATAAATGCTTTTTTTTCCAGTAATTCACTATGGAGAACATGTTTATATCTCATCACTTCAATCATCAGATAGTGGTTCATATGAGTGTATTGCTTCGAATAATTTTCATGCATCGATTAGTCGTTCGTTTTATGTTACTATCCAATGTAAGTTTTCGAAAGAAAGATTTTGTTTGCATGAGAAGTTTGGAAGAACAAGTCACTCAATCGATTGTGAAAGTATTTCCGTCCATTGTGAGTCACACTACTCAATTAGACTGTCTTTCCGATGGGGCCCCATTCAATTATGATAATCTTTTAGCTCTTTTTTTGTTGTCTTATTACGTAGTAGACTATTTCGAAATTAGATTGTCTCTTGTTGAGTATGTTTCATTCATTGTGTTTTCCATAGTATAAAAACAACAAGTAGCTTTTTTTTCCAATGATCATACTCTTATGAACAGTTTTTTTGGTTCAAATTTGATCAATGGTTATACTTTAATATTCACTTGTTCCATCTATACCTTCAGCATTTTATATCGAAATGTTAGTACGTATTATTAGATATTGATAGTATGATTCATTGATACCTATCAATCTTTGAACAAGTACCGAATAAGATCTGGATTGCCTTCTGATATTCTTTATTTTTTATGGATACTGAATGACTAATTAACGCTCATGTAAGCTCTTGTAAATGATTGAAAATTCGATCATACAAAATATCAGAAAGATAGCTAAGGTTTGAAATCTACTTTTATTATTGAACGATTCTTCAAGTCTTAATGTAACTTCACTATAACAGTAATTTTCAAAAAAAAAAGAATTTTTTCCTGTTAGTGTCTTCAACAATAGATTGAAATCAAACTGATCGATCTATAAAATTCTATTTTTGTTGATCTTCTTTCAATTGAGTAGGAAATATCATAAAGCAATATGTAGTAGATAATAAAAATGCTAGAAGAAAACATAATTTATGCGAATTAATTCATTTATTATTGTTTGGTGTTAGATTGTTTGATTCTCTTAGCTTTTATCATTTAAAATTGTTCACTACTCAAGTAACAGACCTTCTGTCTCCGATCATTTTTATCCTTTTCATGAGTAGCGTAATGAATAACTTGCTTATACTATTTAACAAAAGAAAACTATTTAGAAGGATTTAAATATTCATCTTGTCATTTCAATAAATGTTCATACGTGATAGAATTCAAGAACATAAGCTAATCTGAGAAGAAAATCATAAGAGAAATAGTTGAAATATCTTGTCTAGGGTAATGTTATTTTTTAAATAGATTTGTTTTTAAATTTTGTACAAGAAATAAATCTTGTTGAAAAAGATGATTTATTTCATTATTTAAAACAGATATTAATCATTAAGGAATATTTTTTTCTTACCTAATATTTTTAGAGACCATTCACGATATGATAGCTGAATAAATTTTAACTTCTAATGAAAAAAGAAAATCGAGAAATTCATTGATTTATTAATTAGTTGTAAAATCTCTTATATAGATTCGCCTCGTGTTATGATATTAAATGATAAAATGACAAGTGATATTCATGACACAGTTATAGTAAAATGTCATGTGTGCTCAAATCCAAAAGTGATTCAGATAAATTGGTTAAAACATGGGCAGATGATTTTGGATGTTAATATTCTTACTAAAACGCAAACAATTGATTCTTATCAATGTTCAGAGGCAATTATGGAAATTGTTGTATGTTAAAAAATATCATTTTTTTCCATAGAAACAAAATTTTCCTGTTGTTAAAATAGGATGTAAATGAATATCAATTTGGACAGTATGAATGTCAAGCAGAAAATAATTTAGGACAAAATTCTGCTTATATTGATATTCATCAAAGTAAATATATTTCCTTTAGATTATTATAAAATCTGATTCATTTCTTTGATTTTAAATAAAAGCGTCAAGAAATTTAAAATTAAAACAACAAGAAATGCATTCGAATGAAGTTAATCGAAATGGACGTACAGCTTTATTAATTGATAATCAACAAAAATTCGATAAAAATTTCACAATAACATCAACACGTAAGATTCTCTTCTAGCTATATTTTATCAAGTTTCATTCTTCATTAACTATAGAAACTCCTAAATGGTTATCAAATTCTTCTTCTGTAAATCTACTAGCTTGGTTCAATTATTATTCATTAACTTTATTAATATTTTGGATTCGACCAGTATAACAAACAAATTTAGATATAAATATGTATAATTTTCTTTAAATCGAATTAGTGTCATTAATGTAATCCGGTGAATCAACAAAAAGAAAGATTTTGAACATAAACTTCTTTTTTTTCTAAATGAAGATTGACAAGTGTTTTTTTTTGCTATCATGTGAGAAATAAAATTTAAAAAATGACACATTAAATTTAAAAAAACGATTCTATATTACAAATAGAAAAAAAGAGCTATTTTTTATTTTAATCACCGGCTTATTGGTTGTTTTATAGAGATTCAATTGTTTCTTGTTATTGAAGAAGGTCTATTATGAGTAGTATTGAGATCAAAAATCGGTTTATTAATTGAGAATAACATATAGATGAATCTATTTTTAATCACAGAATTTGTTTTAGAAGAATAATACTAATTGAGAAATAAATATTTACTTGGTGATATTTTTGTATTGTTTCGCACTACTGAAGAAGCGGCATTGTCATGTTGTGATCTCGTATGTTGAGCTAATAAAAAATTTTAATAAGTTCATGGCTTTTTTTGCGAGCAATAATATAATCTTACTGAATTTTTGATTAAAATCAATGTGATCAGAATGATGGCCAAGAAAATTTTCAGCTCGACATTCATATCTGCCGTAGTTTTCATGTAATGATTCCTTTTTGAATATATTAAAAATATTAAGTTGATTTTCATTTGAAAAAAAAAGTTTTTTCATTAACTTACACGAATGGTGAGGACGGTCAACAGACATTCTTCATTCTCGATTGATACTTGATTTGTATTAATAATAAATTGTTGTTCATTCAAAATACTTTTCCCATTGCGAAGCCATTCTGTTTGAGGCAACGGCATTGAACAGATTTCACAATTTAATTGAACAGGTTTTATAAAAAAATTAATGAATTTCTTGATCATCACACGTGGTGGATCTGAATAAAGAAGCAAAAGCTTTTTTGCTTCCATATAATTAATATCATGTGATAATATTTTCTATTCTTTTCTATTCTATGTGTTAACATCAAATTCAATCAGATTATTTTGATAAAATACGTGTGAATGTAGAAAAGGAAAAAGCTTTTTCTTTTCAAAGACATAAACTTAATTTAGATATTGATGAATAGAAAGACAAATTATTCAATGGAATATTGTCATGAAATTCTAGACAAAAAATGGATCAGACGACTTACATTGAACAGTGACATAGAATGAACGACTAATTTTTTCATGATATCCATTTGAAGCAATACATTCGTATGAACCACTATCAGTGAAGCCCAGTGATGATATATAAAGATCTTCTCCATAATGAATTGCTGGAAAAAGAAAATTTTTTTTTTCCTTTAAATGATTATTAATAAAATAGTTAATCACTTCTGGACTGTTTATTTTTATTTCGATAAATCCAAGTTATGTTTGTTGAAGGAAAAGCATGAGCATGACAAGATAAATTCATAGATGAACCTTCGGGATATGAAACAGTGGCTCCCATGGGAGAAAATGAAATAAATCGAGGTGGTACTAAACAAATATATGGATCAAATTAATATTAATAGAATGAATTCTTCTTTTATTCTTTTCTTTTATTTATTTCACAATAAAATACGACAAAATCTAAGTAGATTATATCTCAAATTTTTGTAAAGATATGAACAAAAAAATAAAGAATTCTATTGTTTTATAATCTTTTTCGGTGTTAATCTGATAAACTTCATTACGACATTTGATGCTCATTCTTCAACTCACTTGTTAACAACCGTTCTCATCATGTCGGAGATATATTTCTATGATTTGACAAATCCTTTCTCTTAATTTCTATAGATCTACTCAGTTAGATTATAGCAAATGTCAAGGTTATATAAAATCAGAAAAGAAAGAGATGAAAAAAACCAATCTATGACATGTTAATTATTAATCTGTATTGAAAAAGAATAATATATGAAATAATCAACTGAACAATTGTTATTCTTAACTAAAAATAAAACTAATAAAACTAATTGTTTATGAAAGAAAAACATTAAAAAAAAAGAATTGATGAATACTGGATCACTGGATCAAATTAACACACATGTTCTATCATTTCTTCTGCTTGATCGACCAAAAATAACGATAAAAAAATCGTCCTTCTCTACTTGTGACATACTCAAGTATTTATTTCTCATTCTAATATATATTCCTAGGAAATGATATGGTAACTGTAGTTCCAAAAGATTTCTTATCTTCTTATTTTAGGGGTGTTCTTCAGAGAGAGAGAGACAGAAAAGAGTACAGTTTTTCCTATTTTGTTTTTCTCAATCTAATGCCACGAATGGCAGACAACTAGTTTATTCTAGTTTGAAGATACTTACCAAATATTTCAAGTAAAAATGATGACAATTTTTCATCGTTATGCATACATGTATAAAGGCCTGAGTCATTTTGATTAACTGAAAAGATTTTTAAATCCAAACGATTTGATGAAAATCGAATTAATTTTATATGATTATTAGTCAAAGGCTTATCAATAAATAATTCTGAGCCCAATGATAACAGATCGCCAGTTGTTTGATGCATAAATGAAACCTTAAATAATGAGAAAGAAAGATTTTTTTGTTTAAATGAATTGATTTTGATTGTTTAGATACATTTGGCTTGTTATGAGTGAAGAGGAAAAGTGATTCTAGAATGTATTGAACTGGAGGACAGAAAAGTAACCATTTATTTCTAAGTGGTCACTCGCCTCATCATCAGTGAACATATGTTGAACGTGCTCTTTCATATTCTATTGTTCTTCTGAGGGCATCATCCCATAAAATAGTTGTCGAGTGTCCTTCAAATAACAATAATATTGATTTGGTGCTGCTTCTTTAGGAAAAACAATTTTATGTTCACCTTAAATAACCTTTTTCATATTAAACATATCTAGATACGTATATCAATCAGCATAAACTAGAGCCATTGATTAACTATGCTCTACTAAGCATAACAAATAGATTTACATTCATTAATCTTTTCGTCTTCTTGAATAAAAACTCACTTGGTCAAATTGTGATTCGTTTTCGAAAAAGCAAGAAAATGTAACATCTTGGCCAATATTTTTTCTTAAAACTTGATCCGATGATAATAAACGACTGAGCGATAAAAATAATATCATTCTGATAGTCATGATTGTATTTAGTCTATAGAAAATGATCGACTGGCACTCACTAAGAAAAAGAACGACAACTAATTGCTTACTTTTTCTTTTACTTCTGTTCAACAGATGAAGTAAAGGAAGACTTTTTTCTCTTCGTTCTTTTTTCTTTCCACCCTCTCTCTGCCTTGATGAATGATTATAAGTCTAGTTGTGATATTGATCCACTTGTACAATATTCGAAGAACAATTATCTTTAAACAAACAAAACTAAAGTAACTTTGATTTATTTTATTTTTACTTTTGTTTTGTTGACATGAACGTGATTTTTATTCAATAATTTGCCGACAAACGAATCGACTAACTAGATCATTGATAATTATTGACTATGACACGTGTCAAGAGAGAAACTCTTTGCCTTTGATTACGTCACCAAACAGAAACTTCGATGCCGAATTGAACTTTCCGATTACATATTTAATAATAACTAAAACGATCAATTGACTTTCAAGATAATTTGAAAAGAGAAAAAAAGAGAATCACTCAGTTAAGTCCGATCAAATCATTGCCTTAAAATAGTTTTTGATACTTTCTTTTGGAGTTGATACAATTGTATTTCATCGATTAAGTTTAGCTGTTTTAGAAAAATATGTTTTGACTTATTACAAAAAGAATGTTAAGCAAATCTTTTCTAATTTGTTAAAAAATTATTTAACATTTCAACAAATAATAATACTTTAAAGGCAAAATAATGTGCAGAATAAATACTACGGATATTGGCATCTCAACATAGAAAATTTTCTCATTGAGATCGCTCTTTTCATCCAGTGAAGAAAAAAATGCGAGTTGATTATATCTACAAGAAAATATTTTAATCTCATTCTATATGGAACAATTTAACAAAAGAGAATTCTATATAAAAAGTAAAGAAGATTAACAATAATATTTCACAAAATTATATTATCTATTCAATACGCAAGGTTTTATTCCAGTCAAACAGATTTCTATAGAATTCGTTCTTGTAACAGCACCAATTCTTGTAGTTAATGATTACAAAATAATCTATTTTTCGGTCGACAAAATAGAATAATCAAATAGATGCAAGAGCGACATCTTATGAGTAATCTTCAAAATGTAGTATACTTATTGATATTCTTATTTTTTATTCTTCTTGTAGATTTTTTTATCTTGAGCTTCAATTGAAAAAATGATTTTTTTTCATTTAGTTCCGCATAAAATAACCTTATAGATGAAACCGTAGTTGATGAGAAGAAAATTGTCTCTTCTGATAAGGTTCTACTATTCTTACTTGATTCGCATGATTTCATCGTAACTTTCGTTGTATGTTAGTACATTTTCCTTTTTGTAGTCTACACTTTTTTTACTGTGAGTTGACAATAAAATGTAGAAAAAAAACAAACATATATCGTTGCGTACCACTTCAAACGAAATATAAAATACTTGTCATGATAGGAAAAAACTCTTTGATAGCTATTTGATAAATCTGATAGATTTATCAAGAAAAACAACAAAAGCAGAATCATGAGAAACAAAAACTAATATTCGAATCATGTACGTAATCTAGTGTGAAGCGGATTATTTTGATAATATTTTTTTGTCCGAAACTGCAAAATCAATGCTAAATCGATTCCTTTTAATAGTTGAACAGAATCAGTATTTTCCATTTATTAAATATTAGTTTACTTGATATTGGTGCTCAACTCATGCGTTTTACGAAAAAGATATGCTTGATTCATTTATTTGGCGGCATGATTATTAATTGCCATCGTGTAGAAATGAAAAGATTACGTATCAACGTTTATATTTATACATGCATAAATAGACATCACGCGATATGGGCCTTGTTGGTCAAAGAGGAATCTTGTTTCTTTTCTACTAGAAGAAAACTTCATCTTAATTGGTAAGAAATTGTTTGTACCCTCCTACCTTTTACGGATTATTAAACTTATCACTGAAATCACTTTATTCATTCTGTGTTCTATTTTGGAAAACAATCATGTTTGAATTACAAAATTAAAAAAAGAATCGTGACTGATCAATCAAGAGACAAAAATCTGGAATCAACAATGACGGGAATGTTAATTATTCAAATATATTGAGATTTAACTGATCTACTTTGCAATAAAATTCTGAATTATGATGTGATAAGAAAGTCTATAATTGAATAATTGGTAAAATAAATGATATAATTGAAAAAAGGAATCGCTTTTGAAAAATTTGTATTGAATAGATATTAGAAAATGTATTCGTCAACAGATTAATTAATAATTAAAACTAGAATAAGATACGGCCTGTCTATTTTTTCAAGTGCTGAAGCAATCATAAGTTTGACTCGTATCATATTCGTTACTTTGATTATAGTTTCTTGAAAACAAATTGGAATAAGGCTCTATGCTATTAGTTGGTTCTTTATTCTAGGTTGTGAAGTAATTCTAATTGCAGGTTGGTCGAGTTCATGATAGTAACCTGATTTCACTGATACTATCATTTAATTTCGTCAATGTGGGGCTAATTGTGTTTTTTTTCTAAAAACTATTCAACATCAAACGAATATACACACCAATATTAAATCGATAGTTTTGATCAACCGATAAAAGTTCGCTGGCATATACAATGAGATGTCTAATTTAAGGTTTGTTATTTTTAGGTATCATTTAGCTAAATAATCTCGTGTAAGATGTTCGAAAATAGAAAGCGAAATAAAATTTGATCAGAGTTTTAGTTTACTTTATCATTCGAGTAAAAAAAACATGTATAATATTAAATTGCGTAAGTTGATTCGCTTCATATCGTCTACATAGGGTTTTACCTGACACGACTCTTATGGGAGAGTGAGGCATACTTAAAACGTTCACAGAAACATGCAAAAATCCACAACAAGACTTTTATATCCATCCAACAGTCCTTTTCTTTTCTGGCTTTATAATGTGTACAGAGGCCCGAAAAAACATGGTTTTTCAATAGCCGTGTATTTTTTCACAAAATCTTTCATATTAAAGTACTCTCCTCGTTCATGGTAGGTTTGTAATCTTTAACGAATCGATTTTTGTCTCTCCAGAAGCTAAAAGTCGGATAAAAGATTGAAATGAAAGTATTTCGAAACTTTACTTTATCAATGATAAGTTTCTTTTTTCTTGAAATATAGATCATTGCTACTACGATAACAATACAAACAAATACGAAACATAATAGCTACTTTATTTCTGAGGTTTTATTTTTCATATATTAACAAAATACATCTGAATTAGATGCACTCCTTCATTTATTACTGCATGAAAACCCAATTGATTCTTTTTTAGGGATTTTTTTTGTCTGTCATTAACATAGGCATACTGCGAAATTTCTCTATCAATGCACAGAAAACATATTTCTGACTGAATTTTGAAATATAATCTACTCCTAATAATCTTATTTGATAATGTATGATACTATCAGAGCTGCATACCGATTTAGGGAAAATATCGCTTGATTTCACTTCATGATACTCAGCTGAGTTTATTAAAACAAAAATGATTTGATATGACTAGCTCAAAAAGAGTACTGTATGTATTTTATATTTTCATCTTTAACTCAACATCTAACAACAGATTTGTATCGTCTCTAATCTGTTCTGTTACATATGTCCCTAGGACATGTCAAATCAAAATAGGAGAGAATTTTTTTTCTAGATGATGTTTGGTTTGAAATAAGAGCATATCATCGTCACACAAAAAGAACTCTCTCAGCGTAGATAATTAGCTAAGGCAATGCTTTGTAGTTCAAAGTCTATACTACTATCTTTAACAGAGAAGAAAAAAGATTATTAATTGGCGAGAAAATAAAAATTTAACTTTTATCTTTTCTTACTATAAAAACCAATATTTCGCCTCCATATGTCCATCCATTATCATAAAAGAATTTCACTAGAAATTTATTTTATATATGTTAGTTATTATTCGATGTGCACGTTCCTTCGTCAAAAATATTATGTTTCAAATTGACTTCTGGCAACTCTCAAAAAAGTTTGCTCTCATAGAAAAAACAAACGGTTTCTTTTTAAACATCCATGGTATGTTGATAGCTTGATTCAAAAGATTAACAATATGAGAAAATCAGAAGAACTGATCATATCCTGTAGATTTTAGTATTTGAAACAAATATTTTCCAGTCGATTGATTCATAGTGTTTCAAAGAAATGAAGATTATTTTGCCGAGAATAATATGTAAAAATTTTGAGTTCAGCAAAAATTTTACTTTAGTACTCGAGATTAATCTGCGCTAGACCTTCGACATTGTATATAGACAGCTGCAAACAGTCGATTGAAGAAATGGTGAAATGTGACCTGCAATTTGAATTCATAAATAAGGTATTAAATGCTATTTTTTTTGTTATATGTTTTAAAGTCAATATCTAGAGATTTGTCGAGTTTTGTTATGAATGAAAAGAAAACTTTAAATTAAGAAAACAAAAGATGGCGCTATGAAACAAAAATTAATCTAATCAAACTGTTTGTAAATTTTTCATTGGAACAGATTTATTTTTCATCTAATAGCATTTTTTTTAAAGTTTTTTCTCGTTCTTTGAACTGGTTCTCCTAGTAATAGAGACGTTTTTCCACCAATAAAAAATAAACGCAAAAGCAAATTTTGTTATTATCATGAAAAAGCGAAGTGGAGGAGCAACTCAATCATCATCATCATCATCACCATCCTCATTTACTGGTCGAGGTTTTTCAAAAGATCCAATGCCACCAAATATGAATCGCCGCTTTGAATCAAGAATGTTCTCAAATGAAAGACTTCAAACAATAATATTAACATCATTAATATGGATAATTATTGTTTTTATAGCTGTTTTAGTTACGTTTCAATATAGTTCATCAAATAATTGTTCACAAAACAGTCTTCTTACAAGTAAAACGAAAAATTTCGATAAAGAAACAACTAATTGATGAAAATAAATTCTAGGTGCTTTTTGTAATGTTGGTCAAGTATTAACTCGTTTTTGCTCAGATTCATATCAACCTGAACAAAGTTTTACTTCGTTTTCAAGTTAGTTTTTTTCTTCTAGTGTGTTCTAATTCATTTTTTTCTTGTTATTATTATTATAAATAGAAAGTCACCCAACGAATTTTGTTCAAAAACCATCAAAAGAAAATATTGTAAAGATAAAATTTCATGATGCATATGAAGAAGAAACATGCCAAAAAAATGGGCAATGTTCCAATGGCGAAGAAACTTTTCTAGTTCCTGATCAACGTAAATAAAAGTTAAGAATCACTTGTGGCTAAACCATATTCATTTTTAGTTTCACAAAAATATCATAATCCATCAAATTGGCCGGGAGAAATGGGTGAAGCTTATCTTCCACCTGAGCATCTCCTAGACGAGTCTAAACGTCGTTTTGCAGAAAATATGTTTGATATTGTTGTTAGTGATCAGATAGCATTAAATCGAGTGATGCCTGACATAAGAAATGAACAGTAAGAGTTGCTAATTTTCATTTGATTTTGCTTTATCTTATCAAAACAACATGATTTTAATCAAATAATTTAGTTGTAAAGCTCATTCAAGATTTGGTGGTCCGTTACCAAATACATCGATTATTATTGTTTTTCATAATGAAGGAAACTCAACTTTATTAAGAACACTTGTTAGCATTATTAATAGAACACCTTGGAAATTAATTCACGAAATTATCTTACTTGACGATGCAAGTGTTGATCGAGGTAAACATTTTTGTTCAAAGATTTTAATCTTGTATTAAATATTTTAAAAAAATTATTTTCTTTTTTTTAGAATATCTTCATGAACCATTAGAAACATTTATCAAAACACTTCCAGTTCGAACATTACTATTAAGAAATGAAAAACGTTTAGGTTTAATTAGTTCAAGAGTAAAAGGTACTGAGATTGTCAAAAGCTTAATATAATTCATTTTCGTTTTATTTTAGCTGCTAAGATTGCAACTGGAGAAACACTGATGTTTCTTGATTCTCATGTTGAAGTACTAAATGGATGGCTTTTATATTTACTCGAAGAAATAAAAAAAGATAGGTTAGTCATCGCTTGCGTTAGAAAATAATAATTTTTTGATAAAAAAAACTTTCTACGACTATCTTTGTCATTGATCAATTTTCCTATGAATATAGTCTAAAGACAAAGGGACGAAGCTGTAATGAAGCACTAGCTATGGTTCTTTTTAACTGATAACTTGTTTTAAAAGAAATTTTCAAATTAATTGAAATTAAACTTTCATAATCTTTAGAAAAACAATCGTTTGTCCAATAATTGATGTTTTAACATGGGATGCATTTCAACTATTACAAGGAGCAACTGATATATTTGGCACATTCAGTTGGAAAATGATATTTCGTTGGTCAAAAGTTCAAGGTTTCACTATGACAAGTCAAGCACTACCAATTAAGTAAATAAGATTTTATTGAACATAAAATTGTTTTTAACTATGTGCTTTTTTTCCGAATGTTTAGGACACCAACAATGGCTGGTGGACTATATGCAATTGATCGACTTTATTTCGAAGAATTAGGAATGTATGATGAGGGAATTAAAATTTGGGGAGGAGAAAACCTGTAAGTATTTTCTTTTTCTTTATTCTTCTTATAAAAATGATTTGCAAAACAATATTTTGCTTTTGTTTCTAGTGAAATGTCATTTAAATGTTGGATGTGTGGTGGAAGGATTTTAATCCATCCATGTTCACATGTTGCACATGTTTTTCGAAAAGAAACTCCATATAAATTTCTTGAATCTGAATCCGTATTTGTAACTATATTTAAAAATTACAAACGTGTTGCATTAGTTTGGTTAGATGAATATAAACAATTAATTTATGCTGTTAATCCTGATATAAAACGTCTTAATGGTGGTGATGTTTCTGATAGATTACAACTTAGACAAAAATTAAATTGTTCGTCATTTAAAGATTATTTAAAAATGTTTCAATTAAGAAATTTTCCATTTGATCATCGATTTATTGGAACAGTTTGTTTATTTTCAATATTTTGCAATAAAAAATTCATTTTTTCTCATAGATTTCCACATCAAATCATCGTTGTTTAGATTCGATGATGGGCCCAGATATATCGAAAGGACTTAATACACAAGTGTCAGCTCAAGCCTGCCATAAAGATGGTGGAAATCAAGTAGGAAATAACAAACAATTTTTCTATTTATCGTTGAATTGAATAAAATAGATATTTTTATATACAACGACGAATAAAATTCATTTTGATGAATTATGTTTGGAACCAGGTGATGGAAAGCCAACAGTCAATCGAAACATTATTTTTGCAATGTGTACTGATGATCGTATTCAACAACATTGGGAATATGATCAACAGGTTTGTGAATAAGAAACGAAATTATTGAATTTGATTTAATATAATTCATTTCCGTTTTAGACTCTTCAATTAAAAAATGAATATTACAAAGAAAAATGTTTAAGTGTTGCAGGCGATTCAAATGTCATTCTTAGTAAGAAATTATTGTCGTATTATTTGTTTTTCTTTTTCTAAATTGAAGTAACTCTTTTAGCTCAATGTGATATAAACGAGTCAAGTCAAAAATGGACATTTAATGGGGAAGTTGAATTATACGATTAACTTTATTTATATTTATAATCAAAATATATCAAAACTTTTTCTTGTTTTTTTTGTAACGAATCTCCCATTTGGTTTCTTCACTCCTTTTCTTTGTGATATTCATTTCGTTGTTCTTCTTAGTGCATACAATTTTTTTTGACATTCTTGAATTTTTACTCATAACATTTTTCACTTAATTTAGACTTGGTTAACTATATGCGATAGAACTCTATAGAAACATTTATTTGCGTCAACAAATAAGCATACGTCATTAATTACCAGTTTATATATAAAAAGTTTCGATCTATTGGCGACAAGGAAATCATTCGATGTTTTTCATTTGATTTCGTCCTTAGAATCCCATTTTTGTCTCAGACTATAAAAGAAAAAAGTAAAAGTAAAATGTACTTCAAGTATACTACATTACACATGGTGGTAAAATTTAAGTAGAAAAACAACAAAAGTACATATTTCGAAGAAGAAAAAATAAACAAATGTTTCATATTGGCCTCAAAAGAAAGAAGTTTTGAATCTCAACAAATTTAACCAGATCAAAATCATTTAAAAAAATGCTCTTCATTCATTTTTGAAAATCTTGATAGTAGAATTTTTTGGAGAAAAGTAGAGGAAAAAAGGATTTTCAGAAATTTTGTATTCGTTTCAAAATGACACGATAAGTCACATTTGTCATTCTATAATTATACATTGAACTCTAAATGACAATCGATAAAATGAAATAAAAATAATCAATAGAGTGGTTGTTCCAAATTCCATCACTGATTTTGAAAAGTTCCAGTAAAACCTCTATATTTCCGCTTCATGAAGTCCGTTTAAGCCGATTTTTAGATTCTGGAATAGACAAAACATTTTTCTATCGAATTGTATAATTTTCATCAAGATACGATTCGTTTTGAGTGAGCAGCAACAAAGACACAAACACCTATTTTCATTTTTGTCCCGTTCTGTCCACGTTTTAATTCCATCATTCAAGTCATTATTCTTTCCCAATTCCATCATTTCCAGCAAACATGTACAAATTTTGTTAAAAAACTTAGTTTTCGAGCGGAAGGTTGGCATCTTTACAAAAAATGTAGCTGAACTCAGTGGCTATCTGTTAACGAAAAGTCAGAGGATTTATACCTAAAATTGATTGAGTTTTTTAAAATAGAGGACCATGCGTTAATTTTTACTAGAATTTTGGCATGTAGCATTTTTCTATCTTTGAGCAGTAATCACAATGATTAATTAACGCGAAGTATGTAAAGTAATATTAAGTGTTCTAGTATCATTATAACTGTCTAATTTTTTACGTACGAGTTGATTCCTAGATCCAATAATAATCAATGTACATGTACATTTTACAAATTAGCTTATAATTAAGCCAATTTGTGTAATAGTGTTATCGAACGAATATTCTCTATTTATTTGACGCATTAGTATCATCATTTCTTTGCAATGAGCAATAATATCACTACACGATTAAAACTTCGTTTTTTGCGTTATTTTAATTTGCTGATGGATTTCTGAGAAAATCCTGTCTCATATGATGGGAATGTAAGCAAATCCATAAGACAAAATCCTCTGACTTTTCATTAACAGATAGCCACTGAGTTCAGCTACATTTTTTGTAAAGATTGTTTAGTAAAATTATGTAGTTGATCTAGCGCCAATGTTTTTATTACTGATGATGAACAATTTTACATGTATTTTCTATTACATGATGAAATAAGGAAAGAGGAATAGCTGGTGTGATGGAATTAAGTTACACTATTTAATTGCATCACACGAAAAAGTTGATTGTTACGAGAAAAAGTATATAAAATATATATTTATTCGTAATAAGAAACATATCAGTCGATAGAGCTTGATCTCCTTAATCAAATGATGTAATTTGTTTTTGGAAAGATGCCAATCTTCCGCTCGAAAATTAAGTTTTTTAACAAAATTTGTACATTTTTGCTGGAAATGATGGAATTAGGAAAGAATAATGACTTGAATGATGGAATTAAAACGTGGACAGAACGGGACAAAAATGAAAATAGGTGTCTGTGTCTTTGTTGCTGCTCACTCAAAACGAATCGTATCTTGATGAAAATTATACAATTCGATAGAAAAATGTTTTGTCTATTTCGGAATCTAAAAATCAGCTCAAACGGACTTTAGGAAGCGGAAATATCGAGGTTTTACTGGAACTTTTCAAAATCAGTGATGGAATTTGGATCTACTATTCTATAGTTCGTCCGCGTCATCTAGAAAAAAAATATTATGTTCAAACTTCTATATATTTATAAGTATATATACACAAAACATCACGTGATATTTTTCTTTAAGATATAATAAGAATCGTTGAAAGGAAAAAAAAGATTCTTGTCTGAATTTCAAAAAATTTTGAATATCTTGCCATTCTTGCCTGATTCTTATTTATCTGAGCAATCAGACAAGATTATGTTTTTCTTGAATAACATGCAAGAATTTTGTTTCTTTTCGCCGAAGAATCTTGTCTGGTATTCAAGAAAAACAAGAATCTGGACAGATCGAAGTCAAGATCGTCGACTAATGAAATGCATGGCAACAGTAGTAAATGTTCAGTACTGATGATCATATTTGAACTACGCTCAAAACCATTTTTAAACAGCAATATTGACATATGTAAAAGTAACAAAATAATCACGAAAATCTAGCAATCCAAAGACGGAGCAAACGTTTAATATCTGTAACCTTTAAAGCTAAATTAGATTCGTGTTATCGAAGAAACGACTGCAGAACTTGAATATTAGAAAGCATCAGTATGCCTTCCGATCAATATTTTTGATTGTTTCGCCTGGTTTATTGTTATAAAAAAAAACATACAGCCGATCGATACATTGTTTTGTTGTTTTTTTCAATCTTTTGTATAAATTTCATAATGAACTGTTGCACTTCAAGTATTTTTGCACAACATAGTCGATTGAAGAATAGGCTGCGAGAAATCAGCATCGTTTTCAAAAGCATATTTGCCAAAAATGAAAAACAAAATTGAAAACAAAATCCATTAGATGAAGTAGGTGAAAGCACGAATGAATTCAAAAATAATATTATTAAAGCAGTGAGAAATTTTTGGTGGTCTCGTGTAGTCTATTATTTTAAAGATGCCGACAAGCGCAGAAGGTGGACAGCGTGGTGTTTATCTTGCTCGAAGCGTAAGTTATCTAATATAGATGCAGCTTTTTTTTTCTTTCTGATAATAGAAATTTGCAACACAATCGGTTGTAAACGTCGATGTTGATTCATTACCGAATGTATTAAGTAAAAATATTCGTAGGTAAGGTATTAACTTCGAAATTGCTACTAACCCAATGAAGTATGTTTTAGAGCTGGCGGTGGGGCAAGCACTTCATGTAAAGTGGTGGCCACTATTGCAGTTTTATTTGTAGCTGGAGCTGCTGCTGCTGCCGTTTTTGTTGCAGTTTCATTGGGTAAGATAAATAGAAGGAGCGTGGCAGTAAAACCGGTTTTTTCATGGCTGCATTACATAGGTCCACGGAAAATAAATTTTATATCGTTTTGCTTTTAAGCTTTAAAAGCTATACGAATCTTCCTTCTTTAGCTCTTTTAGTTCCTTATATTCCCTATAGCCCTTTCAGTCACTTTAATGACTTTGGTTCCTTTAGTCCTTTTAGTTCATCCCAGATCGAACAGTCCGGCCTGGAAACGGTCGGTTCCGGGTAGCTCCGTTGACTTTGTGGAAGTTTTATTCCGGTTGAAAATTTTTCGGTGATTTCCGATCAATTCCTGATGGTAGGCACCGGAACTTGGCAGGAATCCGCCGGAAAAGTTCGGCCGGATTTTTGACCGAAATACTGCTTCCATATTCCAGCGATTTCCCGTGTTTTCCTGCATGATATGATGATTTTCATGCAGATTTCCTCGAGTATCCTACGGGATCCGATGGCCAGAATGTTCGACCTGGGGTTTGGTCCCTTTAGTACTTTTAACACTAAAGGTGCAGAAGGCATTAAAAGAACTAAAGGAGTAAGATTCCTGTAGCTTTTAGAGGTTAAAACGAAAACGATATAAAATTAATTTTTTACAGGCCCCTCATTATATGTTGGTTAATGACAGTTATTTCAGTTGTTCACGGAAAAACTTCTAATCTCAAAATGTGATTGAATTTCTAGTATCTTAGTACGAAATGAATTTGATCACAGAAAGTGTCAAAATAAAACACATACGTTTCGCAAATATCTGCATAAAGCATATCAGATCTAGATCTACCTAAAGAAAAATTTCTCTATAAATTTCTAGGCACGAAAAAGTAAGCCTCCGCCATTGTTAAAGAATTTGACTAAATGCATATTATTCTTTTTGCGAGCTAGTACAGTTTAGCGTGCACAAAAATACGATAGAACTTCCACAGAATAATTTGTTTTTATCCATCTTGCATCTATTCTGTTATTATAAAGAGATTTATGAAAAGCTTCTATGCTGAGTAAAAGATTTTCACTAATTTGCTGGCTTGTAAAGTTGTCTTCTAAAATATTTTGAATCTGAGCTCTGTGACTAAAAATCCTGGTGTTGATGTCAAACAAAGACGTCTACCAATAGAGTGTGTTAGCTCACCTAGTATTACTGTTGAAAAATTTTAATTCTCAAAGTACACGAGCCATTGGTGCATGCCGTGTAAAAATAGTTCACCTGCCATGGAATGAATTAGGGTTTGTTCTAAAAAAAGACAACCATGATTGAAGCCTATTTCAGTTGTTAGTAGTATGTAGTAGTTGTTCGCTTGTAGAGCTCCAAGCGCCGATACAGGATAATGTACTAATGGTTGAGTGGATTCGTAGTTTATCAATATTTTGAAATTAGTAATCTATGTTTGGTTTCGTTAACATGGCATCCATAAATGTAACAATCATTAGGAGTTATGGCATATTGTTAAAAGAGTTAGGTGTTCGAAACATCGAAGTATTTCTACTGTGTTCGTCGACTAAGGTGATGCCTTCTAATTTACAAAAATCCTCTTTGTCTCTCTTATCTGAGACTTTTTCATCATGAAGGAAGAGAAATCTACTTATAACCTTGATCTCTTTTCATCTCTTGTATAAATGCTTAAAGGAAATGTTCAACTTCAAATAATTGTCTCTTGAGAAATCTCACATGAAATATCAGGAAATAAATTTTCTTGTCTTCACATTTATTTCTCAAAGCTTAAAATAAAAGTTTGAGTTAGTGTCAAATCTAAGAAGAATTTTCTCTACCTTGTTAATTGAACCCATTTTCCTAGAAAATCCTTCCTCACGTGTTGAGGAATGAAGACTTTGAAACACAACGTTATTAGTGTGGATATTGGTGTGCCACTATTGAATAAGTCATTGCATTCTTTCTACTTGAAATTAATCGACGTGATCATAGCTTGTAAACTATTATTGTTTTTTTATATATCTGTAAAAATTATTTAAATTCCTTAACAGCCGTAAGTAAAATTAACAAGTTACATTTTAATTTGTTGGCTTTTTACTTAAAACAATAGAAGATTGTTTGTATTTTATCTGTTCTCATTAAATGGTTCTTAGATAGATTCCGCATTTTTCTGATGTTGATCATTTTGTTCTTGTTTTATTTTTCAAATGGTATGATCAACAGAGAACGAGTTGAATTCTGATATCGTTGTTCAAATCGATTGAACCTGATACCTCAAGATCTCGATTTGAATTCAAAAGAGTTTTATTTTTAAATTCGACCTCTGAACACTAACTTAATCTCATATGGCATTCGCCTGTAGTACTATCCACATTTTTTATAAATCCGTGTAAAACAACAATACAAATTGGAAGTAATTAATTGACAAATTCTATATCAATGAAATTCAACACTCTTTTTAGTTGACTAAAGCAATCAAACACATACAAATCTAGCGAAACCTAACTGGACTATATCAATTGATTTCTATCTGTGCAAAGTCTACAGTTAAACTTTCAAAGTTCATAAACTAGGGAACTGTATAATTTTCTGAAAATAATGCAACAGAAATTAAAAGTCAACATAGATATTTACGTATCTATGCGACCATACAAGTTTTTATTATGCATTTTAAATATAACATTGAAAATAGATAAACATTTGTGATAGGAGATCTCATTTTTTGCGAGTGAAAATGGGTCAAAATGTTTTAGAGTCAATATGGAAATTCATAGTTAGCCAAAAGTTGCAAAGGCTTCTCCTTCATCAAATACTGTTAAGAGATCTCCGATCGTTTCTTTAGCAACTACATCAACTACGACAGTAACAACAACTACCAGCACCACCAGCACAAGCACAACAAGTACGTCAACTACTTCAACAACGACAACGACAACAACGACTACAACAACAACAACGACGACAACAACAACTACAACTACTACCACTACAACAACAACTACAACGAGTACAACAACAACAACAACAACTACTACAACAACAACAACAACAACTACCACAACAACAACGACTACAACTACCACTACAACAACAACTACTACTACCACAACAACAACGACTACAACGACCACTACAGCCACTACTACTACCACAACCACGGCCACAACGACAACTACCACAACTTCCACAACTACGACAACAGCAACAACGACTACGACAACAACAAGAACAACAACAACGACAACGACGACTACTACCACAGCAAGTATGTTGAGCACCCTAATTCATCTTTAGGCTAATCATTGAATGATTTAATATGCGTACTAAGAAAATAAGGATTCAAATAGAAATGCAACTTTTTGAACAATTTTTGTATTTTTATAGTTTTTCAGAGCCATTTTAAGAAATGTTGCCGTTACTCTATGTTTGAAACTCAACGACATACAGTTTCATGTTCTAACGTAGATAAAATTCGTTTGTTTTTTGAAAACTACTGTTAACTTTTCTTAGACTTCATGATATTACCTTCTATCTAGTTGGGAATGTGGCTTGTACTAGGACCTAACTTTGCATAGGTACCAAAAACTTAGTGTGAACATCAGTATGTTTGACAAATTTTCTGTCAATAAGTTTAGGATACGAGTGTAATGATAAAATTGAATAGAAAATATTTAGAGTAATAATTATTAAGTAAGCCGATACGCTTAGATGGTGTTCTTAAAAGTTGCATTGTCTTTTTCTCTAAGCAAGCATATTAGTGAATATGTTTTTAGATATCGATATGAATAAGCTCTGGTAGATTGTTTTCATTCTCTCAATCATTATTGCTTTCAATATGTTTGCTGAAGCAGAAATAATCATTTTATTTTAATACATTCTATTATAGTTGCCTTCTCTTATAGTTGTGAATCTTGCAACGCTTGGTGCAGTTACTGCGTCAAATTTCTATAGTGGCGCTGGTTCACCAAGTGCGCAAGGCGATTATGTTACAGGTCGTGCGCAAGGTGGAGGATTTAATGCCGGTGGATTTGCTCCTCAGTATATTGAAATTGACCTTCCGGGCATATACAGTATATCTAGTGTGTGTTTGAGTGTTGGTCAACTTCCAAATGGTGCCACAGTTCACGAAATCTATATGGGCGCTACTTCAAGCTCTTTATCACTAGTTACTACGTTAAGTGGCTACACATACTCCGGTCAATGGCTTAATACTACCTATAGTCCAATGGTGAGCGGGATAAGTTCTATTCATGTCAGCACTGTATCTAGTCCATCATGGGTGGCCTGGAACCTGTTTCTCGTTTATGGAGTCTAACAATAATTGTATAAAAAAGTTTCAAGACATAAACCTCTGTTTGATCTAGCGTGAACAACAAAACTTAACACTAATAATATTTTCTACTTTTACAGCACATTTTTAAAGTTGAAATATATCGATTCAAAACAGTAGCAGATCATACATGTCACAATTAGTTGTGTATATTTGAAAAAGAAAGAAGTTGTAATGGTTCAATATAACTAACGTTAGAAATATATAAGAAAGATATCGAGTGTAGAAAACAACATTGATGCCTCCATTATTTTTCATGGTGAGATGCTCATCTCTGAAAAAGTCGATCTTTCTATAGCAAGCTTAGATAAAAATCATTATGCTATAGTAATGGCTATTATTGGGTCTCTACCACTAGTCACTCCGTGAATACTTGGATCTGAACTGACTTGGATTAAATAACGTATCACTGGACGATACAACATGTATAGACTTCTTTTAGTTTTATGATAGGAATTCGAGTCATATCAGACTCTTTTGTTTTTCATTTAAACTTTAGCATTAATTTCATAAATAGTATTCGGATAGCTGATGATAACTATAATTTCAATTTGTCAGTAGATTACGTGCCATACCAAGATATAGGACATTCATAAGAATGATGGAACGATGCTTTTGTCGTTTGGGGTATTTTTTTATGAAACTTGTAACAGGAGATCTAATTTCTATCAGTTTTTAGATGTTTTTCAAAATAGATTGCGCTGACGAAGTTGTAAAGCTGTTTATTAAATTACAGAATGATGTATACATATTTTCAAAGTTTCTCAAACTATACAGAATTTTTGAGTGAATTTGTTGATGTTTCGATTCTTTTTAGTTCAGGATTTTATCTTTTAAAACTACTGTAGTTTTTGACTATTTTACTTACGTATTAGTATCAATAATTTCTACAAAATCAAAAACATCTTGAGTGCTTCAACAAAAGGTTAGTCTAATGCGAGTCAGGATGAATCGATAGAAATCATATTTTGATGTACTTAGTCACTCTATTACTTTCATGATAAAATTCACAAAATGCTTCTTGTTTCACAGATATTAACCTCGTAAGATTTTTCATTTGATTGAATTACATTTCATTCAGCGTACACTAAATACTCAACAAATAATATAGCAAACTTATGGAAGCTTCATTCAGATAATGAACTTTTTTTTATAAACTTAGCGATGATTAATAGAATTCTATACTCGTTTGAAATTACAATCGATTATTGACTTAACATATTAGTATATCATGATTGAAGTTTTAAGTATCATTTATCAAAATCCAATCTTTATTTTTCTTTTCTCTTCGTTTATTTTCCGTTTAATGCTCTAGCAGAACTTGAGATTTGTATAAGCTTATCCCATTTGAGATAAACTTTACAATAACAACTAGACGTCATTTGAACATTATAAACTTCTAATTGTAACTGTTTTTGTAGTGTTAAATAAATTCTTCTTTTAGCGATAAAATTTAAAACAATGTTTTCATTCGTATTTTTTGCTTTGGTTCTTGTCGGTACTGGTAGCACTACAAATTGCCTCAATCGGCAAGCCATTGAGCAATCTCTCAACAAAGGTCATATTCCAGGTGCAGTAATCGTCGTTGTCAACGCCACGAATATACTTTACGAGTCAGACTTTGGTTCTCAATCTCTACTACCACTCAAATCTATACCTGCAGATCAGTCGATTTTTTGCACTAGCTTCCATCTAAAAAACGTTCATTGCTGTTGTTTTCATGAAATTATTCGACAAGAAACTTATTGATACTGATACAGACATTAACCAATATTTGTCTGAACCGAATAAAATAATCTTCCATTCAAATTTTCCTTCTCACGCGATTACTTTGCGTAAATTACTTTCCAACTCTTCCTTGATTTCTGTTGATGGTCGGCTACAGAGCAGCTTCTTTCAATTGGGTGAATAGTACATTAGAGAAAGAAACTTTAGCTGATATGTGTTTTAAATATTTAAGTCCAAATTCATCTAACTGGCTACCAAGACCACCGAGAAACGTAACACTTTATTCTAATGAAGGCACATTATTGACTGCACTTGTTGTTGAACGCGTTGCAAAGATTTCCTATGAGCAATAGCCCGAAGAAAATATTTTCAAGCCATTAAATATAGACTTTCGAGCAGGTGCTGTTCGCTTGTCTGATTTCCAAAATACAGAGGAGCTCGTTAAACACTGTACATACGCTGTTAATGAATCATTTATTCAACAGTGGAATCACGAAATATCTCAATTGAATGTTAGTTAAATGAAGGTAGACATCTACATGACTAGCTTGTTTTAATGTGACGAAAATTACTTGTTTCGGAGTAATCTTTCAACATGGTTGCATTTTCCATTGTTTAGTATCAGTGGTCATCCAGCAGGTCTTTTACGAATGTCAGCTATTTCTTTATCTATGTTTCTTCGAATGTTTATCAATAATGGATACACACTTCTCTCTTCTCAGTCAATTGCGGAAATGAAACAAGCAGTTGGTGGTGGTCTTATTCGTCCGTATAACGACGATGCTAGAATTAACTCTACAGATTTACTTCCATCACGAAGATATGAACTTGCTTGGCATTGGAGAACGCTAAGCAATACTCGTCAATACTTAGGTCATGGTGACTCTTTACCAGGCATGATAATTTGATGTTAATTAATGAAATGCACAATACTGGCATTATTGTACTGACTAATGCTGACACCAATGCACCAATTGATTTAACTCGAGAGATTTATGAAACAATCGAAGGTATTCATTTGACACTTTTTCAATATTTTGAAACTAATAAGGCGAATTCATTCGTGTTGCATACTGTTAATATTTTCTTTCTATTTTTGTCTATCATATTACTTTCTTCATAATATATGTCACCAATAACCGCTTATATTGTTCATAGGATTTATTGTATTTAAAGAAGATTCAATAAAAATTGATACATGAATTATAAATTTCTTATTTTCTATCTTTATACTATCACATATGTAAACAGAAATTAGAACCGATGATGTTTCTCAATAAAAACTCGTTGACCATGATAGCCTGGCTGCATCAATCACTTTTCAAGTTCGTATTGAAACACTGATCAATTCGCATTATAACATATAGTATTGAACCGGTCATTGAAAACAAACTAATTGGAATCTACAAATATTTACATGTGATAGGGAAAATGTAGAAAAATATGCGAAAAGAGCTAAGTTAAAATTCTTCGTACTTAAAGCTAATCTACAACTACGTTGAAAAATATTTTTTTATTAACAAAACCTAACTCAATCAGCGTATTCCAGTGACCTCATTTATCAAATCTTCGTTTTCATGAAGTACCACAGTCTTCATAATATTAATGATTCATTCAAAGTTAATAATAAAACTTTCCTGATTAAATCACGTGAAAATTAAAATTTTTAAATAGATAATCACTTATCAATGAAAACTGCACAATTAAAATACAAATAATTTTAGTCGTTTTTGTTTTTGAAAAAACGAAACAATTTTATTTCTTGACTTTATTGTTGACTGGACTCTATAGTCTTAATAATATGTTTAAAATTTGATTTGATTTATGATCATAAATCAGAGATAGCCATCAGAAAACGGAGCTGAATCGAGATGCGTTTGAACCCATCGATAAATGATTAGACTTTGCTTAAGACATGATTTTTACTCTCGAAAATTTACCAACAAACATGATATTAAATTATGTAAAAATTGGATTACAATTGAATGCGAACAAGCAGATAGAATCTATTGATATTTCGAATTTATCCACACTTAAAACCATATTTTTCTTCGTAGAATTTCTATTTGAAACGAATATCGAAAAGAAATGAGTAGAAATTGGACAAAGATATTGCTACGATTTAGAGAACAGAAAAGGGTATAGTTTTAAATCAATTCTTTTCAATAAAAAAAAAGCTTGTTTCAAATGTGTTTGATGATTATTTAGGCATCGTTTGTAATCATTCATGTTTTATCAATCGTGGTCTATCTCAAATTACATCAATGTAAAGATTGTCTCACATACCATTCACCTTCATCATTCAACATGTTTTCTATTCTACTCTTACTCGTCTTTGTGCATGATCTTAATGCTCTCTCTTGTGTTGATTCTATGTATTCTTTTCGAATGCTTCGAAAGAACTTCGACTGGAATACTTTTACATCACATACAACCGAAGCAAACTTTCAACCGGAACTATGGGATGATGACAGTGCCTGTCGTGTTACTGTCAGCGTTGAGTACAATGTGAAAGGAGATGATTATGTGAATGTGATTTATGGTGAAGCCGTAAATGATACATGTGATTATATGACGTTCGAAACTTCGTTCACATTAGAGTATGATCAACAATCAATGGTGAGCTATATCGACTACGTTTGTTCGTCAAATAATTTTTGTGAACATTCATTTGTTGGTCAATGGGTGAAAGAATTACTTGGCACCAAAAATAATCCTCTACACACTGCGATCACTTATATACTATCGAATTCTTCTGAATTAACCAAATGTAATTGGAAACATGCAACATCCGAATGTGCAAGTCATTTGTGCTTCGCACTTTACGATGAATTGAAAAACGTTCCTTTGAAAAATGGCAGTTGCCTCGCAAACCGATCATCAGGTTCGGTTTATATCTATGTGAACACCAAACTGATCGACTCTATACAAATTTCACCAATTGAACTTGACTACAAATGCATGAAAAACAGATTCACTCAAGAGCTATTCTATGAATTCATAAATCATCAACATCTTAGTGAAAGTACGTATTTAAATTTTTTTTTCTACTATTGAATGATGACATAAAATGATGAAATGACACTTTTATTTTCGATCTATTACTTGGATTATTGGAAATGTAAGAGCTTTGAGAGTTCTTCTGTGTGTATCTTACATAGGATTGAAAGTCATAAACATGAATCTATTGAATTTGAATGATTTCATGCATTTACCTAATATAGCATATGTATATCTTCTAGCGTTACACTTTATCCAAATTATCATAAAAAATGCTATGATTGAGTAAAACAAAACTCAATGGCAAAAATTAATGTGATTCTTTTTTCTCAATTTTGTTTACAATATTTTCTTTCAATACTGGTGTAAATAACCTTTGAAAATATTTTGAATAGATGAAATCTCACAAGATTTAACAAATTCTCTCTTGTGTAATAGTACAAGAATAAATATGGTCCAACTTCGAAATTGATTGCAGATTGAATAATTTTATAAGTAATTGAATTTCAGTCAAGTAGCGGCTTATTAAAAACAAATTTCGTCAGTAGACTTCGATCTTTTTAGAATAATTTCTTTCGTTTCTTTTCTCTCTAAAACTCTATAATCTTTGCTGGAGTTTGTGCATTCTATTCTTATTTTCTTAGCAAACAATAACAATAAAATCAAACAAAACCATTCGAGTTTCTTCTAATTCGTAATACTTCCGACTAGTCTGAACCATTTTAAAACTCTTCTATACGAATCAAAAGAAACTTTTACATCTTGACTGATCGATGTATGTTACTAACGATAGTACAGAATTAAAAAAAGGATTCTACCGAAAAAGCACGATATCGCCTGCTTTTTTCCACAATATTAACATTTTCATCCTATACAAAATCCCATTAAGTGTCTTTTTAGCTAAGTAGAACTATACCCAATGTTATATTTATAAACATAATCTTGATAATATATTCTCAATTGTTTTCTTTCTCTTATTTATCTAAGATACAGAAGGCTTGACTTGCCCACAACAATCATTTACCAGTATACCAGTTAACCTTCGCTCAGCAAACTTTTCACTCACTCTTAATGAATTGGGCCAACAAATGAAACCATTATTAGACAATATTAACCGCTGTGACATCTACATGGAAGCCGACTATCGCCAGGAAGATGGTCATATAACCGTCACCTACAAAGAACCTAAGCATGATGCAGATAAATACATGAGTTTTGACATGATACTTGCATCAGAAAGTTCGATACCGTCCATATGGAGTCGAATGTACTATATATGTTTGCCGCCTTATTCATGCGATCGAAAGTTAGTCAACAAATGGATTCGATGGTTAATTGATATCAATAGGCAACATTTACAAATTGAATCAAAACTTTCAACAGAAAATACCGTTCATTCATATGAATGTAATATTTGGAGTCACACCGTTGATAATTCAGTTGATGTATGTTTTGCGTACAAGTATAAACAGATGGAATCAGGTTTGCCTCGTACTTCATGTTCACGTTTCGAGCACAAAAAAACGCCAGTATATAAACATGTTACTGATGAAATTCTGCAACAATGCGTTCCCAAAACTTCACTGGATGATATACCAACTGTATCAAGCTCCATCGCTGTAGATTTACCAATCGATCGAGATCATCGTTCTGATGAGATCAAATCATTGAACTTAAATCCAAAAGTGAAATCGAATCATATAAGTCAATCGACAACTGTGATGAGTGCATCATCTACAACGACGACCGCAGCACCGTCCATGGATCCAAAATCCTCATAAACTACCGTACACTGCTCGCATGCTATTAAAATAAAACTACAAATCAGTGTTCTATACAAAGAAATCAAAAAGCGATAGTATTCTAGTAAGAAATTTTGTTCACTCAAACCCACCAGTTTCATGGGCACAAATAAAATCATCCGCACCAATTATTTTCGAGCCAACTTCAAGCTAGAATCTATTGAAATCAGGTTCTCATTTATTATCAATTGTCTCAATGATTATGATATTAATCAAGTTTTTCAAAATTCACGCCGATCATTTTAATTATGATTAACAATGATCGATTCGAAGAATCACGATAAATCCAAAATTTGATTAAAACTAAATTATAGCTTCCACTCTGTTTTATGGTAGAGTCTATTGTAATTAGCGTGAATTGCACTTGTCTCATTCTTTGCTTATTGAAATAAATCTAGATACATAATCTTTCACAATTATGTATATTTATTCTGATTCATGCTAGATACAGTAGTACATACCAGAGATAGAACAGATTTGGAAAGGTCAGATTGGACCGTATGTTAAAAAAACATCCTTTTCAGATTGTCAAGCATCAAATATTGCGTTTTATGATAAATATAATATTAACTGTACACTGCAGCGAAATTAAAGACTAATACGCCTCACACTATTGTATTTAATTACATCAATCAAATAGATTTCCTAAAATCAATATTTTAATTGACATTTATCTGAGATCCGAGAAGACAAATTTTCTTTATTAAATCTGGTGATCAGAAAATTTATACGAAATATAGAAGTTTTACAGATTTTACGAAGCTATTTTCTATACAGAGTTAAAGTAATAATGTATTTTATCTTAAGAGAAATCTCTAATTCCAACTTAATCAAATGGTTGAATTTCACCGTCGTATCCATGTAATAAATTATAAACTATTTTCTCTTGATAACTTTATCGTTATCGATTAGTTGATAGCCATATTATTCTAATTAAATTTATACTAAAATCATGATAATATTTATCTCATTATATTAGAAGTTGCTACTTCACTTTTCTTTGGCATCATCATATAACTATGGATTTTTCGTTTTCTTTGCGTTCTGCTAGAAATGAATAAAGCCTTTCAAGAATGCTTTTGATTTAATTTATGAACTGAGTGTGAATATCACTTCAGATTCATGCAAACTTTTCCTAGGTTCGTAATCTAAAGCAGTACTATTTATATTATGAATAGATACATTATTGTTTCATATTTCAATATTTCAAATTTCAAAAAAATAAAGATATTTCAAATTTCAGAAGCTATGTTAAATGCTTTGCTTTCTTCTACGATACACATACTAGCGAACAATCTAATTAACAGTAAGAACTAAAAATGAATATTGATAATCAACAACTATCCAAATGTCGATCTATGAAGTCAATCATTGTTAATGTGGCAAATTTCTATTTAATTTCTATTCTTTATTCAACTGATATGAAACATTTTATTCTATTTATCTAGTTTCTGTTTGATTTTCGACGGCACCCATCTAACATCAAACTTAATCGAACTATAAATATGACTTTAAAACCCTACTCAATCATATACCAATCATGTGCAATGTATGATAAAATATGAATTTAGACAAACTCTTTCTTCAATGATTTTTCTCAAAACAATATTGTTAACATCACTTAACCATTGTATTTGAATATTGTCTATAATCAGAACACATTTATGTCTCAAGACTTTTATCATTTAAACTAATGAATTTTCTGCTAAATTTGTATTCCAGAATAATATTTCAAGTAAATAAAGCTTGGCCAGTATGTCATGCATTCAATCAATCAAATGAAAGAAAAGAAAACGATTAGATTAACTGAGTTTAGTGAATATGATCAACACTCAAAGTTAAGATTCTAGTTTTTGCTCATATAAAATTTATTCTTTCTATTGGTGTTCTGTGTTGTTTAGACGGAGAGAAAGCTATTACAATAAATAAATCTTTTTACTATTACTTATGGTATCTCTACATAATTATTCTGAAGAAACAAAATTAAATAATTATCTTTTTTCTACTTATTAAAAATACCATTTTGTGATACCTATTTACTTGTTTTAAGTGCATATTATAAGCATAATATTCTTTTTCTCTTCGATATAATAATAGATATTAATAAATCTTACCAACCATTCCATTAATGGTTCTTTAATAAATACATCAATTCTACTAAGTAATAAATCAGCATTTTCTCGTAATGCATTCCAAGTATAAATCATTGCTGCATGAAAGAGACCAACGGTACCAATGGGTGACATTAATTGAACAATTTATCGAGTTAAACGAATAGGAATAAGTTCAGGTACAGATAAATGTTAAGAAATAAAATGATCTTGGTTTGGAATTTCTCAAAATTTAATCTTACAATCGTTGCTGTATTGAATGCTGAACCAAAATCAATGCCAATAAATGGTCCAAATGATATATCGATCAGAAAACTAAATGAAGAAAGCATTGTTTACAAAACATTTTCTATATTCAACATACTTCACTTGATGTCGATCTCCAGTTCCAAGTATGCAATGATTTGTACATTCTCGATTCTGGCTCCAAGAAATTTTAAAATGCCGGTTCCAGTTCGATTTGTGATTTCATATTTTTTTCGCCACTCCCAATATCTTCTAACGAATAAAAGCCATACTGAAAAAAAAACATTGAACAGACTCGTTTGTTATTGATAATTCTATCATTGACGAAAGGTCATTATTCATTTATGAACAAACTTGACTGTGATAAATGGTCATCGTATTCACCACTCAACTATTTAATATTATCGTTGTTGACGACATCAGATATGACAATAGTTGAACATATATATAGAAGGTTATATTCGAAATATTAGTCATTTATATTCAATATGAACGACTCAACTGTTAATATTCTTAGTTTATCCGATGAGATATTGCTTGTTATTTACAATAAACTGAATAACATGGATGTACTATATTCACTCATAGGTGCCAATCGAAAACTCGATAGATTGGCTCGGGATGTTACTTTTGCACAATCTGTTGATTTATTAACAATATTATTAAACGAAAGTAATGATTCAAGGAATAAATCAATACTCGATCGATTTTGTTATGATATATTACCTCAAATTCAACACAATATTGAATCTCTTACTCTTGATTCATTATTAATAGATCACGTTTTTCGTATTGGAAATTATTCTAAACTCTATAAGCTTAATTTTTTTAATCTTCAATTTGAAATGGCGTCTCGTATATTCAATGGTATGTCATCTTATTTTTCACTCTTCAAAATAAATAAACCTAAGTTGATTAACTCGTATTCTATATTTAGACAATTCATCATTTATTCACATCTTTCAAAATCAAATTTCGCATTTTACTGTGACCATACACGATGACAGCAAAGGTGCACATAGAAAAGAATTATGGACAAATGTTTTCACCAATATTTTAATTATATTTACAAATTTGATTTATCTCAATTTCCATTCACAAAATATTTGTCGGTTTATATCAAAACCTTTTCTTAGTTTACCATCAACAACATGTTATTCATCAAATATTGTTTATTTGAATATTGGAGTCTTTAGTTTTGACGATTGTCTTTGTTTAATTGATGGGCATCTTACTCAATTACATACGTTTATTGTCAAGGTTGAACACATTAATAATACATCAATGACTATAAAAAATCCGGTAAAATATTAAACAATCTATTGTTGAATAAGTTCTCAAATATGTAACGGTATCTAATACTGATATCTACCTCCTTGTTTGAGTATTCAACATAACATGACTTAATATTTATGTTAATTTCTTTTTAGAAAACAGTATCTAACCTAAAATGTTTCTTGTTGACTTCATTTCGTCGAACAAATGAATATGATAAGCAAATTTTACCATGATTACATCAAATGTTACAATTAGAAGAACTAACATTATCCCTCATTGTTGGTGATCAAACTTCATTCATTGATGGTACTCATTTGGTTAATAATATTCTTAATAGAATGTCGTATCTACAAACATTTATCTTCAATATTATCACTGAATATGTTAGAATGGACGAAGAACTTTTACCAACACTTGATGATATTGAACGACCACTCATTCAATGAGGATTTAATGTTAACTGTTATACTGATTATAATGAATTTTATAACGGTCAATGTCATATTTATTCGCTTCCATATACTATAGACTGTATGCATATACATTCTAGTCTATTTTGTGGTGGTTTATTCAGAACTGTTCGTTACCTCTATGTACAAGAATTCTTTCGTCCATTTGAAAATGATTTCTTTGTTCGAATTGCTCAAGCTTTTCCATTACTAAATAAATTAACAATACTTAATAGATATAAACAACCCAAGTTAAAACATCAACAAAATAAACATGAATCAACATCTTCAATTATTGAGTTTTCTCATCTAATGATACTCAATGTCGCTATGTCTTGTATCGATTATGCAAAACAATTTATTTTCGACTTTAATACACGTCTACCTTGTCTTAATAGATTACATATTAAATATAAAGACTTGGTGATCGTAACAGACAATTTCACAAACAATGATGCTCGTGCTAATTGTTCAAAATTGCAACATATTATTTTTGATTCAATACCAACGATATATCCAGAGAACTTCTACCATTATTTTCCTTTGTTCTCAATAAAATAGTGTTGCTCCATGTTTGAATTAATGGCACCGTTATTTTCTATGACTAAAAAAGTATAAAATTACTAAAAATAGCTTAAGTGTTACATTAAAAGGTCTTTAAGTACCAAAAAATCGAGCTTCTGACGTGCTTTAACTTTGTATAGAATACATTTGTGATATCATTAATAATTTAAATTGCAGATTGGATGTAAAGGTTATTTTACACGGTGTAGAATATAAGGCATAATAAGCCTATGGATATACAGATATGTCAATAAAGAACAAGTTGTTCAAATTTTATTAGATTCTTTTCTCTTTCAAAATTTTTTTAAAAGAATAGATCTTGGCATACTCTTGTCTTGTTTTCTTCTGGTTTAATGAAATTGAATATCTTGAAATCATTGATCATCACTTGAAGAACACGGATGCCGATCCGTACTGTTTGTTGTTCGGTTTCTTTCTTCACGAAGTGCAATTTCTAAAACAAAATTCTATCAGGAGTATGACTTTATTTTTATTTACCATCATATTGTTTTATCATTTGGATGACAGCATGTGAAACTTAGCCGTCCTTGCTCTTCATCATCTAATTCATCGCGTGTTCGGCCAAGTACTCTTTGAAGTGTTGATAAACGATCGTATTCTCGTTTGTATTTTTCATACGGAAAAATATAATGTTAAATTAATAAAATATTTACAATTCATATTTACCACTTCAATTACGACATTATACGGTTGTGATCGCATAGATCGAACAAAAGCCTGTTCGTCGAAAGTGAGGTTGTCACTTTCAGTACTCATCTAAAATTTATAAAAGTTAGTGTACTGATAAATCAACTCGTTTTATTTGTACTACAAAGAGCAGTCACTAATTCAATATATTTTTGTTTCTTTAATGTACATGCATGATTTGATTTTGTTTTCGCTTCAAAAACATGATTACGTAAAACATCATTTAACATTGAATCAAATTTGCCTGATAGTGCAGGTAAATATCTAAACATTAATGTATCTATACGACTAATCTGTTGATTAAATGCTTCTATTGAACAAAATATAACATCAGATAATGGAAACTCTTTAATCATTTTATGTTGATTATTAAAACAATGTACAAAATGATTGAATAATGCATAGCTACAACTATGAGTATCTGTTGCAAATTCATTTAATATTGTTGCATCAATCTTAAAAATTAAAATAAAAGATTCGAAAAGTTTTTCAAACGAAAAACAGACTCTTTGTTCCCAATGGATCATGTTGATAAATCCCAAAATTAGAACAAGATGATCCAATCATTAATGAAAGAAAATCATTATAAAGAATACGTTGAAGAATTTCAATTCTACGATCCGTCATTTTCATTTATCCTATATTAATAAATAAAAGAAATTAATTTCAAAATAACCAACAAACCATTCTTAAGAGTTTGCGTAATAAATACTTCAATATAATCTTTTTTTAACTAATTGTCAAACTTCACTATTTTCTGTCATTTGTTTTATTGTTGCTTCTCAGGCATTTTACTTTTTAATTGATAAACACCGTTAACGATCTCGACCGATATTGAATATAGACAAATCTTATGGGAATACGTTTGCCATTAAGTGTTACTTTACAACCAGTTGATACAGCTACGTCATAAGCATGCCGTTTAAATAATGAAACAAGATCATCATCGAACTTATCCATTTTTAAATCCGGGGTAAATGTAATACGAATAAATTTGTTTGGATTATCACTTGTTTTATTTATAATTGGATCTTGTGGATCACGCATATTGTTGTTCAAGTCTAAATAAATTCGTCTTCTTTTGAGAAGCAATAGATACAAATAGAAACTGTACTTGTTTAAATGATTTTTTTATATTCTTTTGAACATGTTTCAATGGTAAATTTCGTACTAAAATATTTGTTACTTTTACATCATAACCATTTCGAACATCTATTTTAATGGATAAAGGTTAAAACAAGAATCTTTCGATGATTTCAAATCGTACCGGATATTCGTTTTTGATTATCATTGAAATTATATGATGTGAGAAGTTTACCAAAAGTTGATGTTGGAATATGGATTGATTCATCTTCAGTCCATTTACGAATAGGTATACCACGACCATCATTACACATTTTTATTTCACCTTTTTCTCTAAATAGCAGAGAGATTTTTATGCTCATTTTTCTTGAATGAAATACTTACCGATTGATATCATCTTCAATGGATGTCATGGTTGAATCACGTTGTTTATTGTCGACAGCATTGACTAAATGAAATACAAAGAGTACGCATGCGATAGTTTTTAATAATGAAAATTATCTTTTTTTACCGAGAATTTCATCAAAAATTTCATAGAGACCAGAAACATAGATGATTTCTTTTTTGACAATTTTCGAACCTTCTTCGGCTTTTTCATCAGAAACCCATATTTCCTATAAGTAATAATCGTAGAAGAAACATATAGAAATAATAGTCTTACTTGTTGACATGGTTTTTTTGAACCAATATGTTTTCAGATCGTTTAAGAATATTATCAAGCTTTTCGAGAAGTTGATAAGTGTCTTCATCTTCATTTAATACATCGTTGATGGATTTATTCATTGAAGACACCATTACGAAAGCAACGTCTTCAATAGAGATAGCGTTTACAAGCAAGACCAAACAGTCTTACACCAAATCTAGAAAAAAATGAATGAAATAGATAGATGCTTCTCTCTTTCATTCAACGATATAAATAGTATAAGGAAATCGTCGAAAAATAATAGATTTATGGTATCTGTGCCGCAAACAAAGAAAGTGCTTTTTTTCTTCTAGTTTTGACTCAAAAGTAGAAACTAGCGTGCATGTTATGTTGGAATTGAGATATGTTACTGATCATAGTTATGTCACAATGGAACTAATGAATACTCTTTCATAACGAGTGGTACTAATTTCATCATTCTATACTAACAAAGAATTAATGAACCGGGCTCAAATGTTTTCATATGAAATTAACGGTCGGTCTCGGTGTAAAAGCATGACCGTAATATGATAACGAATATTCCATATTTCACTGCTGCCTTTTGCACCGATCTAAATATCATCCTTTCATACAAATTTGCATTCATCATAATATTACATATTTGAGATATTTAAGAGTAAGATGATGATGAAGTCATAATTATGTAACTGTCTCTGAAATGCATCGTAATATGAAATCCAGTATCTTCAATAAATGAATGGAACTGTATCTAAGTTTGCATTAAATACCATCGATTTACTAAGACAGATTGAAACTTTTTTTTACCACCCTTTAGTTTTAAACAGATAATACTATTGGAGTACGCTGTTAAGAAATGACAAAAATTATTTACCAATCGTGCACTTTGACAATGACAAAATTTAAAGTAAGAAAAACTAGCAAAATTTAGTTAAAAACATTTGCTTATATATCCAGAATTACGTGTATAGAAAATCTTTGGCACGTAGTAAAACAACGAAGTGATATCTAGATTATCGTGAGAAAAAATCTTGGTAAGGGAAATATCCTTCAGACTGAGCGAAATGTGAATCGGGTCGAGCTACGAAAAATTGGCTCATTTCGAGTCCTGCCGTTTAGGATAAAATTATTCGTTTTCATTAGCTCATCCAAACAAATCTATCAGCTTGTGTTGTTATCCTAAAACAACTTATCTCTAGCTATCGACTAAATGTAATGAAAATCACTTCTTCTAAAAGGAAGATCCATTGATAAAGAAAAAGATACGAATTGATTTGTGAACAGCCGTAATTCAGTTAGTGGTTTTATATCGTCAATCACCATAAGTCTTATTGCACTAATATCCATGTTCAATTGTGGCGTAGACCTTTTAGAATTCGACGGTTCCAAAAGAACGAGAACCGGAACCGTACAGCCATAGATAAATGGGGAAAAGTAAAACCTGTTCTGAGAAGTCTTGATTCTTTCAGTTTTTAGATTCAAGATTCTAGTACACATGTCGAATGTTGTTTTATCTAAGTAATAAAGTGTGAGCCGCCTATAATGTCAACAATTCAAGAGCTAAGATTTCGCAAAATTAGCTTCAAAGCTTCCGCATATATCTTGTGATTTAGCTGTTCTGGTTTCACACGATGTTTTTGGGAACCTAACCGGAATCGTTTTCTTTTTCATTTTTACCACCACAAACCGAAACCGCATTCCACGTTCCAGGTAATTTTAGCAATCGCAGAACTCTACTTTCAGTATAGGTAGCCTTTTCTTAATTTCGATTTTGATCAATTTCAAGCCATAAACTAAAATGAAATAGAATAAAAAGGATGCTGTGAAAGTTGATAAATATCATCACAATCCTTTTTCTGTTCGTGATACTCTGGTATTTTCTTCTTTTACTATGACAAGAACGAAGTTCGTCCATGACAATGAAGCGTGATGATACATCGCACGCTGCATTTCTTAAAACAAACCAGTATGATAGATATAAAGATATTTTACCAGCGTTCATTTCCATATAGGACAAAGAGAAACAATGCCATTGTTTCATTTGCTCATTCGCCGTGAATTATGATAATAGAAAAATGTCTCATTGTTTTCATTGGTGATGGATGATGACACGGTTCAATAGAAACAATGAGCATAATATATATATATATATATAAACATTGATATTTATAAACGAAATGAATAGATCAGTGGAAATAAATATGGATAACTCATCGATTGAATTAAGTGATTTACCTAATGAGATTCTTATGATTATTTTGAAAAAATTGTTCAATGTCGAAGTATTGTACTCTCTAATAGGTGTTAACAAACGACTCCATGCAATTGTATATGATCCAATTTTTACAAATTGTTTAACGTTGATGAGATGTGTCTCAGATGATTCCATCGATCCATTGCCTGATTCAATACTTGATCGACTTTGTTCACAAATCTTACCTGAAATTCATCATAAAATCAAATGTCTTAATCTTGAATCATCATCTATGAAACGTATTCTTCTTGCTACAAGTTATCCGAATCTATGTGAACTTGGTTTATATGATAGTGAGATCGAAACAGTTCTGTCTCTCATTACTGGTAAGATATTTCCGAACTTTACTGATACAAATGAACGAACATAAATTCGAAGAAAATGAGTAGTAGAAAAACAATACAAGGAAGTCCTTATAATTAAAGCAACACTTGAATAAAATTCTCTAATGTCTGTAATTGAAATTTTAAACATTGATTCTGAAAGAGGAAAGTGTAAAATAAAATACAACATCGATGATACAATATAATTTATGAGAGAAGTTGAAAGAAAAAGATCACATGAACATTACAAAATTGTTAAAAAGAAGAAATAAATAAATAGATCGATTCTATGATTAACAATAAAACCTAATAAACATGTGTTTCATTGACTTTATATTTTTTTTATTTAGACGAATCTTCCTTAACTTCTATAGATAAAAATCAAATCTTAACGCTTGTAATCAATCGTACTAAATACGGAAAAGTAAGTGCTGCAGATGATATGAATCCACGAACATTAGCACATATCTTTACGACGTTCTCCAATTTACAATATTTAAATTTTTATCCATCTACAATTTGGAGTGAACGATTATCATTTGCCAATCCATGTCCAAGTATTAACTCTTCAACTCTGTTAGAATTGCATATCCGTTTGATGTCGTTCTCCGGCTGTCTTTATATACTTGATGGACGTTTCAATAATCTTCACACACTTCATGTTGATATTCAGTTCGTTTACGCTTCGGATTTACGAAACAATAATCAGGTAGATTGTTTTGATTAGTATTTAATTTTTCGAACAAATTCATTATATGATTTTTATAGGAAAAATTACCTATACCTAATATAAGATGTTTTTCACTATACTGTTCAGAGATGACAAATGCTTATGATGAATTAACTGTACCACATCTACAACGAATGTCAAATTTAGAAAAACTCAGTTTGAATCTTATTATTTCTGTCAAAAATACATTTGTTGATGGAAATGAATTGAAGCAAAATATTATTAATTATATGCCACGATTAAAGCGATTTCAATTTTATATTTGCTCAGACCGTTATTATCCTAATCAAATTTCTCTACAATCAAAAGAAGATATTCAACATTCATTCAAAGATTTTAAAGACGATCAAATTATTTCTTATATTGATTATTTCCAAGAAGGACAACACAGTCTATGCCATATCTATTTGTATTCTTACAAATTAAAATATTACCATACTATAACAAATAATTTTCCAGGTGGATTATTTAAATATGTTCATGAACTATTATTATATGATGAACGTCCTTTTGAACGTGAATTTTTTCTTCGAATTGCTCAATCATTTCCATTTATTAACATACTGACAATAAAAAATTCGAAAGCACAAAATAACAAATTATGCAGAGAATCAAAGAATGGCAATCAAGATTTGTCGATCATTAAATATCCTCATCTCACATCTCTAAGTCTTAATGAAGCTCATGATGATTATATTGAAGAGTTTCTAGTCGAAACGAGAACATGTTTACCGAATAATTATGTTCATCTTAACATTTTTTTTCGCCAACTGAAAAGGATGACACATAATTTTACAAGAGATGCGACACGAATCAATTGTGCAAAACTGGTTTCTATATGTGCAAATGCTTGTCGACTTCCTCAATACACAAGAGCATATTTTCCACATGTTCGTAGATTTTAATTATTATCAATGCTTATGTATATGTAGCATGAAAGTATTAAAATAGAGATGCGTATAAGTTATCTCATATTTTATTGAAAATAACCATATGTTTGTATGCATGTACAAGAATAATCACACACATGATAACACAGGTCTGATGAAAAAAACAGCAAAAAGCAAATGTTGTTTTATAGGAAAATCAGAATAATAGCTCTAAGTCGAGTTACTTGGTACGATATAACATGAAATACGTCTTTCAAGATTGAAAAATAAATAGAGAGCTGAAAATTCTAACACAAAAAGCAGTTAACATGTTCGATGTTGAATTAAAATCTTGAACAAGAAATATTTGCTTTATTAGAAGAATAAGATGTTACGTAAACCAACTTTTTAAATCTTGTTAGCGTCATTAGATGGCACTCACTGACGCTAAACGTTTATTCGTGTTATCTGTTGTTATGATCTCTATTTTGATTTGTTACGTAATATTTTCGACTATGACTAATCCTCGTGACTGATTTTCGTTCGCTATTGCGCAGTTGTTGATGTTCTATCGTATTCGAATATACACTCGATACTCAATATATTCTATATATGATACGACGACAAAGTCGATTATTAAAACATGTTTAGCTCTCTATTTTTGGCAGACTAAATATTAGTTCTACCATTGCTACATAATCCCCAAAACGAGAGCTAACATAAGCAAGGATGAAACCGGTCTTGGCTGCTGTTCACACCCTTTTTGCTACTATATTGTTAGTATTTAATCTAGGGTGTGGATGTGATGGGCATAATTGTGACAGAAAACTCTAATCACAGTGAGATCCAAACTGTGTCTGCAATATGATGCGAATCTTTTTATCGAGGCTTTTATAAATGATCAGAAAACCAATCAATAACTTGCTGCTTTTCTACGAAAAAATACTGAAAATAATTAAAAAATGGTCATGCCAAGCCTAGAGCAATGATTTTTCAGTAAGAAGAGACGAACATTTAAAGTAGTACCAAATTATTACTCTAGTAAGGCAGTCTATTGCGTATCAAGAGCGTCCAATGAAAGGTCAGTTCTGGATGGCGAACGTAGAAACGTCTTGATGTAATCAGCATAGCGTGTTTCAATCTCGTCCTGTGTAAGACCGAATTCCGCCAAGCTGTACGTGTGACGACCTTGCTTCCCCTGCGGATTTTCACGAAGCCAACTTTGCATAGCCGCCTCAAACTCAGGCGACCAACTGAAGCCAAAATAGTCATAAATGTGTCGTACAGCAGCGATTGGTTGTTCCATAATGTCATCGTATAAAACATCTAAAATGGCTTTCTTTGATTGCCGCTCTATGTAAGCTGGCTTTGTACGAAGTATCATCAAACATTCGATTAATTTATCGATATATCGAATTGCTTGTGTTGTCGCTCTAATTTTGCTGGTCAAATCCGTCTCCTCATAGAAGGCACTGACCAGCGTCCACATGAATTGACACCATGAAGGTATGGTCTCAACAAGATTTCGATGCGTCAGAATTATGGCTGCGTTTGGATAATGTTCAAAGACGGTATCGAGATATAAAAGATGTCGGGACCATTTTAACAGCCAATGGGAGTGAGGCATATCTACGGCATTCAGAAGATGCAAGTACACTTTGTGATAGTCATAAGCATAATCTTTGTTCGTCTCATCGTAAATCCAAGTATTGAGTTCACATGGATCATAAGAGTTTGTTAACATGAACGAGCTACTTAGACCTGCTTGGAAAAAGATGAGCGTATCTTCTTCAATTGGAAAGCTTGGATGTGCAGCAGCCATGTTGTTCGATCGATTAACCAGCTGATTGCGTGACTTTCCAAGAAATTGTACTGTGAGTGCTCGCTGTTGGTGCTCAGCCACGTTCGAACGTGGAATAGGCGGAATACATTCACCCATCATATCGGTCACTAATGGAGCGCGACAGTTAGGATCACAGCTCAATAGATTGTAAAGTAATGTCGAACCAGTGCGTGGAAGACCACAAATAATCAATGGACCCTTCTCAGGTAAACCAAAATGGAGAAGTTGATTGTTGACCGCTGCATAGTTTAACATACGTTTGCATGTGGTGTGCATTGAATTGAACATGGAGAAGAGAATATGTCGTCCGACAGGCGTCATCTTATCATTACCAAGTAGACTTCGTCGATTTATTTCAAAAGCTTTCAAAATTTCACTATGAAAACTAAATTGGTGTTTAGCTTCATCATCCAAGTCATTTTCATGGAAGATAGTATCATCCACTAATGATGGATGCTTGTTGGTCACTTGGTCAGATGTGATACCACTCATTGAAAATACTGTGTCGACTCAGCAGCAACAAATGCACGCAATTGTGAATCTAGAATATCATGAATCATGATGAAAGCACACATTTCTGTAGGTATTTTCGAAATCATTGAAAAATAATCGATCCCTGCAAATAAATAGGCTTCGAATCGAAACGCAATCGGCTCTGAATTTGAAAAGTCTGTTAAAGTATCCTACGATGTCTCCCCTTATAACTATTATTCTATAGACTGATGGATAGGGTCTAGAAATGAAAATTCATCTTTGTCTGCCTGTAATATGTAGTACAAGCGACCATAACGATGGTACAAAGTGCTACAGGCATAGCAAAAATGAATACTTGTGGGGTACAGATGATCGTTGCCGTGATCTACATAACCATTTCTAAGGTCAGCGATCATAGAAATGTTATGAATGACAAAAATCGTAAAAATGATCATAAATTCTGTCAAAATGGCGATAGATATGATAGAACTGACCGTAATTGTGAGATAGTTGACCAAACATATTATCTAAGTAACTAAAAATGTACTCTGAATGATCGTACATATGGCGCAATCGAGAATTGATATCATACCACAGATGAACGCAGGATAGAATTTTTCTGATATCCTAGTGCCTTATTCAGCAGGACATGATAAACTTTAAGCTTGCATGCTGTCCTGTCGCACGTTACTACAGATTTGGTAGTGGGATAAAACGAGACAGAAAAAGTCTAAAATTTAGTTCTGTGCTCTTGTTCATCACGAAAGAGGTGGCGAACAGGACACATAGGACAGACAACGTCGTCCGGTTCTCATCTCTTGTATAAGAGCAAAAAGATGTGCTTAAAACGGTCACAATGTTGAATAATGTGGCCATATATATAGCTCGAGTAACTATAAATACGACTTCAAAAGACTAATAATAAGATCTTGTTGGCTATATGTCTCATGATGTAGACCATATCTGTGACCATGTGTTCTACATTTGTGGTTCGTTAGAACACAGTTATGATGCAGTTATTGTGTTGCAGAGAGATTGGGTTTTTTTATTTTTAAATAAAAAAAGCCCAATTCAAAAACCTCTACGGGCAGAGAGTATATGCGATGGTCTGGTGCCTGAAGAAATTAAATCAAAAGTTAACTAAAAATCAAGAACATATTCAGCTACTGAAGAAATATAAACAGAATAAAGCCATTCCACATGGAATACATATAAATAACAGCACAAACATTAGCCAAAATGCGCATCCATTAGATAATACTATGTTCCAAATACGAAACAACACCCACGCCCTCAAATTTTATCGCAAAAGTACGGTTTACCCATGGGTAATGCTATATTACGGATTTTAGCAGACCTACTCATACATAAATATATGTAGAAGGATATGAAAGGGATAAGTGCAGCAAGAAAAATATGGAGATACGTCGATGATATTCTAATTATTACTACGATAAATTAAATTTACTCATAAATATCAAAAAGATGTAACAATCAATATTTTTGATACAGCTCTCCCAAAGAGTTAAAATGGCAACATTAATAAAACACTGTTCAGAAAAGAAACCGCATCCGATAGGCTTTTAAACTACAGCTCAAACCAAAATTCATGAGCTAAAATCAATATGATTTAAAATATGACATCAAAGACCATACAGGCCACCAAAACAAAGCTGAAAAAAAGCAGATCTAAGTAAATTAAAAACTATACATACAAACTCTTATTATCCACCACATATAATCAATAAACGTATGAATAATACATTAAGAAAAGCAGAATCAACCAAAGAACAAACTAAAAATATGGAATCAGAATATAAATTTTGTGTTACGTTACCATATGTGTAATGGATTGAAGTATTGAACAGAAAATTAGCTATGATAAACAATAACACTATTTTTCTCATACCCGAGCAAATTACTCGTGAAATGTACCAGCCAAATCAAACATAATTCAAAATCTAACATATAATAAATGCCGTGTACTTATGGAGCCATTTACAATGGAGAAATGAAAGTGGAAATATTAAAACAAATAAAACAACACAAAATTAATTCAGCTTTATGAACAAAGATCAAAATCTGAAGCAGTAGAACAATATCGAAAAAACTAGAACAAATGCAAATTTGAGCAAAACACGGCTTTCGTCGCCGATAGAGTCCTGCAAGGGTATGAATTTCGGTACCCTACCCTACCCTAAGTTTTTTTCTATACCCTAGCTCTACCCTACCCTATTAAGTTTAAAGATTCCAATAATCGTATACTGTGCATGATTTAATCATTTATTTATGAAATGATGAAGTTCAATTTTACAAAGGTCAAGAATGGTATAGAAAAAATATCACAGCTAATACAATAATCAGAGAAATAGTATTAAATGGACCACGGATATTACCAACAATAAAAAAAATAAGAGAAATAGTGCTAAACCCCCTAAGCATTAGCAGACCTTCGGTCTTCTATTATGTCAAAATGTGTAAAATTTTCAGAAGTGTCTTCTATTGTGCCCCATTTATTATCGGAATTTTTAATTAGAAAGATTCTTCGAAAAACAAAAAGATTCTGGGAATTAGAAGAGGGACTTTTATGTTTTAAAAAATCCAGATACAACACTAACCTGATTCTCTAAAAATTCTCAACTGAAAACCTTGAAAACTAGTCACATTTTGATGTAAATATACTAATTAAAGTTCCAATTTTTCGCGAAATCAATTAATTTAGGAAATTCATTGATTATGTCTCACGCAACGTTCCGTCAAGGGAGTACTCTATTATGGGGAGATCTTCTAATATAAGGGGGCATTTTATTGCAGATAGGGATTTACATCGACCACGAATATTAAAAACAGTATCGACAAAGAAAAAAGACATGAACAGCTGTTGTCATTTATTGTTCAATAATTACTTCGAATCATTTAATAGGCATTTTTTTCATCATTCCCTTACGAATTGAAGATATTGTTCGATAGTAGAGGCTGACAGACATTGAACGTTTAAATAGACCAGATTCACATAATGAAAATTTTATCCTGCAATACCCTACATTTTTCAACACTATACCCTAGCCCTACCCGATCATAGGGTAGGGTATAGGGTAGGGTATGATCGAGTAGGGCTGCAAGTCTCTAGTCGTCGATAATGAAGTTAACCGAATGAAAATAAGAATTAAAGAGTCAATATATTCAATCATTAATAACTCTATTAACTACCACGATGCATTTGATGGAATGTGACTCCATCTATTGCACAAGGAGTCGTCAATGATCAAAAGAAGAATCAATAGGAAATACGAAACACCAAAACATAATAGAACACATAGGGATTAAGACGACGATAGTGGAACGGAAGAAGAAGAAGATATATAGTCGACCAATTCTACCAGTACATCGTCTTGTCGTCTCACTATCATAATTTAAAAGAGAAAAAAAAGCATGTGCATGCATGCTTAACCACAGATATGTTTATAAACTTAACTAAAATAAAAATAGTCTAAGGAAGGCAACTATGTTGCCGAAATATTACAGAGAGAGACGGAAAATGCCGAATTCCCCTTACTGGGCCATTACCTCAGCCCAGGATTAAGCAAATCTATTCTTGATGAGCCTTATTTGTTCTTTTGAAATATATTGTTTTAGATAGCAACGAAAAAGAAGCATAGTTTGAAACAAGAGTAAAGTACGGCGGATAATAATTTTAGTGTTTGCGAAGTCAAAAAAGTATGAGTTACAAGTGATATACGCACGTTTTTTTGAAAAGAATGGGAGAGATAATGGGACTCATGACTCACATCACAAAAGTAATCTTCTGATAAGGCATGCAATGCACGATTCACTGTAGAAAAATACCAAACACAGTAATAATGGCATTAACAGCATGCCGACAATAAAAAGCACCAGTCTCATACTGAGCACTGCATTATACACTATTCGAAAATGAGAATTTGTAATATAGAATGCAATTTGGAAAACGCAAATAGTTATATTTATATTGCTTTTTTAATGATCTAAGAGTCCATTAGCATAATTATCTGCAGTTATTATAAAATTAATTTAATCCGATTTTAAAGAAAAAAACTGAATATAAAAACCTATCTTTCAACGGAATAGCGCGGCATCTCATTTTGAAGAAGAACGCAAATGGTTAGATGAAAACTTTGATGGAAGATGAACTGGTAGTGATGGCCTGGTATCATGGACTTCTCAATCAGGATTGCTAAACCGTCTTGATTTAGTCAGGAGAAAACTGATTTTTAGATTTTTCTGTTAGTTAATAAATCTCCTCGTATCAAACGCTGGTTTTCAAGGTTCTCTCTTAGTTCTTGATTTCTGTCGTATTTTGAATTGTAGAATTGGCTTTAATGAGAGTAAGATATTCGTCATTGGTGGCACGTAGTTAAGAAGAGCAGCAGCTAGTCGTGACTAGCGTCCCAAAGGGGTGCCGACGAACGCCTAACTACTGCCAAAGCAGATTTATATGATTCTTGCTGTATAAAATGCCTCTATAGCTTCTAACCAAATAATTGAAAGTGCTCGACTACAACTGAATCAATGACAGTTTATGGAGACAAAGATTTACACAGACACCGATAAATCAAAAAAACAATGCTTATATATTAAGAAGATGTTTTGTTTGACATCGAAATCTAGTACTCTTTAATAACGATTAGATATGCTTTGAGGTGATCGAAGCTTGGGTCAAGTTTAAGATAAAAAGTAACCATTTAAGAGTTTGGGTTCAACTTTAACAGTGATTATACGCGAGTGGTATCACGTCAGAGCGCCGACAACCAACTGCGACCTCTCCTATTTGAAATTCTCATTTTCTTTGTTTCTGGTGTGGCCTGTATAGAGCTAGGTTTTCTGATTGAATTAGTAGCGTAACCAAGGTGAGGCCAAGTGAGGCGCCGCCTCACCACCGGCACCGGGCTAAAAGGCATTAAATGGACTGCGAAAACAGCAGAGCATACGATTGTTTTATTTGTATAGTTATTATAGCTAAAACACTTGATTATGGTACAGCACAATAACTAAGTCTATCAATAATTGAAGAACTTGATCGATCAAGAGATGAAAAATCATTTGAACAATTGTTAGAAACAATCACCAATTTTTGCCGGCAAAACAACATAATCATCAATGATAAGCCAAAACAACATCGGAAACGAACTATTTCTGTCACATTTAAAGATTCAATTATTATTAGTACAATTGGTCAACGTGATGACAACCAAAACGAAGAGTTTTATAGGACAAGCATTTATTACCAATTAATTGATAACATATTAATCGAGTTAAAAGATCGTTTTTCCTTAAAAAATGTACAATTTTTATGTGGTATATCAACATCAAGTCCAGATAGTGATAGTTTTTTTGCATTTTGAATCAATTAAACCATTTACTAGACACTTAAATTTGAATCTTGATTTTTTATTTAATAAATTGACTGTTGCGAAGCCTATGTTGAAATACAAATCCTTAGGTAATATTATCGATTTATATCAAGAATGGCTTCCACTCCAAGAAGCTTTTCCAGTTCTTGTTGCATTAATACAAAGTACCAGAGCGATTCCAATGTCTTCGACAACTTGCGAAAGAACTTTTTCCAAAATGAGAATGATTAAAACAACAGTGAGAAATACAATAACGGATGAGCGTCTAAAGGATTTATGTGTATTAGCAGCCGAACGTGATATAGATGTAAATTTTGAACAGCTTATTGATGATTTTGCAAATGCTCATAAAAATAGTCTGATTATGTTGAAGTAGACAAATATAAATTGGTTGGAGCTTCAAAGACAATAAATACAGTCTGAGGCGCCGCCTCACCACACGTGAATTTCTGGTTACGCCGCTAGATCGAATAATGTACTAAGATTCTTTTGATGAGAAATTCAGTTTGGTCTCAGATTGGTTAGTTGGATAAGAGAATGAAACACATAAGGAATAGTTCACAACAAGGTTTCTACTTTAGAACTTTTCGTGCTGTAATTCTCACCAATTTTGAAAGTAAACGGAATCTACACTGCGATGAATTTTAGATGACAATGCATGATGATATTGCCCAAATATGATTTAGCATAGCAGCGGTTAGCTGCCACTATGGTTGGCGTATCTTTGGAGAGCCGACAAGCGACTATAGCTGCTGCTCGACGAAATTCATTACAAGAACATTTCAGACACTCCAAATCCATAGATAAAATCACTACCATTTAGATTTTACTTGTTTTAATGCAAACAAGATCTAGCAAAAAGCTATCACGTATGTTTCCGAGTGAGGATGAGAACAGCTGTGTTGGATGTGGATGCCCTCATGATCGGAATAGAACATTGGATGAAAAACGTGAATTAAACAATTTATAGAGTTCATTTAAAGTAGATGTGAATATAGTTGAATGCGTTTTTCTGTCTTCATATATTCTTATTTTCATTCATTCAGTTGTCTAAATTTCTTGGGGTACTTTGAAATTAACTTTTTAACTCCACGAAGACTTTGTACTTGAATGAAGTTTCTCTTAAATAACATATAACGAGGATAGTTTGAAGCAACAAGATTTATTTTAATCTGAAAGCTCGACTCATCAGTGGTTTTTGTAGGAAGCAGTAGCATATGATATTCTCGGTTATCTATTGTTGAGCCCATGGATTATTATGATAGTTTTAGAGAAGTATAGTGCGTTTTCACTCTATTATTTTGCATACGTTTTATCTCTTGATTCGCTCTGCAAATCGAAGATACTGTCTTTTCGGAGCTTGCGGACATCTCTGCAGCTTGTACATAACAACAGTCAAACACTCAGGGGAATAGTAACGTGGAGTGATGGTAAAGAAAAAAAGCAAAGTTACGTTTTTCAATGAAAATTCTTTAACTCTGCATATAAAGATTGCTATTGATTGCTATTTAACTGGCAACAGCTGAAATCATGTTGAGAATTAAAAGCATAACAAGCAATAAGATATTTCGCTGGAGTTACTTTCAAATCCAAATCAATAATACTTATGCCAAGATGATACAAAATCTAATAATCTCTAGGATCATTGTTTCGTCAATTTAGATATATTTTAGAACAAGTGATACTGCAATTTATTTCCTTATCAAAAAAAGGTTGATTTATTCTTCATGTAATTCTTAGGAGAACAATCAACTTTGCAACATTATGAAATTTAAACTAATTGAAATTCTGATGCATGTTTTTGAAATCTTGCTGAATTTGGCTTTTCGACTATGAAGGAATCAAAAAGATTTATGACGCATTCGACAGTGTCAACACATTCGCAATATCTCCTTTTATTATTTTTCATAATAAACAGGATACTTCACATAAGATTCATCAAGTCAATAATAAACAGTTTAGGTGGACCATGTATGCTGTATACCCTTTTAATGCTTCTGTTGTGGGTGTGGGTGTGTGTAGGTCCCCGTGTCCACCTTTCCTCGCATCCACGCCCACACCCTCAAGAAATTGAAAAAAGTCTCTTATGGAAGCAATAAAATCCAAGAATTTCTCCCAATTAGATACCACCGAACAATAATCTAACATCAGAGTATCCTTAAATTCTCTTCATAATAAACATCCATATAGAAATCTAATCGAGTTTTTATTGTAATGAAAAACAGAGCAGTAGAAAAATATCTTGTAACTAGAGTGGAACAAATGCAAATGAATCTAAATATTCTTGTGCTGGCTTATTTGCAATTATTGTTGAACTATTGCTTAAATCAAATGTGATAATGTTTTGTTTGTCTAGACTCTTGACAATCATTGTAAAATAATATCCTTCATGACAAGTACCAGCAGATGGTTCATAATCTTTCAAATCTTTGGATAAAATATCCATCGTACCATTATATGGATTTAAACGTACTAAACGACAGCCACGTTCGTTCTGGAAAATCTCCATACCATAAAAAGCATTCATTTTATTATCATAACATAAATAAGCTGGTAAATTTGAATCAGTTATTTCACTGATTATTTTTCGCTTTGTGATATCAATACCAACAAGGTAATCGGGACCATAGGGCACTGTTACAAAATATTGATGATCAGTTGAATTAAAAAGATTGCCATGGAATCAGGTTGTACACCACTGGCTTTGATTATATTTATCCATCGTTTTGCTACAAAATTACTTGGATCTATCTGAACGATACTTGTCGGATTTTCAAATGCGTCATTTATTTGTATTGAGTATAATTTTCCTGTACTACTATCAACACGTAAACCAAATAGTTCGCATACGGTTCTGTCGTAATTGTTCGATATTTTTTGTGCCATTGAATGGATTAACTTTGGCCACTGACATTGCTGCTTCTTTTTCTAACGTTGTTTCACTACCAAGAACATAGAAAATTTTGTGAATAAAATCATAAGTAACATCGTATGCTCTGTAATTCGTTAAAGGTGTGAGGACTGTAAATTTTCCGCTTAATGGATCAATTTTGAATAATGAGTTCGATGATGATGCAGGATCATACGATGCTCCTATTAAATAGCCCTTTGGAATTGTTTGTATGAGATTGATAACATTGAAGATGACGTAAAAGTATAGTAGTAAACATGGTAAAGAAGTAGTCATTGATCTGAAACTCAACATTACTAAGCAGATTGATTGCAAGAAGAAAAATTCTATGTTTTACATAGAACAGTGAACTTGAGAACAAATTGATTCATTTATAAAAACAAAATCGCAACGAAAAACGTTTGGTGCATTTATGAACCCAGGTCGATGATTGCGGACTTCGTATACAGTCGTTTACGACCTGAGGGTATGAGTTAAGAGAATAGTGATGCTCATATTCATACTGAAATATCTGCATTTTATTTCAGTAGGTTAACAGTGCATTGTTGTCGACTGAATATCGGGTAGACTAAATACCTGTCGACGAACAACATAGTTAGATAAAAATATAACGTGTATTATAGAATAATCGCACAATTAAATGGAGAAATAAGTGATGGAGACTTGCATTCTCTGAGCCACACTTTAACTATCATTTCGAATCTATGCGTCCTTGCATAAGTGGAAATTTTAGGATTTGATCACTTCTGTTTGAATACACGTGTATTTATCTACATGTTGTGCTCTTTTTATTTAAAATTATTAAAAATTTTCAATTGAATATATCTATGTTAGGCGCATGCAGCCATACATTCGAAATGAACATAATTTTTAACTGGCGTCCTAGGATTTTTGTGGAAAATGTTTTGTTTCACCGCGAATCAGCATTACGTTAATTTGGCAAAATACTAGCTTTACGCAAAAAGTCCATAGTCACTCGTGCCACTTCTTCTGTGAATTCCACATGAGGATAGTGTCCTGCTCCGTCCACCATTGATTTTACCACTAATTGACTGCAACTCATTTGTGATGCAACAAAATCTGTTTCTTGTACCGGACTTTCGAAATCGGGATCTCTACTTCCCATTATTAAAAGTACAGGAGTTTTAACAGCATTGATTTTAGCCCAAGCATGTTCTTTCGTTGCTCTAATCATTTGGCCAATAATACCTGCGTGTGCACAGTTAGATAACATTTTGTGTTTAATAGCGGCAGTATAAGTTGGTAGATCCGATGGTGGTTGAGCAAAAAAGCCCTTGTAGGCAGCTATCCATACTGGTTGACCCCATAACCGATTGAATAGAAGATAGGTGAGTGGTCGAAAATATTTGTCCTTTGGCATATCCCGAAAAAATCCACCAAGAGATATAATTGCAGCTATGCGATGTGGATGCTCTGCAGCAAGCGTGACGCCACATGCAGCTGCCAGCGAATTGGCGAATAAGACTACAGGCTGTGTAATATGCAGCGAATCAAGAACAGTGATAACGTCAAGTGCAATTGATTCAATCGTGTAATTATTAAAAGTTGTGCTACTATCACCAAAACCACGAAGATCTTGAGCGATGACTCGAAATCCTGCGTGTTGAAGAATTGGTGCTAGGAATCGATAGCTATGACGAAAATCTCCGATGCCGGGCAGACAATAAGCAATTGGAGTTGATAGTGAAGCAGTGGGATTAGAATCTTCGAAAGCAATAGTTGAATTATCAACTGGTAACTCAACAAATGCTCCATCGGCAAATAATCGTGGTAGAGTTATGTAAATTTTGCTGTTCGTCATTCTGGATAAAAGTTTACTAAAACAGCGCTCAAAATTGAAAATTTCTAAAAATAAAATCATTTTTCTGGATTTTTACTTACAATTAGATGAAGCACTTCTTCAGTAAATTAAAGCAATATTTTCACGAAGACTATAAAATTGTACAAATTTTTAAAAGTCTTCATGAAAATCTTGTTGCTGAAAATCGGAAAATAGCTTTTTTTGCGATAAATCCACATTATCTATCTATGTATGAAAGAGATACGTTGAAGAAAAACTTGATGAAATTTTCAAAATTCAATCGTGTAATATAACGTGTTTGTTGATGTTAACTATAGAAAAAATTAGTCATTTTTTTCTGTCTGTTTTGATTACTAACTCCATTTTTCTCTTTTTCACTAGATGGCGAATGCAAGAAAAATACCTGTTACCGATGAAGAAATAAACAAAAAAACGCACTTGTGCTACACGTGGTGCGCATTCTGTCAGTCTCATGGGACGACAATTAACTGAGACAACTCAGTCGAACACTATTTATCGATGGTGAATTATTATAATCTAACCAGCCAAGCGAACAGCGCTGTTGATTGGATGTTTTAGCCTATGGATTTGAATCTATGTCACAAAAATCAATAGATACTAGTTGATTAAATGTGGTCTTGTGTTTGATTTTTTTTAAATCCTATCACACGAATACTTCCAAGTTTCAAGAGAAATATAAGATTTCAGGTCTCTCATTATATATATATATATCACGATTCATTTTTGATCGTGCTTCACTAAACTATGATATAAATTATTCTATTAGACAGTCGAAATTTTTTCAAATTTATTAGTAAATATTCATTTGACAGACTTTCTGAAAATTATAAATAAAAGACTTTTGAACCATAGAGATTCTCCGATATTTACTAAGAAATTATGATTTTATCAAAAAATTGTATGTATCAAGTATTTTGCTCAATACATGATTATAATCAAATGCAAGCAATCTTGAATGGTTTAAACAGAAAATATCAACCAAGTCTTAATAAACATAATGTTGGCGAGTATAAATGACCTACGACAACAATAGTTATAGTCATACATCGCAGCGCTTGTCAGGATTCCAGCGAAAAAATTATAGTACTATTTCATTATAGAAGGCAGCAGATTAGTCTAGTGATAATTTAATCATGACAATCCATATGATTAAGTTTTCTTAGCGATGAAAATATTTGATCAATCTACTAATTATAAGCTACATAGTAACTTTTTATCAGAACGGAAATAATATTCCATTTTAATAATATATGAAAATCTAATAAAACAATTCATAATATTGACAACTTCTAAGAAACATTAATATTCTGTTTTCATGCCCGGTTCTGTCTTAAAATTTTAATTAAAATGGCTATATTCATTCGTTTCTTCAGTAATAGAGAGTTAGAATAAAATAGCTGACTTCCTTTAGATAGTTATACATTTAATTTAAAATAGTTAACATTCTTTCGTTCCTTTGATGAACAGTTGACACCAAACATACAGCGAATGATTTATATTTGCTGTTAAAAAAATGAGTCATCATAAATTTATTCTTTTTCTGATCTATTTATCGCTGTGTTTTGCCATATTCCGATGTATGTAGACTGAAGTTTATTGGAGGGGACAAGCTCATACTTACTTTGCTCTGATTGCCTCAATGATCAACTATATTGAACATCCAGGACGAGGTTACGGCTTATTGCACTGAGCTGCAGACTAAATCCTGCTTTCGTTTCATATCGGAGCGAAGAGAGAGGTTAATTTATTAGCAGCGTCTCTGCGTGCGCGCTCAGACTATTCTATGAAGTAAAGAAAAAAATAAAACTCTTGTAATATCATTTTCAACTCAGCAGGAGTTTATTCTAACGATGTAATTGTCAGTTTTCTTTCTTTTCTTTTCTTTTGGCATCATGACAACAGCAGCACTCGTACATGATATTGAAACTGCTCCTAGTTTGCCATCTTTATTCAATATTCGATATCCTAATTGTCGTACAGGGATGTTTAGTCTTCGTGAACCATTTCAAAATGTAAGAGCAGAATTTTTTCCAATCGAACATAGACAATTATCAACTGAAAAATTAGCCGAATTAAATCAGCAACCAACTGACTTCAATTATAATCAAGGTTATTAGTTATTTCATATTCTACTATCATTATTTATTTATATTCTAGTACCATGCATACGTAAAAAAACTGTCGAATCATTATCTAGACCGCCTCAAAAAATATCAAAACGAAATGCTGAAGTTCAATGTTCACTATTAAAACCGCATACAAGTCATGAAATCGCTGTTCAAACAAAAAATCCTCGACAACGAATACCAGACAATGCTTTGAGTAATAATAATGATGAAGATGTAAATTCTCGATATCGTCGTCAAACCAAATTACAAACAGTTAAGCAACGTCAACAGATCTATGAAATTCGGGATGTTGAATCGTCGCCTTTACGAATAATACCAATAAATCAAAGAATTAAACGTAAAGAACAACATAAAACATATACTAAACCTAGAAAGTCAATCAAAGACTATGATGACGATGATTATGATGACCAAGAAGAAGAATTCAACGATGACGATGACGATGATGATGATGATGATGATGGTGATAATGAACGTATTATATATGCACGTGAACCTCCACAAACAATTAGAAAAACATATTTACCATCCAATGTACGCATGATTTGTGTAAGGGAAGATATAAAATGAGTTTTAAATTTGAAAAATTTTCAAAGAAAATAATTGCTTTATATATACGTACATCAGAAAATACACAAGCACAGTTGATAATAATTGTTCATCTTCATAAAAATTTTATTCACTGATTCTTATGGAATCTAAACATCGAGATTAATTTAAGACGATGATACATTTTTTTCTGAATGTAGCCATTTCATTCTTACAAAAGATGACAAGAAGTTCGATTTTGATGCTTTTCGATTTCAACTTCTTATTTTTTTTCCAAGTTACTCAAGTTTATAACATATATGAATGTTTAAATTTGTGAAAAAGTAAGAAACTGTTCTTTTTCATTGAGTGAAAGCAAGATAAAAGTTCGATTCAACGAAATTATATAGCATTTACAGATAGGAAAATAACGAATGTTTTATAATAAGATCAAGCTATTTCTTTTAACATTTCTCACTAGTCGATTAATAATTTCATATCGATCATTATATCAACTATAAATAAAATATCTATAATAATCTAAACATCTAATACGCCAGATATTCTAAAATAAATCCATGATTCAAGCTAATTACTTCTATTAATTTCGTGATCATAAAAATAGAGATTTTTCAGTTTCAATGAACAAACAAAACAAAGTTTAATCACATTTTCTTGATTTCCTAATGACATTTATTCGTAATCGAAGTAACAAATAATATTTAAATCGCACGATTATAAATCATTAAACGCATTCAAGTAGTAATAAGTAATGTACGTAAATATTATTCAATGAAACAGCGTCTATTTCCTATAACTCTTCAATTAAATGATTAAAAAAAATTGAAATTGATTTGATGTCTGTTTTAAATTGACTTGCAATTATGTTTCGTTGCTTTACTTGAAAAATTGAAGCGTTCCTTCATTGATCCATTCAATGTATTAAATTACCATTTTAAAATGCAGAATAGAGCAGCATTCTTTTTGTATTAATATTTTCAAATTCTATTACAGTTTGGAGACATTTTTTAATATAATTTGTTTTACACTATTTGCGTTTTGTAATATGATATCTCATCAAATATCTATCATTTTTTAAAAACAAATGATCTTGATCAACAAAGCCCAAAATCATTTTCATTGATCACTATCCTTGGAATACTCTATTATGATAAAATAGAGAAGCATCACTTAAAATAATCAAAAACTCCATTACTATAATTTATCAGTCTGTTTGTTCAAGTTGTTGTTTTTTCTTCTACAGAAGGTGTTTATAATCAACCAGAGACTTTGTCCTTGTCTATGTTTGCAAACGCAAAAAAAAACAATTCTCTTCTTACGCTTAAGAATAAATAGGCCTTTTACAGTTCTACAGCATAAATAGTAATCTGATTTGAAAATAGCTGTCAGAAAAATCACATTCAATATAAATATCTTATTCGAAGTCTCATAATAATAATTATTGGGCATTGAAGAACTTGGATGATTGTTTGATAGTAACAATAGGAAGGTAATTATATCATTGATTAACATAAAAATAAAAATTTCTAACTTTAACGAGAAAAATTTTCTTTTTCCAAATTACCGCTTACTGAACTCGTACTGTATCATACTTCGAAATACTTTTGATACAAAAATGTCAATTCTAGGCAAAGCCTTTAGACTTTTTTAATGTTTTTATATAACCAAAAGTTCTCATTTTTGTTTTTTTTCGAGGTTTTATGATAGTAATCGAACTCAATAACGATCAACATTGAAATACATTCTCGAATTTCTTTTCTATTTGTCGCTGTCATTCTCTATCTGTGTCTTTCGCTTACATTTTTGACTTTTCGACCGAATAAGATAAGAGTGCATTGTGTTTATGCAAAGTTTGCATATTATTATTCAATACCACCAATAAAATATTTTGAGTTAGATAAATTTTCAAAACAAAACAGTTTTATGTTGAATAATGCTGTTTTGTAATTGATTCTGTTTTTTGTCAATTCAATCATGAATATTCATAGTTTTTATTTATTGCAGACTTTCATACTAGCAATTTTACAATTCATTATTTTTGGTTTACGACTTCGTCAAACACAATATAGTATAAAGTAGGATTATTAGTTGAGGAGACGACGGGAGAAAAAAAATCATGTTTTCCTCTTCATATATAACTATCATAAATGGGATATTTTTTTGTGAATAAAACCATGTGAATGAATTCGCATTTTTATTTCATTGTTATTTTGCTTTGTTGTCTGATTACTGAATGAGTAGACTAAATGAAATCGGATATTTTAGAGAAACTAACTATTGTTAAATAACAGACAAAAGTAAGGTAAGTAAATGACGAGCCTCTGGAATCGTTCGTAGGGATTCTGGAGGAAACGAAAAGTGATATTTAATTGGCACTTTATATAAACGCTCTATGATGATAGAAATCATTCGCTAGAAAATAAAAAGTCTAAAATATAATCATAAATAAAAACCATGATATTATCTGAAAATGAAATTGTATCATGGTTATATTAGCTTTTTTTTACTTTGAAGTATGTTGTTTAGTTCTTATAAGTTTATATTGGGAGAAGAAAATAGGAAATATATTTGAGAAAACTATTGATTTGACACAGATTTTATTGATCACGTATCAATGAATAGACTAGTAACGTCATGATGTGATTGATTTACTTTTGTCAAAATATTCATGGAAGATTCGATACAAATGAAATCGAACGTTTCTTGATGAAATATCACTACTATTCGAATAAAGCAAGTCTAGTCTTGTAAAAATCAGCGTTTCAAACTGTCAGATATTTTACTATTGGCATATGAAATATTCTTTGTGCAATGTTCTTTTTCACCTACAATAAGTACATACTGACTGTTTGGATATCTAGAAATTAGAATAGCTATTGGAGTAGAATTCCATAATGGGAATTTTCTAGTCCTTTGTAGTTGCTTTTTATATATTTATTTATTTATATATATGCTGTTAACGAACAGGATATAAGAACTCATATATTTACCGAATGCATCATTTTGCTAATGTTAAATTTCTTTATGTCTCGGCATACCATAAATTCACTCGTTTACTTAATTTCCTGTCTTCTTTTCCAATCTTTTTTTGTTGGTTTTTCTCGATTTTCTCGAGCTTTAACTTCCCACGTAACTATCAGCCTGATGCATGTATATAGACGTATTTAGGCATAAATAATACTAAGCGGTGAATAAAATCAACAGATAATGTTCAACCGAGGATAAAAGCTTGAATTAAGTAAAAGACAGAATGAAAGAAGAAAATTCATCGTTGATCTAATCCAATCGTTTTAGAAGAGTAGATAGTAAAAGAAAAGATTTTTGATCAATATTATTAGTATACTTGAACAAAACAAGAAAGGTAACATAGAAATGCTCTTTCGCCTAGTTTATTCTGTCGTTGGTTATTGTTCATAATATCATTTAGATTTTTTAGTTGTAAATCTATCTACAAGATTAGATAGTCGAAATCAGAAAAAATATTATTAATCGATTAAAAAATCACGACGATAATCAATAAAAACACTAAAATTATTGTCAGTCTCATTTAAGTGTCTTTGTCAGTATTGTTATTTCGGTCGAGTCTAATGCAATTTTTTAACGCATAATATTAATCATATTTCTTTATAGATCAGAACTATAGACTTCGTTGAATAATCATCGCTATTTGTCTACAAATAACAATGCGATATATTTGTCCTTTCTTTTACTATCTTATTCCTCTGTATATGTCAGCAACAAATATATTTAGCAACGAGAAAAATACAACTGACAATCACATTGGTTAGATTAAGATTATGTCTTGTTGTGGATTGAATTATTCCTTATCTAAAATTTATTTTTATTTGTTCATATAACTAGTATATATATATATATGTCAATCTCTTCTTTGATTATATTAGTTTGGTACGAAGGACATACTCGTGCATTTGTCTTTGCCAAAGCAAATCGATCACTCGTATTCTTTTTCTTCAGTAACCATGCTGATCTTATCCTGTCTATCAATCTATGCAAGTCATTACCGATGGTAAAGAAAACACATAATGTTCGCTTCTACACTTTGTTTTTTGTGTTGATTTTGGGAAAACATAGCTCGTGCACAGCCACATATAGCACTAAATCAACAATCGTTTTTTCACCGTTGTTTCCCTTCTCACTTTACTTTTATGCAAGATCTATGTGTGTTTTTGAGCGTCCGTTCGTCGATTTCCTTTTTCCGATAAAAATTCTACAAGTTGCTGAGAAGCTCACTTGATTTGATTACTTTTACTTATTTTCTTGGTCTGTTTATGTTTCAAAGATCAATCAGTTAGTTATTCATCATCTTTGCAGAAGCAAAACTCTAATTTATTACACAAGTCGTCCTTTCTCTTTCTCTTTCTTAATGCATAATGTGTTTATGTACACATATTCATATCCGACACGTATTCATTATCAAGCATCATATGCATAACGAGATTCTCAGACTAGATGTATTGTCTTGTTCTCAATTGGTTGATTATCATAGACGACGACCAAGAAGAAGAAAACGACAACAATATTTACCTTATCGATATCTCCTTCTCATAATTTTATGCTCTTTTCTCTGCATCTTCCTCTCTCTTTTTCTCTATTTATAGATGATTCTTTGATGCCGTCACTATCTTTATACTCCGTACGACTTTCATGGTAAGATGTGCCCATACGTGTTTGTGGATATGCAATCATGCATTTGAACTATATAGCCAAGAGAAAAGAGAAGAAGAAATGGGCAACCAGATGTAGTTATGTTTTATCGCTTTATTTTTCTGTGTTACTACGTTGACACAAATATCATGTTTATCAATCTTCACACGATAGATTGAGGATCAATGATTGACTTAGTTTTAATGATGTCAGATACGATGATTGATTGGCTTATCGACGAGACAGCATCATCTATATATAATGACATTAAGAAATGGAACGAATAAGATCAAATGAGATACCGAGATACCATTTCCAACATGCAATGTCGATATTGATGATAAATGTAAAAAGAAAACTTCATCTTATATCCGACGTTCTTGCTCTCTAAATATAAATCAAGTAGACGAGCTACAAATTTCATTCTGGAATTCGAGTAAGTGACAAAACGTGTCAATAAATAAATAATACTCATTTGTTGGAATATTATCACTAAGGTTAATCGGTAATGTAGGACTCCTTTTCTTTTGTCCATAGATTTTTTTCCAGCTTGTCATAAAGGGCATTAGTAGTCTATCTATTTAGTTGTAAGTAGTTATCTTTTGATTTTTCCCTATTATAGTTATATTCATCGGTAGTTTATATTAGAATTACATTCTTAACAGAAGAAAAAAAGAAACTAAGTGAGTGACTTATTATATTATAACCTTATTCATGCATTGAATGTTGTGCACACAATCAATTTTCATTAATCTGCATTAATTGATTTTGAACACAGTGGACCGTACAAAAATGATTTAAAAGAAGACATTATCGTTCTTCGTCAATCTAGTAGCAATCAATCGTTTTTTTCTCCCTTAAGCTTATGTGACATTTCAGTAAATAAAAACTAATAGAATCGTTGTAAAATAGTTCGTTTCAACTTTTTACTTACTGGTTAACTTATCCTTAAAATAGATTACGACAGTTAATCTTTGTATTGTTAAGATAGACAAAGAAGAGATTTAAATATCGTTGTATTTCTTTTTTTTTAATACCAACTAAAACTGAACCAACGACTTCGTTTAACCAAAAAATAATTCCAGACAAAACTGAATAATATTCTTCATTTGAGAGAATCAACATTTTTATTTATAGAAATAGAAAGAAAAACATTATAATCAACTGTTTTAACTTCTTTGATGAGTACGGCAAGGAACTGCTCAACGACAGCAAATATTTCTACAATGTATTAATATTTACACTAAGGATCGAAAGAAAAGCTTAATAAAAAGAAATGATTATGTAGGGTTTTTTCAAGAATACACATTCAAAGCTATTTGTAGATTGCTTTACTTTAATGTTGATAGATAAACTATTTATGGATTAATATACGACGTTTTTCTGTTATTGTAAATGCATAGTATTTGATTTTCTATACAATATGATGAAGTTTAGTCTTGAAGTCATGTCAACTATGTTTAAGTGTCCTCTTGTGCTAAATCTAAAATTAATGCTAATCATGCGATTAAAAGAACGATACGAGTGATATCTATTAGTTATTTTACAAGCATGATTGTTATCCTTGCCATTGATGTGTACGAAATAGGGAAAGCGCAATGATGCGCAAAGCTCGTGCGATTGAGGAAAATGAGAAAAGAAAGAATTAATCTGGACTATTTTTACACTTTTTTCTTCCACATTTTCTCTTTTCTCGACTATTTGGAGTCCTTCATTGACTTTCCCCGCTTGCATTTTTCTCTCCAGTTTATTGCTTCTATTTTTTTTTGATTTAAAAAAAAAGGGTCTGTTTGTTTTCGTAACCATACCATTTCATGCTGTCTAATGTCGATATTGACAATGCGTCATTTTTACTGATTCTTAAAAGTCTCTAAAGACAAATAATTCGTTTTTTTATCTGCTATCGTATAAAGTAAGTTGGTCTGATTGCTTACTAATTTTTTTCAAATGACGAATATGTAAAACTTATGAGGTCGAGATTGATGGCAGTAATGCCACGTTCTTTTAATTCGATCTGTTCTTGTTCTTTTTTAAGATAAAATTAAGAAAAAAAAATGTGATAGCTGTCAAGTTACAACTCAAGTTTTTCTATTAGTCTTTCTTTCTCATCATTTTTTTCCAATTAATATGTACAATATGAAACAACACGAACAAATTTGCTACAGTGTTTCGAGTATGTGAGCACATACATGTATGTATGTATCTATATATATATATATATATATACATATCATTTGATTGTTTATCAATGATGCTTTTATTTTCTATGATTGATTATTATTAATTGAGGACAACAACTAATTAATTATTTTCTGCTAAAAATATCATAATGCCCATGGATTCTTTTTTTAACAAAGTGTCAATTTGTAAAACCACACCATTGCTGCTGGATTTATGAAGTAAAAGTGATAAGAGAGATTTCATTGAATAAAAATAGTTACATTTATGTTGTCATCAGTTTTAGATAAGAAAAGAACACATTGTAACGAGCCAGTGTTTTAGTGTCACTTGACAGGTATGCGTATATACACGGATCGAGTATGTACATCGATAGAAGAGAATTGAAGCAAAAAGAAACGAAAAAAAGAAGTGCATAATGCAGATTGAAGAATATTTGTTTTGGAAGTAAATTGACGTTGGCGGTGGTATGATGGGCGATGAGATTGCATATATGTGATTACGCTCTGAATAAGAAACGAGAAGAAAAAAATTTAACAAAAGAAAAACGAAGATCTATATGTTACCTTGTTTGTATGATGGCCATGCACATATTAATATATAAATAATTGATAATGCTTGTATCTTTTGTTTTCGTCATATTTTTCTTTACTTCGAAAGTTAACTTTATCTATAACATATATAAAAGCATAATCGCTAATGTGATTTTCAAAATAAAAACTAACGAAATTCATTCACTAAAGTAAATATAATTCATTTCTTTCCGTTAAAAAGAGCAGAGAATCAAGCACAATCAGAATATATTTTGTGCGCATTCGATTTATTATTTTCTATTGCCATCATTTGTCAACCGGATAAGAATAAATGAGGAGATGCAAGCAATATTTATCTTCTTTTTCTTATTGATTTATCATATTCTGATCTTGAGCATATATATATATATGTAGATTATCAGTTGAATCTATCTTACTTCTTTTTTTTTAAATGTTCTAGAGAACAATATTTGATTTAATTACGGCGATCACATTTTCATCGCTGAAAATCCGTTGATTATCGATTGTGTTGGTTCTTTTTCACATGGTTATTTGCTTTCCCAGTTTTGATATTAACATCAGTCGATTGTTCACATTCGTCTGTCTTCTCAGCGTTGTTTGTATTGTTCAATTTCAATTGGTGTCTGCCATCGATGCAGCTCCTGGCACGCCAAAACGTATCGGCTCCTCGGTGAACAAAGCAGTAACACTGAGAAAGACAAATTTTCCAACAAAAGTAACAACAAAACCAATATCAGCAAAAACAACAACAATAATAACGACGACGACGACATCAACTAACCAAACAGATGTTTGTGTAGCTGAAAAAATTGATAAAACAGTATATTTTTTTTCTGTCGGTTACCGAGCAATTTCTGGTGCACTGGTTGTTCCAATAACGATATGTGCTATATGTGGAAATATACTTGTTATTTATGTTATTAAACATTATCGTGAACTACGTGTTACAGGCAATGTTTTTCTTGCCTCACTCGCTGTTGCTGATGTTGGTGTTAGCTCTTTAGCGATGACTTTTTATGGCTTACAATTACTATATGGAAGATGGCTTTTTGGCCCAGTAAGTTTACTCATATGATTGATAAATGCTTATTCGCTGGGAAAACGTACGGTTTTTATTTTCTCGATTATAAATTCAGAGACGTAAACTATTTTGCATGCTATTTACGAGACATTTGTGTACATAAATGAATCAAACAAGTGCTATTAATAGTCGAACAGTAAATAATAAATTTATTTTCTCCATTTATGCGATAGAATGCTTTTTTTTACTTCATAAGAAATATTTGAAGATGAAGGAATTCATCAAAATGTGACAATGTTTGAATTCTTTAAGAATTAATGGAAAGTATTTTAAGTAAAATACATCTATACAAATCAAAACCATTTAAAACTAAAAATAGAAAGTATACTACCATTTTGTTTTTAAAAGTAAAAGAAAATAGGCGCATTAAACCTTTCAATCATTATTTTCCTAAATAAAACATTTTTTCGCTCGTTTTGAATCTCGATTTTGAATATCGTTAGAATCAAATGAAGAAAAAAAAATCTTTATTAACATCATACGGATTCATCAATGAAGATTCATTATGATCTTATTCGTTTGAAATTATTTTAGTTTATGTGTCGTTTATGGTTTTCATGTGATGTTCTATTTTCAACAGCATCTATTATACATTTAGCTTGCATAGCACTTGATCGTTATTTATCTATAGTACGTCCATTTGACTATGAAAATACATCAGCTGAACGACGCCGTTATATAATGATACTATTCTGTTGGCTTGTTTCAGCTTTACTTTCGTTTATACCAATATTTACTGGTGTATATACAACCCGTGAACAACGACATAAAATTGATTGTTTAAATCAGGTTCATGGTCGTTGTATATTTGCTGTCAATCAAGCATATGCTATAGTTTCATCATCATTTTCATTTTGGGTTCCAGGTGCTATAATGATTATTATGTATGCTATGTTAATAAGAATTGCTGATAGAAAAGAACGTGAAGCATATCAAATCATGGATGGTGTTGCTCAGCGTCGACGTGCATCACAATTAAATCAATTTTCTACTCACCAGCGATCTAGTGATGATCAAATAATTGCTGAAACAACATCGATGACACAGCACATATCACGTAATAATAAATTAACTGCAACAACAAAACCAAAATCAATCAATGGACATTCAAATAATTACCGTCGTGAAGGAAAACATGATAGTTTAGATAGGGATATGGATCGACAAGCATCTGTTGATTTGCATAGTGCTCTCATGGATTCACGCAATCCACATATGAAACACTTGAGACGTGAGCGTCGCGCTGTCAAAACTTTAGGCTCAGTTATGTTAGCTTTCATAATTTGCTGGCTTCCATTTTTTGTTCGCTACACAGCCTGTGAACCAGATCGTTGTAATTGGGCGATCGCACCGCTTATTGCAGATATCGTGTTTTGGGTTGGTTATTTTAATTCAATGATCAATCCGTAAGTCAAAATAAATGATTAAGAATGAAATATTTGATTTCTTGTTATTTTATCTATTTCAGATTTTTATATGCTTTTCATAACAGAAATTTTCGTGTTGCTTTTAAAAAGACACTTAGTCCATATTTTGTTTGTTGTCGAGGACGTCGTGCAAGTACGACTAGCTCCATTGGATTTCCACCAGCAACACCAAGCGGTGAAGCGCATGCAAATATGAAACGGCTCAAAAAAAGTAAAATGATTCGATCACTAGCAAGTATTAATGAAAGACCAAGTATGAATAAAAAGAAGTTAAGTGGTGGAAATGTTGTCCTTGAAACATCAAATGGAAATTTAACTGCAGGAGAAAATAGTTCATCATCAAAACGTAATTCTTGTCTTTGAATAAACACATTTTGCTGACATTTGTTTGTCTTTATTTTACTATTTGCATCTATTTTTTCAGATGTATGTGATGAGTGCAGTTACATTAAAAAAAATAGAAGCTTAACTGTGATTTATTATCGAGTGTTTTTTTTTCTGTGTTTCTCTGTGCTGAATTTCATATTCGATTGTCATTGTATAGTTGAATGTATAACGCGATGTCGATGTGCTTCATCGCAAACCCGGTGAGCAATAATCGAATCTTTTCTTTTTATTTTCTAATTGTTTTAGTAAAGAAACAAGAATGGATATGATGTATAAAAAATTAAAATAGTGTATAAGGAATCGAAAAATGTTTTTTCTTTCGTCTATCACATCAATGATGATAATAATTAATCACTAAAAACGTATTGTTGTAAGCATCAGTTCTACTACAAAAGTTAAGAAAATGATTTCTTTCCTCCGTCGACCAAAAAAAACAGTTTTCGTAAAAGTTTCCAATAATTAGATATCTTTTTCTTCTTATAGATTTCTGATCACAAAATATGTATGTAGTGTTATATGATAAATAAATAAATCATAGATCTCTATCTGTTACCTATAGCATCTACGTACGAAAAGAGCTATCGTAAGATCTGTGTATCTATAGGCTAGGCTTACATGATTCAATAATCATTAACGTAAACGAGACAGAAGAATAAAAGAACAACGATAGAATTATTAATGGAATTTCTAATGAAGCAATAAAACATATCTATCTGTTTAGGAGTAGCTACTGTTTTTGTTCTTATTATCTATAATCGCTTTTTCTCTACTTAAAAATATTCTGCTAATGATTTTTCAATAGAACATTAAAGAGTATGCTAATGTCTTCAATGTAGAAATTACACTTAATTGGGTCACAAGAAGAATCAATTGTGATAGTACGTAATAGTTATTATGATTGTTTTCTGCTGAATACCATATTTTACTACTTGGGCTACATGGTTTTTCTTTTGTTTCGTTGATTTTTTTCTCTGTCTAAGAAAATCTCTAATTGATTTTGTTTTTGTTGTCTATTTAGTCAACATGTTTTTTCGACATAAATTAAAAGCTATTATACATGTACCAATATAGGATGAATATTAGAATTATTGTATTGGCATATACACATCAATCATACTGATTTATTTTCAGGTACTTATACACTGGTATGAATTTTTGTTTTCCAATTTAAACCAACAATAATATATCAGATTAGTATTACCGATAAAATTCAAATATTGTTACGATAATAAATCCAAGCTGTTATATCATACTCGAATAATTATAAAATATGACGTGAGTAATATAGCACTTGTAAAATGAGTACCGAATCAAAAGAATGAAAATTCCTCAAAGAAATAATATTGTTCTTTAAATAAAAGAATTATTCATTAAAACAGATTTTTATGTGAGAGATTTCGTTGATAGAAAACGTTTATATTGCAAAGATCCGTATGACGACAGAGAAAACGTTCTTATTAATTCTGTTTTTATTATATTCATCAAAATAAATCATGATCTATTTATTTCTATTATTGTTGTTCCCTTTTCTGTTATTATGTGTCATATATTTCGTGTAATGTTATTATTTCGAATTGACATGTATTATAGTGCTACATGTTATTCTTATTTATTAAATTTGAATACTAAACTCTGTCTACTTATTAGTATTCATAACCAATTATGCTAACTTCCGCCGCGAAATGAGAGAAACCATGTGAACAGAAATAAATATTTGTTAAGAATTGATCTTAATTCGTTGATAGACGGAAACTAAATTTTAATGCAATCAAATTAAATTGCATTAAAGTAACTATCACTCTATCAGTAATTATAGCTAATAATAGTTCGTATAGTGACAGGATAGATCAATAGAGTATGAAACATAATTTTTCACGTGATGATTATTAAAAATATAATTTCTTTGATTTTTACAATTAAATATTGATTTGATATGAATGAATAGATGGTTAGCAAATTAAAGTTTATTTCGACATTTATGATATGAATTTTTATTCTACTGTAAGATGTTCTTCAAACAAAATAGTTTTCATGGAAAATAGCGACCTCCCACAGTAATGTAAAAGAAACGAAACAGTCTATGAAAAACTATCTTTGGCGTGTAAGCAAACCAATCATAAGTTATTATCAATATTCTCATTTTTTTTGTTCCTGATCGAGAATATGTGTAGCTATATAACTATAACAATGACCTTTTTCTTTTCTAAAATTTTTGATCAATATGATGTAATGAATTTTAACAACAAAATAGTCTATACTATTCTAATTTATCAAATGAATATGAAAAAATAAAATTTCGAAAATTGTATCGTTTATTTTCCATGATGATGTCAAAAAATGTTTGATCAAATTCTTCCTTGACTTTTCTTTAATAATGGATAAAAGCTTAATCTCAAAACATTTAAAATATTATGTCAACATAATATTTATCAAGAATGCATTTAAAGTTGTTAACAAATTACTTTTAAAATATTATTTCTATTTTCTTTCTATTGAATTGTTTAGTTTTTCAGATAAAATTATGGCAACTGTCATAACGACTAATGATAATGTTTATTCCAATGGCTCATCGCCCAGTAATTTTAAAATGATTCATGATTGGTTTCTTTCACTTCAGGTATGTACACATTTGTAGAGAATCTTTTCATCTTGCGTTTTTAATGATGTTATATCACGTCTCAGGTAATTTTTTCCTCCTCTATGGATAAATGAAGTGCTAATGAAGCTAATATTTCAAAATTGCAAAGTGGTCTTTTGCTTGCTTTTCATGAGTAGAATTGCGTGCTAGTAGTCAAGAAGATACTGTGTGTGTGTGTGTGTGTGTGTGATTTATAATCTTTCTTGATTTAATGCTGCTGACAGCGTCGCTTAAAAAAAGAATGCAAGTAGAGAACATCTTTTTTTTCATGTGTTTCTACTCTCGTTCCTTACTATGCGTGCATCTTTGTATAATAATCATGAAAAATGAGTAGCCTGAGAAGGCAATAGCGAGAGTCGATCTTTTCTTTCTCCTCCTCATTTTCCTTTTGGTCTTCTATTGAAGACAAAAATCTTAGTTCCAGTGTTAAGGTTTTTATTTTATTAAATAACAACTTGTTTAAATGTTGAAAAGCATCAAAATTCACAGTGTGATAAGCAGCATGTATATGATGTACGACACTTATTCTTTTTCTCTATGCTTGGTTAAACATTTTAGATTGTATCTTTGCATGAACTATTCAAATCAATTATGAAAGAATCACCGACGTTCGGCATTTCTTCACTTGCTACCATTCTTTTATTTATTAATTCATTCAAGTTTCCAGTACCATAATCCATATGTAACAGAGAGAAAGACAAGAGTAAAAAAAGTAGAACAAGAAATTTCACTCGTCAGTCAAAAGATTAAAATGTGAACGAGATAGACATGCTGAGTTAGGCGACATAAATTATGCTCGCGCGCACACATTGTTTCTGACAGGTGATGCTCACAGAAAGAATAAAGTAATGAAAGAAAGAAGTCTGTTCGCACGACCAGCTTTCACCTTCTTCTTCATTTTTTTCTTCTTTTTTTTACTCGTCTCATCGTTTATACGTGTATGTGGTATCTCTTGTATTTTATTTAAAGAAAGAAAAAGCATCGGAAATCAAAAGAGAAGAAGAAAAATGGAAAAGCATTCTTCTTTGTTCTAGGGTGAAATGGTGTCATCAACTTTGAATTACAATCCAAAATTGAATGCTGAAATTCATTTAGCCATAACTAAAGAATCTTCGGAAGTACGTTTCAAAAACTAAATATGATATTAATATTGTTATATGATTCTAGTATGTGTCATCAATTTGTGATCATCTTTTTTCACTTTATCACGATGTACAACATCGACTATTTGTGCTTCAATTTCTTCCGTCATTCGTAGCAGTCTATTATGATGTTCTTTATCATCATCGTCATCTAGAATCAATTGATGCTAAAACCGAGGTAAAAAAAAAGATAGAGTGCTATGATACTCGCTCATTATCATTGTTCATTCGTCTAATGACTGGGTAACGTACATCCTTTCCATCAGCATATATAAAAGAAGAACAGGAAGCCTTTTACACAAATTGAGAGAGAAGAGAAAATGAGATAGAGAAAAACAGATAGCTTTTGTGTGAAAGTGCAAGTCATAGGTCTTTTTAGCAGAAAGGCAGAGTCTCGAAGATGAGATTTTTTTTCTTTTCCGGAATTTTTTTTATTCCATGAAATGCAATTCTGTATGTGAAATGTCCGATCTTTGATAAAGTTTCTGATATTAAAATCTAATTAAAAACAAAGTAGAGATTGTTACTTTTACAACGATAAATTGTCGAAGTAAGCCATGACAGGAAGAAGAAAAAAAACATAAAGATTTCATCGTGTGATGATAATATGTTAAAAAAAATTTTTTCATTAGAAGAACAATAAGGTAAAACCGGAAACGAAAGAAATGAGGAGGGGGTAGAGAGTCAAATTTGAAACATGTCAAACGAAGCTAATTTCGCTTTTCATCACTACCATGAACACATTCACATAAGCTACATTCATAATGTGTCTTTGCCTGGAGTCGACAGCCACAGCACATTATCATCAGCACCATTGTCATTCCTCCTTTTTGACAGCATCCTAGCGCGAATAATCCGACTGCAGCAGTAAAGATGAGCGGCTTTCTTTTCCCTTCTTCTTTTTTCTATTTTTTTCTCTTACCGCCTGATTATCGTTATTAAAGAGAGAGAGAGAGAGTGAGCACGTCGCTTCATCATTTTTTTTCTTCATCATTCGATGTGTCTTACTCTTTGCTTATAGGATGTTTGTTCAACAATTGATACTTTCCTCGTCAGTCTTTATAATCTAGTAAGTATGATTAAATATACATATAACTCACATGAAGATAGAGCTAGGACTTTGTCTAAACGGTAGTTAGCTATTGATAACAGTTGCCATACACTAATCTGTATCAGTAGCTCTACTACTGAATAGTCAGCCATAAATCATCAAGAGTGATTCTACTCATTATAATAGTCTCATTCTTTTTCAATAAATTAATCAAATTGCAAGAAGAAAATATTCATCTTCTTTTCTATCCTATAGACGGTGATGGATGATGAACATAATGAAAAAACCTATGAATTTCGTAAGTTGTTCGAAAAAAAACCTAACAGATTTGCTTTTCATCTATTGTTGATCATTTATTTTTTAATATTTTCAATAGGTATTCCAAATTTAACTCTTCCATCGATTTATCATACACCGAATTCTGTAAGTCTTTCGGTTGATTCTGGTAAAGAAAAATCAATTTACTCATATATATATATATATATATATATATATCAAACTTAACTAATCTAATATTTTATTTTCAGCAGATATAAGAATCAATCATCAATAGAGTTTTATCGAAATGTCATCTTCAAGAAAGAATCACTAAAAAAAGAGAGCAAAAAACAATATTCTAAAAACTGATGAAAAAGAAAAAGAAAAATTTATTAATCAAAAAAAAGGAAACTCAATGCATAATGATTGAACAATATGCAAACAAATATTGATGATGTTCGTTTTCTTTAATAGAACAAAGAAAAAAAGAAATAACGAGTTGAAATAAGAGATAATATTTATCGTAATAGAAAACAAAAAATATAAATATTTGATTGTATAAATGTTAATAAAAATAATATGTTCAATATCGAACAATTGATAAATAGATTTTTGCGTTAAATTGTTTAACATGCATATCATATGCTAAGAGGATTTGTTCTTAACTACTCTTCTTTCGTAAAAATAATACATTGTTGATCTTTGATAAGATATAAATAATGAAATAGGTGTCGATCATTGTTGTCATGCTTCGGAAGTTTTGAACAAAATGAAAATTCAAGAAATCTGACATGATGGCTTTTTATAACGTAATACAAGGATACACCGAGATAGTCTACTTAATAGTCTGTAATTAATATTTCCATTATAGTGCTTAACATGGCTTATGATAATAGCTAAATTATAATAAAATGTGTAAAGAAAATTTTCCATCATTAATGAATTCACTTCATATGAAATTCTATATTGGAATCTGTGAAGATTGTAATAGTATTTTTTTGAGATTTTCGATGACTTCTGGTAATTAGAAGACTTTTTTCCTTTTAATTTCAATTGAGATATTGAAATCCAATCAAATTCTCTGATCGTTTGATTAAGAGATTCTCTAACGATGACATTCTTGAAGCATGTATTAGTGTACTAAGGGATTCAAATTGCGGCACGGATATATTTGCAGATATAATATGAACAAATTTGACTTGACTTCTTATTATAAATAATCTGAATAGATTTATTTTTATTTAGGATCATTATGCTCCAACACCTCTCACTCAGCAGGCAATATCAAAGCATGAGCAAAAATGTGAAGCTATTCGTTTACCATCTTTTACTCCATTTGATTCCATCAATGGAACTACAAAGTAAATTGTAATAATAGAACATTGACTGTTTATCGAAATCGCTATTTTCAGCAGTTCGAAACTAATGATCAGCTATCAGGGGTTTGTTTCGAAAGATAAATATATTCATTGACTGGCGGGAGAGGGAAAAACTTAATGACTGCTTGATGCTTTGACATCGTTGTTTATTTTTGTTTCAATTAATTGGACGAGATTTTATTTTTCTTATCTAGTGGCCACATCGCATGGAAGACAGACTCAAGAAATCTTCATCATTTGTGTGTAGATAATGTGTGTTTGTCTTTAAAATAAAACAAAGAATTTTTTGCAACTAATGCTTCCTAGCCTACAGTTTTTTTTTGTAGAATGATTTTAAAAACATAGCAATTTTTCTCTAATGTTTTCTTTTTCTGGTTAGAGAACAAATTGTTTGGTTTCTTCTTATTCAATATGGCATAAATGTATCTTTTATGGATAAATATTCTCGTCAATCATATATTAGAATGTCAAAAAAGTAGCTAATATTTGAGTGTTCGCTTTAAAAAAATGATTTTCTTTATGTACATGAATAGATTAGTTGGGCAAGGTTTTTCATTTAATGGTGCTAAACAATCGAAAACTCAATCAGTTTTGCCACCGGATGGGCGTCGTATTCGTGTATCAAGTCGAATTATGTCAGAAATATTAGGAACATTATTTTATTTTAAGTAATAAAAAGAAAAGATTAAATTAAGATGGAAATTTAATTCTTTTTTTTTCTTCTTTCAGATTTAATACGTCTGATAAAGAAGTAGATGAATGTCTACACTTATTAAAACATCGTGCAGAATATGAGATGTATGCTGATGTTTTACTAGTAGGTGTTTGTCTTAGTATTCATTTTATGATTTTATTTCAATTTATTAGATGACTGAATCAATGGGCTATCTACATGAATTTGAATCTAAACGATCTGAACAAGCAGATAGAATGGGTATTGAAATAGAATTACCACCGACGATGGATATGGTACGACAAAAACGAACTGCAACAACAACACGTTCAATTAAAAATCGTCAGCGTTCAAAAAATCAAAATGATGTATCAGGTAAATAGGAACTTTAATAAAACGACGAGTCGTCCTCAGATGTTGATACCATTTAGAACAATCGAACATTTCATGTTTATAAGACCAAAAAAAAACTTGGATATATATATATAATTTACTATTTTGCGTGCTTGTTTTGCTATTTATATTATTTGCTTGATTTTTTATAATTTCTTTTTATAGTTCTTACTGAAACTAGTACTGATGAAAATACGAATATTATACCCGTATCACCACAACAACAATCTATAACTAGTCTAGCTAATCAAAATTTGTCAATATTTGACTACAACCATGTTAATCATGCTGATGATTTTGAATCTTCATTGATGATTGACGAAGCACGATCTAATATTTCCTCATCGATTGGTCCAGCTATCTCAACTCCATCACCATCATCAGCTCGTCATTATACGCCAGTATCATTAACATCAACACAAACCTATTTCAAAACTTTACAGCAACAAAGAGGATCATCGCCAATTTTACAGCTTCAACCAATGAAATTTGATGATAATGGTGGCGATGGTGATAACGAACCAGTAACAGTTACAACAGTACCACATTCGTCTAGCATGAAGCATGGAGGAAAAAAGGACAGACTAGCAACAGTTAGATTTCGAGGTGATAAATCAGAAGACAAGGAAACGAACGTTGAAGAAACATATCTTTAGAAGTATTTTTTTAATTTGTTCCGTGTGCGTGATGATTATTTAAGGAAGAATTCATTTCAATTTTGTTTGTCTTTCTCTTTTTATATCCTTTTTTTCACAGTATGAAACCGTTAACGCAAATAATAAAAACAAAAGAATTAGTTTAAAATTGTTTTTTGTCTTAGCTTTATTTAATTTCTATGTTATTACAGTCATTGTAACGCAATATTAGATATATTCCTTTTAGTCATATGATTATTCACTGACTATTGCATGAAGAAAGTCGTCTCCATTAAATACGTCATTAGTTTTTATTCCCTAATCATCGTCCAATTGAATCAACAAACAAATAGCTGAAAACCGATTAGCTCTATCCCCTTCTCTCTTTCCTTCCTTGAGTATTCAACTTGTGAAACATTTGTCTCAGTGACCAAAAATTAATTAATTAAACTTTTCGTTTTTCTAGATAAGAGACGAACGTATATCTGAGAAGTATTTTGAAAGATAATGCAATAATTTATTTTTTCTTTCAAGAAACTTCAAGAGAACTATTTTTATTTTGAACGAAGAAACTTGTAAATCTTATTATTTGCATTATTTGTAGATGATGATAATGAATTTATTTTTAAAGAGACTTCATAGTACCAATGCTAATACTATTCAATGGAATAAAACAATTCGAAATCATCAAATAAATAGAAATTATCAACACGCTTTAAAATTATTTGAAATAGGTATTGAAAAAAAAACTTTTCAGCCGAATTCTATTACTTATTTAACAATGCTTGATATCTGCAAAGAAGTAAAATCTTTGTCGACTTTACGTACGATTCATCAATTAATTGATTCGTCAAAAAATATTCATAGTGATGGTAAGGAAATTTATAATAATCCTCGTATACGATCATTATTAATGGATGCTTATATAAAATGCCATGATCTTGATAGTGCTTATCGTGTATTTGAATCTATGAAAGAACGTAACGTTATTGATTATTGCGGTTTAATGACTGGTTTCAATAATCAAGGACAACATGAAAAAACATATGAACTTTCAAAAAAAATTCCACCATCAATCAAATTTTCATCACCAATTCTTTGTACACTTATATTACAAGCATGCACTGAGTTAAATCAATATGATGATGGTTATCAAATTCATCAAAATGGAAAAAGTTTTCTTCCAGGTAGCAAAATGCTTATGAATGAACTACTTAATTTTTATTTAAAATTCAATCACGAGAAACAAGCATTAGATATGTTTGAACAGAATTCAAATCAGCGAACAATAATCGATTATAGTTTATTAATGAAATATTATAATCATCAATATCAACCACAAAAAACAATTGATTTATATTATCAGTTGAGAAATAATTCACAAATTTGTCCGGATCATATTACTTATGTACTTGTTTTACAAGCAATAGCTAATGGATGTTGCGTACATACAAGTGAAAAAATTTATGATCATATTAAGAAATTTGGAACGAATATTGATGTTGATAATGCACTCATCAACATGTACGGTAATTGAAAGCCTAGCTAAGCATTTTATTGAGTAATTTTCCACTGGGACAAAAAAGTTACTGAAAAATACACTGAAAGAATAACTTTATAAACAAAGAATCAGACACTATCTAATACGCTAGTTTAGTGATCTAATATTGTCTAGAACAATTTTATACGTTTAGTAACCATATGATGGCAGAAAAAAGAGTTCTAACAGAAAGGTAACTCTTAATTTGTTCTCATTATTCTATAAGCAAGAGTAATAGTCATTGAGTATTATTGAAATAATGGGGAGGGGGAGAGAGGTAAATCAATAAAAAATTGAATGTCAAAACTGCATATGTTCTCAAGTCATCATGACCAATAGACATCTATTTTATTTCGAGGTTTACTATAAACCATGACAAGAACTGAATTCATAATAAATACTACCTTGAATTATTCACAACTTGAGTTTCCTTGGTATGTGAATTGTGAAGTTCTTCAAAAAAATAGAAAAATGAAAAATCTTTTTTTTTACTACTTCAATACTAATAACGTGGTCTAGAAAAATTGTTGGCTTCCTTCGCAAACACAAAGTCCCGTTCGTTTTTTGTAATGATTCTAAAAATAAAAATTCTTACTGTAAATGGAGAGTCAATGCAGTTAAATAGAACAGTTATTGAGTTGGGAAAAAAACAGTAGTACCTATGGATCTTGAGATTTCCTTTTCTTTATGTTGAAAATACTACTTTGTTGTCACAGAACTTCATTCTTTATATGGTACGAATTTACTTATTGCTGCCAAAAAAAAGCCTTTTGAACTTTTAATTGATGATTTGAACAGAATTAAGATTACTACAGAAAATCTACAATACTTCGAGATGCTCAAAAGCACACTTTGTGCAGATTCTAGGGCATTACCTTTATCATTTGAGTATATGTGAGAAAAAATTGATGAGATTTTATTCTTAATGTTGTTTCCTGTGTGAGTCGATCAGTTCACTTAACATGCTTGTTAAAAGAGTTTTTCATTCGTTTTATACAATAATCAATATTTGATCAAACATTAGAACATTTTTACATTTCCTACTAGAACTACTACTACTAATAATAATAAAGCTTTCTATTTTCAAGAGATAGTGTGAAAACTTTGCCTACTATGTAATAATGTTATTGTAATCAGTTTATTAAGAAAAAAGAATAGCTTATAAAATGGAAATAGAATCAATTGAAACCTTTGTCTTCATAGAGAAGACATCATTCATTTGTATTAATAGTTTTTCTTCTGCGCAACACTGATCTAAAAATAAATTTCTGAAAATTTTTCTCTATCAAAATTATTCAAAACGATCAGTTATACGTCTAGAAAGCGCAAGAACAAATAACTGATGTCATAGGAGGTAAAAATTACTGTCATAAAATAGTTTAAAAAACTCATCTGAAATAACATTAGCATTGACTCTAAGTATTGCCATTCGAGAAATCGAGGAAGTAGAAAGTTCGTAGACGAGCACCTGTCACTTTTAACACTTTCTCACTGAATCCGGCACATCAGTAATAATCATAATTGAAATCTTGAGATTAGTTTAGTTTTATGTGTTTCTAATCCATTCTTTTATTCTATTCAAGTTTGTGTAAGAGGGTGTACTTTTAAAATTTTTTTATATGTTTTAAGGTAAATTAGGTAATTTGGATCAAGCTGAAAAAATTTTTCATTCAATGTCTAAACGTAATATTGTTTCTTACAATACATTACTGAGTCTCTATGGTCTTTATCGTGAATCTGATAAGGCATTAAACTGTTACAATCAAATGATTCAGCAAAGTCATCGACCTGACGATAAGACATACGTAGCACTTCTGCATACACTCAGTCACACGCCAAACAAAATCAATGTTATCAAGCGAATATTTAGTACTATTGAAGAAAATAAACGTGGACCCATGTTAACGGCAGCAATGATTGCTGCATTAGCTCGAGCACAGTTGTTCGATGAACTAAATGATTTAATAAAAAAGGTGCCTAAAGAAAATATTCTATTCTACGCAATCAAAGCAAATATCAATAAAGCAATGAATAAATATGATTATCCAATGTTAATAACAAACGAACAATTAGCATTATATGATTTATTGATGAACAATATGTATACTCATGCTGGTATAAATGATAGAATGACGACAATCGATGAAATGTTATATAAAAATGAAAAATTAAAAAGTATTTTATCCAATTCGTGGTTTGAAAAATTAAATGGGAAAATCGAATATTTCAAAAGTACAAATTCTAAATTAGAAAATTGTGAACATACAGAAAAATTGGCCATCATGAGTGCACTCGAAGAGCAACAAACTTCATCATTACCAGTCGTAATAGGAAAAAATCATCGTATATGCCATGAATGTCACGAATACTTCAAAACAGTTTGTTTCACCTCTACTTCTAAAAAACGTATTTACTTACGTGATTCAAATTGTTTTCATTTATTTTCAAATGGTAAATGTTCTTGTGAAGTTTTTTCTTGAGACGCGCTGATCGTCTCTCTCTCTCTGTCTCATGGCATGTCTAGATAACTGATTTAAAAAAAAACATACATTTTTTCGCAAGTAATGATGATTTTTGTTTATGTTCCAAACATACATTTTAGATTTTTGTACATGATACATCATCAAGTATAATAATAATATGCAGCCTACTACAAAAAGTTTCAGTCAAGCACGTCATCCAACCGAACTTATAGTTAATTCTCTACCGGCATATAAATGCGGTTGGCTTTATAAACGAGGTATTCATTAATAGAAATAGCATTGAAAAAAAGAAATTTACTTTAGCGTAATCTGATCTAGTCACTTCTTATTTACATTGAATGTTTATATTTATGTATTTTATTTAGGTGAACATATAAAAACTTGGCGTCCACGATATTTTGTTCTATTTCATGATGGTCTTTTGTATGGTTATCGTAAATCACCATCTGTTAATGACAATCAACAAGAAGAACCACTTAACAAGTTTCAAGTTATTGATTGTAGTGTTGTTCGACAAGATAAAATAAAACAAAATTCTTTTATTATACATTTCAATCAAGTGAAAATTGAAAGATTATTTGCTGCTGGTAGTCAACAAGATCGGTACAATGAATATTTTACTGTTGTTTTTAATGAATATTCTATTTTGCTTTCTTTTTTGATAAATTTCAGTGAAGAATGGATAGCAGCAATTGAAATCATTAATCGACAAACAACACCTCATTTACAACGACAACTACCCACTGTAAAAATGGTTACAAATGATGATGTTGATAATACAGAAAATGAGTATCCAACAATGAATGAAGTATTTACACGAAGGCCCGTAAGAAAAAAAAGTAAAACAAATAAAAATAAATCTCATTAATTTATTTTCAATAGCAAATAAATGATTTCGAATATTTAAAAATACTTGGCCGTGGTACATTCGGCAAAGTTGTTTTATGTCGTGAACGAACAACACAACGTATATTCGCAATGAAAATGTTACGAAAAAGTCTCGTAATCACAAATGTAATTAATTGACAAAAAAATTTAATCGACTGATTCACTTTTATTTTGTTTTGTTCTCGATTATAGAATGAAGTTGTACATACGATGGGTGAAAATAAAATTCTTCGTCGTATCCGTCATCCTTTTATAACGGTAATTTTTTTATTTTTTATTTTTATTTTTTCCCTTTTTCTGCTGTGTAGAATTTAATTTGCGCATTCACAACAAACGATCGTCTTTGTCTTGTTATGGAATGTGTGAATGGCGGTGAATTGTTTTTTCATTTAAATCGTGAAAAACAATTTTCAGAAGAACGTACCAGATTTTACATAGCAGAAATTGCTTGTGTTATCGGTTATCTTCATTCTAAAAAAGTCATTTATCGTGATATTAAAGTAATCGAAAAAGAAAGCATTTACTTCAATTCTTATTCTCACATATTTCTTTTATCTAACTAGCTGGAAAATATCTTACTCGATCGTTCTGGTCATATTAAATTAGTTGATTTTGGTTTATGCAAAATAAATGTACCATGTGGACAAACGACGGCAACATTTTGTGGTACACCACAGTACATAGCACCCGAGGTATCATTGTAATAAAGGAGACCACAGACGATGAAAAATATTGAAAGGATAGAGTCACATACAAAAACATTCTACCAACAATCATAAAAAATAAATTGATATGTGATGATATCATTTTTTTTTCATATAAATAAAATCTAATAGAATGTTTATTATAAATAATATTTGAACAGATACTTGATTATATAAATAGATTCTTCGAATGACATCCTACACAAATGCTATCGATTGGTGGGGAACTGGTGTTATCATGTATGAATGTCTTCTGGGTCGATTACCATTCGCAGATAGTAAAAGTCAAGATGGTCTATTCCAAAAGATTCTTCATCATGAACCAACATATCCATCTAGTTTATCACCAGTGGCACTTGATTTAATACAAAGATTTCTTAGGAAAGAACCAACTGAACGGTAAACAAAAATAAAACTTCTACAACACAATATGATTTGTTACTTTAAATTTTAGTATTGGCTCTAGTGTAGAAGATGTTCACGAAGTTGAACGTCATTCATTCTTTTGTAATATACCGTTTCGTTTGTATGAAGAGAAAAAGGTTCGATTTTATCTTTTCTCGTATATAAATTTAAAATAAATAATCTGTTTATTTTTAGATTCAACCATTGTTTAGGCCTCAACTAGATTCAGATATAGATACACGTTACTTTGATGCAGAATTCACCAATGAACCAGTTTGCGTAACACCACCTGGTAATACAAATAAGAAAACACTTTGTTAGTTTCAATCAAATCAACTTTTTTTGTTATTTTCAGGTAGTACTGATTCTATAAATGCTCTTGGCATGTCTGACGATGCATTCGAACGGTTTGTCTTTTGTTTAAATAATTCCAATAATATCTTTAAATTCATTTAGGTTTACATACGTTGGTAATGATGGATTAAGTCATATTACTTCTCGATCCGTTTTATCGATGGCATCATCGAATGCTGCTCTCTCACAGTCAAATATGTATCTTGTCGATCCTGATTATTATCATAAACATCAAAATGTTCATAATTTACCTGCTCAATATTCTGTATCAACAATGAATATGCCATCGATGGGCGCCGATGGATCATCGTCACCATCAATAATTAAAAGTGCAACAAGTATGCAACAATTGAAAGGTTCAACAGTCAATATAAATAATGGATCCGATGTTTTAAATGATCAACAAAAGATGAATATGGAACATGATCAACCACAAACACAATCAGTCTCATCCATACCAGAAATATATGAACAACATTTAATGCATGAACGTCTCATGTGTATACAACAAATGATGGCCAGTGGACAAAACTTTGCTTCAATGTTTAATGATGATCCACATTTTGCTCAACAAATAATGTCTTACATAGCTGCTGCTCAACAACAACGTGAACCAGAAGTTATTGAAACAATGGACGAATGAAATAATCACTTGAGTATGCCAGATTTTCTAATGATTATATAATGAAAATAATGATCGAATTATTATTTTTTTTTGTGTCGATAACATATCAACTTATTACTATTATTTGTATACAGATTTAGTCTAGTTTTCGTTTGTCAATAAGAGATATAGAAGAGAAAATTTTTCTTTTGTTTGTCATTAATGATCATTCATATTGTCGTTAACTTTTTTTCTCATGTAGATACATTCAGATGAATGAATACACATTTTTACTTGATAAACTAAAAATAAATTGAATATTAGGAATAGCATTCGGTCTGGATGTATCATATTTAATTATCAACATATTTCACTCAAAAACAAAAATAAAATCGTCTTAAGATGTACCTTGAAAACCACTTGAATAATATAGATTTTTTGGTTTTCAAAACAGATAAAATTCGGTTCAATCAACGTACTCGCTAATCCGTGTATACATGAATGAAGTTTGTTGACGTAGATATGTAGTAGCAAACTAGGAGGAATGATGTACGAATTATCCTGCATACATCAATTAAAATTTAATTTCTCTCATAAATCAAGAAAAAACATAATGCAATAGAGATACAACAAATTTTCATCGAAATCTGTAAATTGTCTTCATTATTCTCTAGGCTTGCGCATGCCAATGAAAGGCAAACATATTTAGAGAAATATTTTTCGGTATTCACTAATTATAAGTAAAAACTCATATCGATAAAGCGAATCAAAATTTCGAATAATACTTGTTTCTATGACATCCATATCAAATGAAATATTTTTTTCTCCTTATAACTTATAGTACACGAACCCCGTTTATTATCTGTGATAACTTGATTAAATTTGCTTTATTATTTTTCAAAATTTTTAATATCACACAATATATACATATATAGTTAAATGTTAGTTATGAAAATTAGAATCATTTCCTTGTGATCATTTCTAGGACAGAAAATTACTAGTATTTAATTCCACTTTTAACTTATTTGAAACATTTTTATTGAAAAAATCGAATGTTGTTTCCGTTGCAACAAAAAACATAAAAATATATTCATTTTTTAAATTTGATGAGGTGGTATTGGTGCAGTATCAGTCAATTGATCTCCTACAATTATAAAAAGGTAAAGATAAACGATTTTTAATTTAAAAATACTACTTACCATCCAGTGGTAAAAGTGTTTTAATCCAAAATGCATTGAGAAGATGATCAATTTTTGGACGACCAGAATTAGGATGTAGAAGAACAGTAAGATTACCATGATATATTGAAATAAATGATACAGCTTCAATAAATTGTTCAAGAGGTAAATAGATACCCCACGAACCGATTGGATGTGGTCTAAATTATAAATATAGTTTGAATGATTATGTGAGAAATATGAGATCGATATTTATACCCAATGGGTGCCTGATTGAATTCCCAATGACAAATTTTTGGACACCATGTGTCACACTCGTCATTGCAAGCATCAACATTAAATTCATCAAGAAAACGATTTCGTAATAGATTAGCTTCATTTGTTTGATTCACATTCTGTTGTAGGAAATATACATGAATATGATACGAATAATATGTTATGTTATCACCGAGTTGTGTATGTTTCAAATCGAATTTGACTGGAGAAATGAACAAATCATCAATAGGATCTTGTCGAATGATATGTCCTACTGCATATAAATTAATAGTACAATAAAAAAATGTAACTATCACAAATTTATTCAACATTTTTATTTTGTATAAAAGTTAAAATTGAGAATTTTAAATAAAACTGGTCTCTTTATAAACATAAATAATAGATGTAATCTATTACAAAAATGGCAAGCACAGAATGACTGTGAAAAAGATAAAAATGACGAACTTTATATTAACAAGATAATTTTGATGAAAGAGTGCCCAATATAATAGTTATAAGTCATCATTTCATACAATCAACGATGACAAATTAATATATATATATATATATATTTATGAAAATTAATTTCTAATTTTTTCAAATATTACTACACAATACAAATTTATTGGTAAAACTTTCAAAAACAAGAATATCTTATAAATTCTAGCGTCATTTTGAAAACAAAATAAAAAAGAGGTCAAGATCATGTATCACGTCAAAATAAATGTAGACTATTGGACAAAAACGGTTAAACGCCTGATTGAATAAGGCGATTGTTCAAAACACTATTAGCTACTGTGAAAGATGTTTTGTTTACGGAATTCGATTCATTTAATGGTGAAGAAGCTTTAGTTGTTAATATTTGTCTATGGTTTTTCTTGATGGATTGAAAAGAATAAAGTTTTTCTTCATCGTCACTTTCGGATTCTGACATATCAAATTCAGTTGTAACATAAGCTAGACTTTTAAAACCATTTTGATTCAGTTTATTTATTGTAGCATCTGCTTCGTCGTGTTGTTGTTGTTTTGTCCAATGACTGCAACCCATAAGCTATGTTAAAATAATTACTTGTAAATGACTTAAAAAATTCTTTTGTAATATTTCTAGAGAGACAGCATGGTACAAATATCATAAACAAATATAGAATTTAGTTCTCTTTCATCTACAGATAAAGATAAATCTTGAAACAAAGAAAAATATTCAGTAGAATTACTCAAAATAAATTTCTACAACATAACAATTGGAACTAGAAATATAATATAATTTGAAGAAGACTTATCTAGAAAAAGGAAATATCAAGAATTTACTTGTCATATTCTTTCAAACAGGATTCAAGAAAAAGAAAAAATTATATATTATCTAATATCTTTTGCAATTGTGATTTGATAATTGTATACGTGTTGATTGACAAAATGTATTGCAGTTATATTCTAGCGTCCTCATCACGCTCCAATAATTAATTCAATCATGCACATATTGATACACTTCTATATCATATTGATTTCAAGCTAGTTTATATTTGAAATGAAAAAGTACAAACACAGGACAATTTTTCATCTCATACAGAACAATATTTGTAGAGAAACTATCAGATTTACATGGAATTAATATAGTAACTATGGTAAATTAGTTTATTCACAAATGCAATGAAAATGTTGGTATGAAAACTAAGTTTGTTTTAGTTCTAGCGAGGCACATGTAGAACTTTGAAAAAGTGGAAAATACCTCTTCAATTAATAAAACTATCATTTTGATTGATAAAAGACGAGAATTGAAGAAACTCAGTTAGGTGTACATCCCACAGTCGCTACATCTCGAAATTTATTGAACCATTATAGTACCGTAACTGTGCTCACATCAGTTATAGCTCGACAACAACAATTAATTGTACAGTACTATCAAAAAAATAATACAAACGATACGTGTTCGTCTTACGGTATATTTATCACACGAACACAGAACATTTGCATTGCATTTTAGTTGAATTTTCAATGAAAACGAGATTTGCTGTTGATTGATTGACATGTAGTGTCCTCTAACTTTTATTCATATAAGTAAGATAATTAATCAATAATACTATTCTTTCTTAAATTTTCTCATCATTTTTTCTTACAAAATTTGATTCAAAAATCATAATCTACGTTAATTAAAGAAAAAAATGACTTGTCGCTATTGTAGTCACTTTTTTAAGCCAATAATTGAACATCTTTATAAGGTCCTTTCTTCTCGAGTATTTGTCTCGTCCTCCATCGTTTTCCTCACGAGCAGTCTATTCGTAGTCGTCGGTTATGTCTTTCTAAAACTTGAACATACATATAATTTTTTGAAACAATGTTCACTGAATTAAACTCCTTCATTCTTTTTAGATTGATATACAACTACATCTAATCGCCACTATCATGAACCATTATCCAACTTTTCTTCGTTCGTATAATGGCAAGTCAACTAATTCAACCAGTAATTCTTCGTCATCTAATAATGAAAATGATGAAAATTCATCAATTAAAAGCCTCATATTTAAACATTTATCTAAAGTACAACAAGGTTCACTAAATAATAACAATAACACAAAAGGGACAACGCGTGGTATTCTGGGCGAAGTTGGCAATGTTACATTGTCAAATATTCCAATTACATCAATATTAACAAAAGCAAAAGTATTTCAACAACAGCAATCAGTAGCGACTATTTTTGGAACAACATCGACAATGACTGCACCGCCACCAGTGCCGCCACCACCACGATCATCATCATCATCAACAACAACAATCATACCCATAGTTGTAGATAGAATTGAAAACATTACTCTCGATGATGTTTATGAAGATGATGAATGTACATGTCATGAACCGTTAGCAAAACTCACAAAAGTTCCACCGGAATTCGATTGTGATAGTGGTGATTCATACAATATCACGACTGTATCAGAATATGTCGTTGATATTTGTAAATATTGGCGTGAACTTGAAGAAGTTACACCAATACGGAAAAATTTTCTATTAAATCGTACTGAAGGTAACCAAAACAAAATATTTATATTTAGTAGAATGATATAATGCGTTTCTCTCTCTCTCTCTCTCTCTCTCTCTCATAGGCACAGCTTCACCTCAGAATCGAGCTGTACTTATTGATTGGCTCTATCAAGTACATGACCGTTTCAAACTTCTTTCAGATACATTTCATATGACAATTCAACTTATTGATCGGTATTTACAAGTAATTGATGTATCAAAACATGAATTGCAACTTATTGGATCGACTGGTACGAAATGAAATTCATAGTTTTCAGAGAAAAAAAATTCAAAATAGAACAAAAAGAAACTTTCAGAAAGTTACATGAAAAAATTAATTAATTCTAATCAATAACATTAAAAATGTCTTTCGTATAGGTTGAAAATATTATTAAGAAAACAATATATATTAGAAACATTTTTATAATAAATTGTTAACAGTATAAAATGATCGAACGGCTGATGCCAAACCGAATTAACATGGAAAAAAAAGTCTACCGATCAAGCTCTATGTATATATTGAAACGACAAAGAAGTATTTGTGATTCTATTTGAATTGTCTAAAGTCACTTCCTATCGGAAACTAATCGGATATTGAGTTTAAGAAATAAATGACTGAATTCGTCAATTAGTTATGCTTAGTTCCGGTGAAGATATCACTGAAATTGATTGATAAAATGATCGGTTTGCAATTAAGAATAAAAACCAATGTTTGGTTAAAAAATAAATATTTTCTGTAAGCATAGTAAATTTCTCGTATCAATTGATACATCCTATTTTCTCGTTTATTAATATCCGTGAAATACAATCTGAAATCTAAGGTAATCTTCTTGAATTCTATCTAATTTATTATATTGAAATCTGTCATTATGATCAACTCGACAAAGGATTCTAACGAACTTTTCATTATTAACAGTGAAGTTATATTTCAGGAATCGTCAAAAGGAAAACACATCAGATTTGCGAGAAGTTAGAATAATTCTTTACGTAATAAACACGAGAATAAAAGTCGTTATAATTTTCAGATTAATTATTGAAAGATGTGGATCAAATTTATCTTGCAAAAACATAATTTTCAGTTAACAAAATTCTATCTAGAAATAATTTAATTTCTAAATATAAACTTTTATTATTATCATGAAATATCTATTCTGAATGTATCGATTTTCTTTTTCAGCCTTATTATTAGCATGTAAATACGAAGAAATGACCATACCTGGCATGAACGATTTTGTCTATGTATCTGATAATGCATATTCAAAAGAAGATATGAAAGAAATGGAACGACGAGTAATTTCAGCACTATCATTTGACCTTGGCCGACCATTATCAATAAATTTTCTTCGTCGATATTCAAAAATAGTTCAAGCAACTGATATCGAGCATACATTAGGAAAATATCTTCTTGATTTAACTTTTATTGATTATTCATTCTCACATTTATTACCGTCCTATGTATCAGCATGTGCATCATTTCTTTCACGTTATTTATTTGCTTATAAATCTTTAACAACAACAACATCCATATTATCATTAATTGAAAATATATGGCCAAGCAAATTTATGAAGTATCATACTGGTTATACATATGAAGATCTTTGTCATGGTGTAAAACAATTAGGTGAATTACTTATTGGACAAGATTCAACAAAATTAAGAAGTGTACAAAAGAAATTTTCTCAAAGTAATATGTTTTCGGTTGCGCAACATAGTTGTTGTAAAAGTGCTTACGTTCAAGTAGCACTTTCTCGTCTATCAAAATGATTTTCTACTCGAGCAGAGATGATCGAAAGCAACAACAAAATAAATAATCTCTTTTTTATTCGTTAGATATAGATATATACATATATATAGACAAATGAAATATTTCTTTTTCTCTCTCTCTCTCTCTCTGTTTTCTTTTCAATGTCAGATAAATCAATGAAAAATAGGAAAAAAACAACGGTGATCTAGTCAGATCTTGTATTTTGCCTAGCGGTTTCAGGTTAGCATTAAAAATAAAAATAATGCATTGGTGTATTATGGTAAAGAAAATATTTAATGCGAATTTATTCACTAATTTATCATTCCTAACACCGATACTACTTTTAATTCTAAAGATTTATTATTAATCAATTTTCCTTGAGAAATAAATCAATCAATGCATTATTTTCACTTTTGATGCTTACCCGACACCTCTAATTTTGCCCTTTTCTCGTTTCTTTTCTGTTCTATATATTACGCTGTTATTGTTATCATTATTCTTCTGTTGATTTTTCTTTTCTCAAATTGAATATGCAACTGATCAGGTATCTTGCACACTTTGTTACGTTCTTCTATCTGATTATGTGTATTGGAAAAAAAATCAAAAGTTAGGCTAGCCTTTAAAAACTTGTACTCTGTGAATATAAATGCGTGTGTCTATTATGTTGTTTTTTAACTTCGAAAATTGTATTGATGGACAATAGGAAAAATGAATCTTTTATGTGATTTATAATAGAGAAAAAAAAATATATTGAGCGCGTGTGGATTCTTCACAGATGTGTATGTCAGATATATGTGAATAAAAACAAATGAATGACTATTTCTATGATTTTCTTTCTTTCTATTGTTTTTTTCTTTCCATCGTATTATATGTTTTTTTTGAAAATGTATAATTGAAATAGATTATTATTATTGAAAATCAATTAATTATTTGAATTGAATAGCGCAAATACAAAACGATGAAGATGATATTTTTTATAGCTTAATGTCTAGGTAATATTTTCCTTTAGAATTATTAGATTTACTATAGATACCATGAATGATTAATATTCTGTTACTACAACAGTTGAATGTGTTGTTTTAAATAAAAATGTCATTCGTTTAGTCACTGATGAATCAAAAATTATTATTATTTTTTCATTGTAGATTATGGCAGGAGCTACAATTGATTTGAACTTCAATAATACAGATGATGTTGATGAAACATTTGTTTCGCATAAAAGTGCCGATCCTGAAACTGAACAATTCGATCAAACGATTGGTCTCATTGAAGATATGATAATGGATGAAGAATTTCGTTCGATTCAACAAGCATTTTTAACAAAATATGCGCAAGAATTTGATCCTGGTTTAGATGAAAACAAACTAATTTATACTGATATTCATAAAGAATATTTAACTATAGTTGACGATTTCGTTTTGAATAAAATAAAACGTTCTCAACCTAGTTTTAATCTTGATGTATTTATGAAACAATTGGAATCTCGACAAGAAGAACTAGAAGCAGAAATCTTTGAATTTCTTTTAACATTTACGGATTTTCTTGCATTTAAAGAATGGATGCTTGATCATCGTCGTTCTTTGGCATTACCAACACTAGATATTAATTCATGTTTGCAATCAATCAGTTTAAGAAGTGCACGTGGAACTAATCCAACGCCATTACTTGATCAAGTTAACTTGGATGATGATAATAATTCAACATCAAATCAACAACAGTCAACAACACTTGATTTAGGCATTACTGGAACGAAAATTAAAAAACCTCAGGATCCAAAAAAGAAATAAATTTTACTATTTGTATAAAATTTTAACAAAATGAAAAAAAAGAATTTTTTGTACACAATGTGTTTTAAATCTTAATTATCCGTTTTGATTCCGTCCACTGGAAAAGAAAAAAAGAAATATATATATATATATATATATTGAAATGAACTTTGTACTTTGGACAATTGTTTTCTTTTTTGCTTCCTTTGCTTTTTATTGATCACCTGAAGAGAATGATTAATAAATGATGCACTCACATGACACATGTGTGTAAGAAGAATAGCTAAAACACAGATATATGTGTTTTTATTTGAAGTATTGTGCAGCAAGGTCAACATTTCTCCGTTGCTAGAGAATAAATTAGCAAGAAGTCACAGTTTTTGAACGTATTTTCAGATCGAATATATAGAAAAGGAATGGCTCGTGAAATTCGTTTTATCGATCGATCTTTAACATCTGGTCTATATCAAATATTTTGTTCTAGTCCTTTTTTTGCGATCTGTTCATTTTCATGTATTATTTTTATCTCATCTGTGATACCGTTAGCATTTATTTGGTTGATACAATGTATTTTTTTAAATATTTCTTCTATTTCAATCGAATCCTCGTTTTTACGTACGGCGATTACGATATGGTCACTAGCTGAAGTTACATTTTTTTTCTATCAATGGTATCTTTATTCAAAAATTCAACATCGAACAACACCACCACATATAACATCAGCAGAACGCGATGAACTCGTATCTTATGCACTAGCAAATATAAAAAGTGTGTCTCATACATTAAGTAAATGGTTTATGGATTGTCCATTTCGAGATATTGATCGAGAAAGTATTGTAGGATGGCTTGCATTCGCATTTTATTCAAAAGAATATGGTGAATTAAATGATGATGAATATAAACAGATTGATGCTTTTATTGAAAAAATTCAAGAACAATATCAATTAGAAGCACCTATTGATAAATCAGATAAAAAAATATTTTATATGAAACATATACTTGATCCTGTTCGCATAATTTTTAGGCCATTAGCGTTCTATTTTGTAACAGATACATTATTGAATGGAATACTTGGCACAAGTATTTTCTATCTAAGAGGATATGAATTCGCTAAAATAGGTCATTTACAATTTTGGACTTGTTATCATAAATCAAGTCATCGAGAAGAAGAAGACGAAGAACCAATTATTTTCTTTCATGGCATTGGCTCTGGTTTACTTATGTATCAACCATTCATCTCACGTATTCATGAGAGATTCAGTCGAAATCGCCGTCTCATATTCATATCAATGCGATGTATTTCTATGCGTTATCCATCGTTGAATGATATTCCAAATATGTTAGAGACAACTGATTCAATGAAAATGATATTTAACTATTATAAACTGAGTAAAGCTATTTTTATTGGTCATAGGTTAGTTTCATTCTTTAGAATTCCATGAAATATGTTTTGTTTATTTCTAGCTATGGTACTGCATGTCTTTCATGGATTGTACAAAAATGTCCACAATACATATCACGTTTAATTTTTATTGATCCGATTTGTTTTGCACTATTTGAACCTTACGTTATTTATAATTTTGTCTATCGTACGCCATACAAATTAGGTCATCTCTATATGTATTATTTTGTTTGCCGCGAGTTAGGTATATCACATGTTGTTAGTCGTCATTTCTGGTGGACACAAAATAATTTATATATTGAACAAATACCTTTATGTTCGAACAAAAGAGTGCCGACACATATTATTTTAGCTGGACGTGATTGCATTGTTAACGCAGGTTTAGTTCGAGATTATCTTGCAGATAATAATATTGACTATTATTGGGCACCAAACATTTCTCACGGTGGTTTCATGCGTGATAGGGATAGTTGGGAGAAAGTATGCGAATGGATTTCGTGATAATTACAGATTACTTCATTTTTTCCAATATTAATTGATTTTTTGTTTATTGTTTCTCTTTCATAGTTTTCTGATTTTTTTCTTTTACGTTTGCCGGTGTATATACACGATTTTTTAACATATGCATTGTTCATTGTTTTCATCAAGTTAGTCGTGAGATAAAAGTTCGTTTTATAAATGATATATATCATATCATTATAAAAATAGATGCGAAAATCTCGGATTTAAATCCGAGTGTTATGTGTACTTCAAAAAGTGAAAAGAAGGCACCCGCAGGGCCTAAGGGGCAGTTCCTTAGTACGCTTAAGGATGAATATTTTACACAGTTTAATAATAATAGACTGCAAGGAGAAAACACCGGCGTACTAAGTTAGCATGGACGATAGTGTATGCGACCATATCCGGTGATCATTGACTCTACTCTCAGAGTTATATAATATCTTTAGAGATCACAGAAATTGAGTTCAGATTCGTTTTCAGCTTGGAAAACTGGGTAAGAACAGTTTTTTTTGAATGGATTTGCGATTGTATCTAGCGGGATTACGATCGTAAGCAACCTCATGAATCTATAAAAGGTATATGATAGATACAGGCACAAGGGGGAAACATCGTACTTTTGTACTTTAAGTACTTTGAGGTACTTTGAAGTACTTTGAGGTACTTTGAAATACTTTGAGGTACTTTGAAGTACTTTGAAGTACTTTGAGGTACTTCGTGGTACTTTGAGGTACTTCGTGGCACTTTGAAGTACTTCGTGGTACTTTGAAGTACTTCGTGATACTTTAAAGTAGTTCGAGGTACTTCCAAGTACTTCGCGATACTTTGATGTACTTTTGTACTTTGAAGAGTCAAAGTACGATGTTTCCCCCTTGGTGTACTCACTTTTTGAGTACGCAATAAGATAAACATTTTGGTGAATCAATATTCATAAACGATAAGGATTTCTATGGAGCCAAGAATATCATAAAAAATGCTCAACTCATATATTTACTTCTGTTTACATCTAGAGAAAAAAAGTGGTACACCTGTACTTTCACTTTAATCTGAAGTGCGGGAGGCTCGCCTCCACCTCGTTCTGGCTTACATGCATTAATGTATACGATAGGACACATTGTGACATCAACACTATTCGTATTATGAATTTATTCAGTAGTTTTGTATAGAATCTTTATTTATCAACATCTAATTGGAATTTTCGAAGCAATCAGAGTGTTATAATCATTTAAACAGATCAACCAATAGAAAAAGGCTTCACTTCACTTATACACACCGTTTACAACGAAAATCTCGTATCAGTAAATCAAATTGAATATCGATTAGATCATAAAGTCCGCGATCAAATTCAAATATAGGAAACGCGAAAAGAAACTAACGGTCGTAATTATTCCATTTATAACTCTAAAAAATGGAAGTACTTATATTTAATCAAAGATTATGTCTTGTCTACTTAATGCCCACTTGTACATTGGCAAAGAGCCATCGAACTAAATCAATCCTTTCGCAACATTTTCCAATAGATTTTAATCCTATACTGGTCACCACAAAAAGATGTGTCAGTCAACATCACCGTGAAACACGAGAAAAACAAAATTCGTTTTCTATCATAAAAACCTGCTGTGTAAAGTTGACTTCTTTTAGCCAGATAGAAAGTTTGAAATAAATCCTTTTATCAGATGATTTATAGGTTGAAATTGAAAACTAGTCGTTTATATTTTGTTAAATGAAAATAGTGGGTGACTAGTCATTCTTGAATTGTCATGGTTTCTACAGAAATTCAACAGTGCTTGCAATTTTTTTCGATATTAATGAAATCATTCAAGTAATTAAATATAGATAGGCAGTGTTGTTTCATGAACTTGCACTTAACTTACTTTCAATCAATCGATGCATTCAAATGATAAAGAACTATATTTATAGTCATGTACCCAGCGGCGTAGCCAAGGGGGGGGGGCAAATGGGCCATTGCCCATTTGATTTTTTAGTTTGCCCATTGAAATTTTTTTTACTGTAACTTTGCCCATGGAAATTTTTTTCTTTCAAAACTTTTGAGTTATTTTAATCTATGTAAAAAGTAAACTGTTCGCCTGCGTTACGCTCAAGTTGTACATGCATCTCGTACTTGTATGTTAAGAACTAGTATTATGTCTTTTTGTGCATAAAATTGTTTTTTATGTTTTGGTTTACTAAAAGAACATCAATTCGTAGTTTTATTTTATGAAAAGAGTATTTTTTTTGTGTAGTTAAAAGAAACTAGTGTGATATTCTTGTGTTACTGAAAGTTTTATACTATTATTTTGTTATTATTTGAACCTCATCTTATTTTTGTTTTATTGTTTCTTTTTTTGATATTTTTGAGACTGAAATAGTTTTGCCTATCAATAAAAATATTGCCCAAATTGCCCATATCTTTTTTTATACACAACACAAGTTTGCCCATAACGCTAAAAATCCTGTATACGCCATTGTAAATAAAGGCTGAGGTAGACTGGAAAAAGAAATATAATGTTGTTTTTAGTTGGCCATTGTGAACTATGTACGTCCTCGTTCAAATCGACAATTGATGATAAGAAAGGAAACATCCCATACGAATATAAATATTTGAAGATGGATAGGAGATTTTCGAAGTTATTCATATGAAATATCCTTCGTACATATCGACAGATAAGTAATATCTTTACAAGGAACAAAATATGAAGAAGAAGAAAATCTCTGAAACTCTAGGCATCACTATTTGTAAATGAAAACGCAGAAGGATTCACAATCCACGTTCGAAACTATATCTAATATTAAGTTAGAAAATAAAGTTTTTAAACAAACTAAAATAGTTCAATTTTATTCTACGTCTCATATATTAATCTTAAGGAATTAACAATTTCAAATAGCGATGCTCATGATGAAAAATAGTATTTAGATTAGTCACAAAATTCACAGCAGATTTGTAGTAGTTTAAAATCAATAAAATATATTGAAATTACTTCGTTCTTGAGGGTGTGAGTAAGAAAAGCATAGGATATCTTACGTCAAAATTCGAGCATTTCCAGTAGCGATTCGGCCATGTGATTCCTTCTTCTTGTAGCTTCAAAGCAAGGACATCATTCGCTACAACTCACTATCAGGGTAATTAATCATGACTTTTATTTCAATTCCGCATGCAAAGTCCATATTCTACATAAATCTCATTAAACAGCTCTTAGCAAGTCTCTATTCATATTTCTACAAACATTTACAAAACAGCTTATCACACCAATGAATTCAATGGGTGTGGGTGTGAGTCGATCTTCTTTTCAGTTACACACATCCACAGAATCGATTTTTTCTATCAGCTTTGAATTTAGACTTGATATTCGACCACTTTTTTCAATTTGATTACACACCTAAAATGGCATTGATAATTTTGTCGGTGTGTCTCACGCAGTGGGTATCACGTAAACAATGATAACTCAAGAAAAAAACCACTCAATGATTAAGTAATACTCATGACTCTACAGATCACATTTTCTCTTGCTGACTCTGTTATAAAAATAGGTATTCTTTATACTGTTAGTGAGAATGATATCGATTTAGACAATAAGAGACACCCTTTCAGATGATGACGAGGATTGATATATGAGTTAGCAATGATTTTTCAACTAAAATATCGCATTCATTTTTTTATTTACTTCTTTCTTCGTTATATTTTTCATTTCTCGGTTGTCCCTAATAGAGTGAGGATAACTAAAATATAGCAATGTCAAAGATCGAAAAAATGTCCACTTTACGAAAAGTCCCATGACTATATGTGGGACCTTACGTACGTTATGAAATGTCACATACTTATATATATATATATATAAGTAGCTGAAGGAAAGGCAAAATATGGATAAACTACAAGCGGATCTTTCCTTTCTCCAGCGGACTTTTCTGTTTTCTAAAGGACTTTTCCTTTCACTTCAACTGATTCATTCATATACATATAAGAGTAAAAAAAGAAAAGGGCTATTTTTTAATCACGATGGATCACTATGAAGATTATCTTTGAATACGTTGTAATGCATACAATTCGAGACATGGTTTTTAAGCAAATGCAAAACAGCTTAGCGAACTAAAATACATAAGATATAGTATTTTCCTGCTTTGATATCTTTGTCGCAAATCTCAACGCCTTAATACTTTTTATGAATTTTATAGTAAAACAGATCGAGTTGAAATAATCGCTGAAGCACATAACTAGATGAAATTTTATTAAGAAAGTTTTAATAGTATCGATTCATAATGACTATATTGATTTAGTTAATTCAGAAATAAATGATGATTCTATTGTCTCTCAACTTCAATATCTTAATTATGAATTCGTCAAATACTAAATATATATTGAAATCTCCTCCATCAATAAATCATGATGTTATTTTAACAAATAATAGTCGTATTGCATGCGTTAATAATATTAGATAGAACCAATAAGTTATGGATTTTCAAATTCACTAATGAAAGTAAATAATATTCTCATTCGTTAAGGAATGAATTGTGATAACGATGTATGATAAATACTTCTATTTGATTTAAGAATACATAAGTCAACACTTTTACAAATAAACATTGTTATTTGAAGATGCACTAGCATTGATGAAAAACATCCATTATCAAGATGGTATATTGATCTCGATAAAAATGCTAACGTATCATTTTATGATAAATTTGCTTTTTCAGTTGATTATGAGTTTCATGTAAATCTTTCAGTTAACAACCATCCGTGAATAGAATGTTATAATCAACTACCATCGTCTAAAATTTTGAATCTATTTTTATATCAATTGTTTATTTGAACGAATAAGCAACATCATCTTGTTCATATATTTTTTTTCAAAACCAAGGCAAGGCTTTAATTAGTAATCAAAGACACAAGCATTGTGATAAATTTGTCGGGAAAGTTTGGCAGTTACACAATTGTTATCATGTGAATGCACGTTATATAATCAATGCTGAACTGTGATTAAACTTAATAGTCTACTTTCATATTATCGATTTGAAACAAAACATATAACAAAAATTCATCAATTACTGTAATTCGGATTTCTTATTAATAAGATGATGTCGAGCAAACAATCAGCTGATCACCATGCACTTATCTGTTGCTTTTCTTTTTCTAGGTTTAGTTATTTTTGTTCTATAATGAGATTTCATTTATAGTCTTGTAACGGAAAATGATCTTCGGTGATATGTTAAGATTATATCAATATTTCTTTGTTGTAGAGAACAGAAAATAATTTAAAGATAATATTTTGTTCGATTGGTAAAAATACAAACTTTACATTGAACAATATCAATTATATTACAGTCTTTATCTTACAAATTTATTGTTATAATGCATTAGATTTCAGTTAATTAAATTATTCAAGATCGTGTACAGATTTTTAAGATTGAATTCTCAAGTGTAATCTAGATTACATATAACTAACTTAGTAGACATTCTGATACATGTCGAAGTCATTCTTGACAGGAAGAAAAATAATCAACGAGACTTTAATTCTCTTGATTAATAGATGTGATGTACTTGTGATTCATGATATGGACTTATCTTTATTATCAACTATGAAAACATTTTCGAGCTCAGTATAATGTCGGTAGAATAGTATTCAAATTTAACATCATAGCCAAATTCCGAATAAATATTTATCATTTGTTTAGCATTTACACATTCATGATATTTAACTTGATTATTCGATGGATGAAGATACGACGATGGTGATACAGATTATAATCCTGCTTTTTAAAATGTAGAATACGCAACGATAATTAAGCTGTATAGGTTAGCGGACACAACGATACATTCCTTATATGTAATGACAGTGGATGCTCTCTAGTTCAAAATAGCTATAAATACGACAGTCATTTGTCATCATACCCATCTTTTCATTCAAGATGAACATATTATTCCAATTACATGCGTTCATAATGGTGAATAATCTATCGTTATTTCATATAGATTCAATATCAGTATTTTATAATTTATATCAAGCAAAAAGCACAGAAGATAGTATGATTCATGGTAATATAGATAGTTATGAATGCGATCTTTATATGTCGATTTCTTGATATAGAGCGAGTCATACCACGAATTCGATTTTAAAGTCAACAGTGAATGATAATTACGTATAACTACTATATAATATTATTTTTAATTTATTTTAATATAGAAGAGTGAAAATTTGATCAGCAACACATCTAAAAATGATATTTAGTTATCGAAGTATCACTTCTATCGATATTACAAGTACTATAAGTGTGAAAAAGATAAAATACACTCAATTTTTTATACTAGATTATTTTTTCTCAGACATTTGTGTTTTCATCAACAGCAAATCTCTATATATGATTGAAAGAAATAATAAAAGACATTTTTCACAAAAATGTTGATTAGACTAGCAAATATTAAAACATTTGAATCATCACTCTGTCCTATACTAGTATGCATTACAATCTATACGACATGCCTTCCACCAAATTTAAGATTTTTTTCAAAACTTTCCTGGATTAAATTTTTTATTCAGTACATCCGACATATTGTCAACTCTTCAAAAATTTTAAATTTAGTCATGTTGTTTTGCCGATTTTTTACGTTCATTGAAAGAAATTGTTATGAATTTTGTGATTAATGTTCTGACTTTTTTTAGACGATTAAAACTCAATGTTATAAGCATTCTTGATCTTTTGTTTTTACATAACTAATATATATGAAGTAGAATAATTCATTGAATGTCAAGAATTTAAGATTAAAATATATGATTGTGTAGCTCAAAAGTGCAATCAGATATATTATCATTATTAAAGATATATTCTAAGTATTTTAATCATATAACATCTAAATTCTTGAGCGTAAATATAATCATGCTTTCCAATATCAATTTCAGTAAAAAATCGAGATCTCGCAACACATGCGCTCATGTTGGACTATGCATATAAGAAGGCCGAATTCAAGAATATATGTTTAGACGAAATACGAAAAATATTGTTGACTAATCATGCTTAGTAATCATCAAACAATATTCATATCCATTCTAATGGAAAAAAAGGAATAACGTACGTGCGCGCAAGCTGATTAGATAATAATCTGTAATTCTTAACAAACAATAAAAGGTATTAATACTTCGCATATATAAATTTTAACATTATTTCACTTAGGTAAATATTTGACATCATAAATAAATCAAATATTCATTACAACACGAATTTGTTTGGTTATTTCAGATGTCGTACATGAAAACAACTTTGAAGTCAAATGATAAAACTATGCCGAATTCAAAACTGAAATAATGTGAATTTCTGGTTGAACACTACATCATATCTCAAGTCTTTGAATTGACTAGTTTTTAATTATAAAAATAGTTAAAAAAAACAAATCTATTCACTCAATCTTTTCCTATAAACAACAGACAAGATTTAAACCGATTTTCATAAACGCTAATATCACGTATATTTATTGTTCTTGATGAAAATTTCGAAATTAAAAGTAACTATAAAATAACTATCTTGTTTGATTAATTATTTTATACTGCTTCCGATATTTCATATCTAGTTTTTGATCGTTTAAAGCGTGTAGTGATATAAAATGTTGTCTGAAATAGTTACTATACAATTTTTCAGATTAAACACAAGTATTAAAGTTAGTTCCAAGCATATTGCCAAAAATTCGACTCAATTCACTAGTATCACTGTCCTTTTTCATTGATAAATCTATGACTTTCACTGAATGACTTATATACTGTCAACATTACAGATTTTACTTGGTTATTACAACTTCCTTTTAGACTAGTTTCTCATTGAAAAATCGTGAATATTGAACAAAAAATATGAAGAACTGATAAAATTCGAGTAAAATAAAAATTTGTACATATATGATAGACAAGAGGATATTTCTCTCTACTCGCGGACTTTTCTAGGTCCTATGGGACTTTTCATTGATGTTTTCTCCTGTTAGAAATAGACAGAATGAACGTTTTTATTGATATGTCTCGAATAGACGAATTTATTTCATAGATGTGACGTATAAGATGATATATCTTTCCTTCAGCGAAATTCACAGTTCCCTGGGTTTTTTTAGGAATCGAATTATGTTAGTATATTTAACTTATATTGAAATAGGCTGGAATAATATCAAGATATATATCATAAACATTATTGAGCTACTTTTCTTTTGGTTTTATTAGCGAATTTTTTTAAATATTACTCTTACTCTAATTCGAAATACACTCTTTATTGATATATGTCGTTATCTAATGAATACCAAGGTATGAATTGATTCAATACTTTATATTTTGTTGCTACTTTGTTGGAGCAGATAGAATTATATTGTTAAAAGTATAGGATATCATGTATGATTTATTGCTAAAAAGTTATGGCTAGCTTCATATACGCAACCGATTGTTTTCTAAGAATTATTTTCTTCTGAAATTCATATTACGCTTATTATTTGTAATGACTTGTAGAGTATAAAAATACTTAACTTTTAGATAATCGTTATTATGACTTGTAATAATTTTACAAACCGCTTAAGAAAGAATAGGATGCTAGCTTCACAAATTAAGCTAAATCCTGACATATTTTTTAGCATGGACATGGCAAATTACTGTCATGAGATTGCAAAAATTCTGGCAAATGCACTGTGATGCAATTCCCATAATTTAAATTAATATAGCTGCTACAACATGCGAGCAATCGTATGTTTTTCGTGCGAACCAATTCAAGAAGCCTCTCAATCTATACAACTGCGTTATTGCCAAAAGCTGTATGAACTTTTTTATTATTCTTTTTAGTTAAATTGCTAATAATTTCGTTTAAGCCTACGGGAAAAGTCCGATGCTAGCTGTTCGCAATTCACGAACTATGAAATTCAGATAAATCGGAGACAACCTGCATGATTCTGATTATATTCGTGTAATTTATAATGAAGCTACAACAGCCGGAATGCTGGATTCATTAAAAGGATGCACAAGATTGTTAATGACAGAAGAAGCGGATGTCATTCTCAAACGCATGGGAGCTTTCCTACTGTCTTCTATTGGAGGTCGGGATACACTTCGTTTTGACGATTATCGAGCTCAATTGATCAATTTGTATGATAATCCAGATCAATATTGAAAGAAATTAAAATTCTATTGTGGAAGTCAGCAATTCAAAACTGAACATCTTGGTAAGTTAAACAATATTGCTCTAAAATAGAATTTTTTAAAATTTTTAGGCTGGGCTAACTGGTGAAATAATTCAACAGGTAATAACAAGACGAGCTCAAAATACACTCGCTGACGCTTTATATGAGCGATTTTTACTTTGGGTGCTATATCTGGTGATGTTATAGACACTGAAATCAATCATCGAAATTGGAATTATTCAAATTGGTCAACTATAGAACAATTTGCAGTCACGATGAGCTTCTTTGAATGCATTGTGATGTATTTCAATGAAGATTCAAACATTAGAATGATCGAGTGGTGCAACTTTATTAAAAGAAAAGGTAGTAATACATACCGAAAATAAAATTCACTTTTATTTTAGATGTAGCTCATTGTAAACAAAAAATTTTCTAGTAAGTAGAAATTCAAAAGCAGTTATGTTTTTAAAAATAGTAGAATGATGTATCTTCAAAAAACTTAGTATCATATAATATTTATATAAAACAACATGTTTGATAGTAATGTATGATGAATTTGATTTTAGGTCTCTTGACAGTTATCTGTATAATTTTTCATTTCATATAGAATATCATTTTATTCTATTTTGTTTCTATAGTTTGGAAAAGTGAAATAGCATTCCTACGTTAATCATTAGAAAACAAACAAATTTTAAACTCACTGTTATAAGTAGATTTATTACCTGATTTTTTTTAACTTTCCGCATTTTTGTTTATGAACTGACTTGTGTGAGTAGCGAAGTGTGCCAATGAAATTGAGTATTATCACATGAATATACCTACAAGAGCAATTAGATTGTGAATAATTGATTCAATAAAAAGCATTGTTTGATTCCAATGAGTACAATAAGCATTAAATAAACATGACGAGAATATAAGAGACATTCTTTTGATAAAATTTTCAATAGAACTTGATTGCCTCTAGCATTATGAAAATATATTACATCTTAAGTTTTCCTCAACTATAATTATATTTTAGGAGCTATTGAAGAACAGGATGATCATTTAGCTAGCCGATATGGTAAATCAGTTGATGCTGTACACCGTATAGCTGGTCTCTGCCAAATTATTGAATTAACATCAGGTGTTTTTAAAGCACTTATTGAACGATATGGCTGCTTTGAAGAGAATTCAATTTCAAATGAATTTGTTTCCAAATATAAAGCATTATTTTGCGAATTTTATGGTTCATATATTACAAACAATCGTTGCTTTTATATATCCATTGACGTTGTAGAACGTGCAATAGACATCATATCTGGCAACTTAGAACAATACAAGTTGCTAATGTTAACTCCTGCTAATGAAAGTTTCAACTTTTCGTCAATTGTAAATAAACCAGTTGAATCATTATCTATTATAAGTCATATGGATAAGAAAGTTAAAGAGCGAGAAAAATTTGGTAAAAAATCATCTGAAATGGAGCAAGCCATATTGCTTTTTGATTCAGTTTTGTTCACGTTAAAAACCCTTTACGAATGTCGATTGTTGAAAAATGGTGCAGCTGTACAACAAGACACTTGTGAGAGGCTCGTCAACAACCAAATTTTATTTAAAGTAGATCGTGCAACAGGAATTGGCACGAAATCAGTTACTATTTACATAAAAACGAAACATATCAAGCATTGAATGTCAAAGATTTATAAATAACTTGGTATTGTTAGAAAATCCGTCTATTACGATGCAAACTATTTTTGATAGCTGTCGGAAAATTAAATATTCTTGCAAAAATCCACCTACCCAGGCTGTGTTTAATGTTCTTAACCGTCCACAATACAAATTATTAGATTTGGATCTAACACCATTACACCAAAGTAAAGTCTTCGTAATGGTTTCGTAAAATAGAATAAATTTGACAATAGAATTTTTTTCTAATATCATTTACTGTTTTTTTTAAATAATTTGTCACATCTTAAATAATACTCATGTTATCGAATTAGGTACTGTGAAACAACCAAGTTCAGTACGCCTATTTTCGGATACAAGCGTGAATGATATCAATTCAATCCAGGATGATTTTGATATTCCATTGAACAGTTAAGTTTCTTTGATTTCACACAATTTCAAATTTCGAATGAGTGTTTTTCATAGATTGCGTGTTAAATAATATCGATTATGAACATAGCCTACAAATAGAAAATTCAACAGCACCGTTGAGTGGAGGGATTGATAGTGATCTCGTCGAAAATGAAGAAACGTAAATGACATCTGGTAAGTTCGATCTTTGATTGTTCATGATGATATTGACATGTTTCTCATCAACAGAGAACATGATGGTTGGCGAATTCAGTAGTTTAGGTACACATGATTGTTTGTCAATCACAGGTAATTCGAAACAATTACAAGCATTAAGTAACTACGAATAAAAAGAAGTTTAGTAGGTTCCTATGCATCATCTGATAGTCATGGTTCAAATAATGAAGAGTGTAATCAATATTTTGAGAATCAGACGAGTCAGCCATCGACTGGTAAATATAATTATGCATAAAAATACTGCAATGTTTTTTATCAATTATACATATATAGATATCGATGTCTTAGCAGGATCTTCGAGAGAAGAAATCCTTATTGATGCAAATGGTAGTGAAAATGTTGGTTTGTATTTTACCAATTTTATAATATAAAAGAATTTATAAGAATGTAACTATTCTCTGTAGTTACACAATCGAACACATCGTTCGTAATTCAGCATCAGAACTTATGATCTCAAAAAAGCCCAATAGTGTCGATGAGGATGTCGAAAGTGTAGTGAAAAAGTCACAAAAACGTGTGACTTCAAAGGATGATTGTAATGAACCAAGCTTCGGCACGCCTATTGCCGGACGATTGTGTCGAACACGATTACTAATAGCAAGATTTTAATACTTTTCATATAAAAAGCATTTTTTGATGAAAATTCTTTATTCATTGCTAATGTTCTTTCATTTTTTCTCTTTGTGTTGAAGTTACTTCAGATACAAAAATAAGTATATATGATTATTCATTTTTGCCTTTGTTCATCACATATGTGAAAAGTATTGTTTTCGAAGTATATTCTATGATCAAGATATTTAAAAACATATTGATGTTTAACGGCAGGTAATTAATTGATTTTACATGTTAATGATGGATGAACATTTTCCAAGGTTCACAATGGGTGGTCTCAATGTGAGTTTGAATTTTGTTAAACGATGATTTTACAGTCATTTTTATTTATAGGAATATATAAAGGGAAGAAAACGATATTCTTCTATTCTTCAAATGCTGGTATGTTTGTAGAGTCAATTGAAAAAAATTAGATTGCTTTTGGGTAATCTAGGATGTTCGGTTGATTAAAGGTAAAGAAGCAGAAAATACATCATCAGACAAACGTTATCGACTTATTCTCTCAGACGGTAGAAATGTTTTTAGCTGTAAGTCATTGATTATATTGTGAAAGAAATTGCTGTTTGTGAGCGTAATTTTTTTTATCTTACCACTACTTTAGCATGTGTGCTAGGTGCTGATATGATTGATTTGGTAAAAAACGATATTTTGAAGAATAACTCGGCCGTTCGTGTTGATCAGGTGGATGTTTGCAATGCTGGTGTAAAGGGTGACCGGTACTTACCCTTAATGGAACATACACTTTGGCATGTGAATCCATTTTATTTTAGAGTAATTTTGATTATTCGTGAAGTAGCAGTGGTGTTAAGCGGTTGCGAAAAGATTGGCGATCCTGCTCCACTCGGTACGTGCCATATATGCTCTGCTATCTGGATTTGAAACGAAATAAAGCAATTTAAGTTGTTTGGTAGCATTGATTTTGTTTGTATATTTCCAGATAATCATGATAGTACTCAACGAACTGATATTTCATTAGGTTGTTTAATAATATATCACAAAAAATATTTTATGACATATTTGAAGGCATTCCAAAAAAACAACGTTTTTCAACGGTTAGTAAATCTGGTTTGGCTGAGAAAACGTCAAATGACGAGTGGCAAGCAGACGACGCAAGTTCAATTGGAGTAGTACTTGAAAAAGCCTAAAATAAATGCAACCAAAATTTGTAATATCAATACTCCTGATCTATTTCGAACTAAGTAAGTAAATTATAACAATTAAAGATTTTATTTTTACTTTTGAAATAATGCGAAAGAGTAATATCAGAATCGATCACAGTCTAGGCTACTGTACTTAATACTTTATTCATTTAACGTACGATTTACTGTGCTCATTTGAATCGAATCAGGAGATAATAATGTAGTAGTTATTTCGGAATCTACTTCAGTTGTGAAACAAGTTTATTTCAGTTGAAATTTTTGAATCTGGGTTTTTACATAAGATTTTATATTAATAGGTGGATGGTCAAAGCTCGCGTAGTGAATAAAAGTTATATTCGTGAATATTGAAATATGAATAGAAGTGGGAAGGTCTTTAATGTGAGCTTGGTTGATAGCAGCGGTGAGATTCAAGCTGTTGGCTTCGAACATCATGCGGAACGATTTTATACAACGTTGGAAATTGAAAAGTGAGTAAAAGACTTAAAAATTAAATTAACAAATATACTTTTATTTATAGACCTATTACATATCCAACCCTAGTCTAAGTTCTGTTCATTCCTTGAGAAACCCTGGAAGGATCTTGTCAAGTTTTATTCAGGATCCTGTTTCGAATCCTAGTAATTCTTGTTTCCAGGATTTTTCAAGGTGAAACAAGATCCTAGTCAGGATTTCTTCAGGTTCCTGCTCAGATATTTTTCTGAATTGAGAATGCAGGATCCTATCAGGATTTATTCAAGAACCTATCAAGGATCCTCTCAAGTTTTTGAGAAAGGATTCTGTCAAGATTTTATCAGGCTCTCTTCAGGACCTAGCCAAATCTTTGTATCAACATCCTGTTAAGATTGATAGCCACATCATTCAAGGATCTTGACAAGAAAATAACAAGAACAGTCACAATGTAAAACTGACTAATCCCGGAGAGCTTCAATCAGGATCTTGATAAGAAAATACAAATAACCAGTTAATATCTTTCCAGGTTTGTGTCTATAGCCTATTTCAAATTTAATTTTCAGGTTCCTATCAGGAACCTAGCAAGAATGAGTGAAACAGTTTCGTCTCGTTTTTAGCTTGGTTAAGATCATGATCCTTTCAAGATTTGGAAATCTATAGATCATAATAGAATTTCAATAAAAATGTTGAGCAAAATCTTAACAAAAATAAATTGAAGGATTCTTCAATATTTCATGGTTTTTTTGTGTTCAGAACACAACATAATTCTGACAACTGAAGAATTTACTGATATTTTTATCCTCATTTTGATCTGGATCTTTTTGTAAACGAAAAGAACGATTCCTAGCAATCTTGAAAAAAATATTCTAAATCACTTTGAAGTTTGTATAAAAGTTGTTTTGAGATTCTAACTATAGCAAGGAGTTCGTTTCTAATCCTATCAGGAAAAGAAAATTGAAAATCATTAAATGAGGGTGTTAATTGGAATTTACGCATCGGAAAATGTTTTCATTAAATATTTAATTTTAATTTTAGTCAACAGCAAAATTTTCGAGAACACTGCTTATAGTTTTGATGTTGTTCGAAAAACAAATTTGCAAATGTATGTTTTCAATCAAATTAAAATTTTAAAAACTCCAGGTATATCTTTAAATATAACTGAAATAAAAAATTCTAACTGTATTTTTAAATAGAATTGAAATTTTTAAAAAGTAATAAATTTCACCGACTAAAATAAATGTGTAAAATGATATTGTATTTTCAGAATTATTTTGAAATAATTTCTATCTACATAAAATTCAAATAGAAGTTTACATTAGTCAGAAATTACTATGTTGAACGTTGAAGTGATAAAGAATGACATGGCACGTCCAACTCGCTAAGCTGATCGGTATGTAAACTGAAAGTCTAGAGATCGATACTCTATATGTTCATTTCTCTTGTATTCTATTTAGAAAATCCTGCAAAGATCCTACCAAGAAACTGATAACATGCGCAATGAAATCTAGTTAAATCCTACAAAGATCTTGTCAAGAAATTTGATAATATCTTCGAGAAGACCCAGTCAAATCCTGAAAGGATCCTACAATTTTGTGGCTACACATTTCTTTAAGGAATCATCGATTTCCTGTCTCAATCTTGATTTGAAAAGCAATGGTGAACTTGTCAGGATCCTAAATTTCCGTGGCTACACACTTCTTTCAGCATCTAGTCGTTTTCTCAGGAAAAAATAGCGAATCCTTGCAAGATCCTGACTATATCTGTCAAGAATCTGGCGCTGAAACATCAAAGATTTTCCCAGCTAGTATAGTGCGAGGAAAACAGAATTTCAATCCGTTCACACATATGTATCAAATATTGTTGAGATCCGACACAACAATATATTTATGTGGAAAAAAAATGATGAAGTTCATCCTGATATCGTTTTTAAGTTCATTCCAATCAAGGAAATCACACATCGAACAAGTAATACAGTTTGTGGTATGAATACCTTAGTCATTATGCAAAAGTGATTATAAGTACTATTATCAATTAACGTTTTTTTAAGATATTGTGGCAGTCATATCAAGTATGGATGCATGTAAAACATACTATAATAAATATAAAAGAAAATACTGTGTTAAGAGGGGGCTTATGATAATTGACGAAGATGCTTCGATAATGCTCACATTATAGGAACACCAGGTGACTTACTTTACTTTTTATTTCAACACTTATCATTTTATTTTAACTAGGCGGAATCATTTGGCAACATTATACGATCTATTATTGGTATCAAACGTGCCAAAATATGCGACTTTCACGGTATATCTAAACTGATGAAGGGTATTAAAGATATTGTAGCAGACGAATTCTGTAATCGAAGCGACTATCTACGTAGTCTTATGAAAATCGTAGTGTCGAAGAAGTAAATTTGCTCTTCAAATGTTAAAACCTTTAAAAACATATATCGTCGAAAGTAAATTATATAGAATAGCCCGAAATATATTTCTTAGATTAACGTTTTTCTCAGCTTCCAATTTCTATTTTATATCTATCACCATGTTCGATATGCAATATCAATTTTACGATTAATATTTTCGAAAATGCAGACAATGATAATTTTATATTAATTATCGTATCATGTGGTCGTCGTTATGTAACAGACACTATATAAGATAAAAATAATGTGCTAATGTTTCAAAAAATTCAACTATCCACGGAAAAATTTTTCAACCAAAACCGAGGTTATTGGCAGTTTACCAGTTGCGACTCTCAGCGGTTATTAAGAACCGCGAAAGTCAGACCTTTTATTGTGTTTTTTCACACCACCCGAAACCGCGGTGTCCTCAAACTGCAGTTATTAACGATTTTTGAAAAAAAATTAATTCTTCATATGATGGTATATTATACCTGGCATCTATGCGGTAATCCTTCATTTTCCATGTTCGCGACATATCTTCGATCTCAATGCAGCGATTGAATACCGCGGTCACCTCGTTTAATACCACTATCTATTTATTATTATTTTCCTCTAGCTAGATTCGAACTTCTTACCGTGCCATGGCAATCCAGTAATTCCATTGAGCCATATGGCGATGTTCATACTAATATTAAATATGATAGTCTCTCTGATCAGTGGTGAAAAATCTTCTCAGACTTATGTTTACTAGCAAATTTATAAGAATCTTAAAATTACTAGTAATTTATAGGCTATTTATAATTTTATCAAACTTCCTAATAGATTCATGTTGCTGATGAACTGTGTGTAATTTGCAAAATCTAATTTATTGGTTTATAATTAGTCATGATTATTAACGTAGAAACATAATATAGTTTAATAGAATTCTTTCTGGAGGAAAGTACAAATTCATCAGAATCTATAGTTGAGAAATTGTGGTATCATGTGGCACTGAAAAGTCTAATTATTTGAAGTACTCTTGTAATTCAGTATATATACAAATCTATATGTCAAAACGCAGATGAGATTACTATTTGACATATACTTCGATTTTATCAATTGAAATGATGAAGTTGCGTGTATTTTTACATCTGAACTTCCACTATCTTGTGAATCCTATCAGAAATATTTATCTGAGTAAAATTTGACTAATATTTTAATATAATCTTAACTTTACATGACGTTTATTCAGGCCTGATGTGATTCTAAAATATTTTCTCTGTAAGTCGACTTTTAGAATTAATTTTATATTATCATACAAAATGAATATAGATATGAAGTTTATTAAGGTTTGATAAAAAAAAATGTTATATTTCTATTTTTGAAATTATCAGCTTATAACCTGTTTCATTTCTCAAGTAGAAAAAAAACAGAACTTAAATTCAAGCAGAATTTTTTTACCCAGGACGATGTTTCCGGCCTCCGGAAATGAGCGGATTTCTTTGGAACCGGCCAGAAATATACTGGAAACGCACCGGAACGTGTAGGAAAACACCGGATATCATCGGACCCTGGAAGCAGGATTCCGGGGCGGATTTTTCCGGCGGGAACCAACTGGAGCTTGGCGGAATTTGCAGGAAAAATCCGTAGATTTTCCGATCCGGAATACTGCTTCCGTGAAATCGCGGGAACCGGCCGTTTCTCGGGTCGGTTGCTTTGACCTGGGTATCAAATCATGACTATATGTATCAAAATTGTTGTGATATCTCATTATGACAACAATTACATAAAAAGTCCTAGAATATACTAAGACTATATTCTTCTGAATAATGATATCTTTGGAAATAATGTATGGAGATCGCGATTCGTCATAACAAGGTCGCAAGATATAATATCGCGAAAGATAGTGGTTCTCGAATACCGCAAATAATCTACATATCACCGAGTTTTTTTCAAACCGCGACTTTCAGCGGTAACTACATGGTGGTTTCGTTAGAGCATACCGCGGTCATTATCAAAAAACCGCGTCTAACAGTGGTATCTACTTAAATATTTTTCCGTGGGGATAGATTGATTTGTTTTTCGAATTGATTCAAGTACACATTCAAATCGTAAGGCCACTCTAAGTTTCGTCTAGTCGATTCTAAGATTTTTTCAGGCCAAACTGGGATACAATGATTAGTAACTGAAAATTTTTTATTTTATTTTCACCAAATGCAAAAGAGCACAACATCATCCGAGCTTTCGTCTAATTGTGAGTTACAAATGTGTGAAGATAATTTTAGAAAACACTATAAAATACCTGACGAAAATCTAGTTCAGGTTCATGCAGTCTTACGCGTGGTTTTCTTGATAAAATTTCAAATAATACTTCAACATTATTTAGAACGAAATCTATAAAATTGTCGCAAGTTTTAACGACAAGAGTGTCGAATGAAATAGATGGACATCGCTGTTTTGTACTGATTTTGTTCATAAAGAACAAACTACTTATGTCAATTTCATACGTTGCTAGTAGTAGAACTCTGGGAGGATTTTCGATTACGACCTCATTCACATAGTGTTTATGATGAGACAATCAAAAGGTTGAACATATGGCGAATTGTTTCCTCGGTCATGCTAAATCGAACTTATCAAAGTTTCCAATTGAGAGTTGTTTAATTGCACACCATTTCCAGTTTTGTTTGTTATTTTAGTTACGGAGGCCATAACGTGTAAGACAGTCAAGATAGTATTGAATCTTGACGGGTTTAATGTGCCAAACAAAATATGCACTGCTGTACTTGTTATTCATTTAATTTTGTATTGAATGTATGTGTGCTTCGGGCAGAGAAAAAAGAGAAGAATCAGGTAAAGTGAATCAACACAAGTGATTACTTCAACGCTACTACGTTTGAGAAACAAAAAAAGAAAGAACGAATGTCACTTTACGACAAAAAAAACATACCATAGTGCTGCAAAGTTTTGAAAACATCAATGTTCATATGGTAGTAATTATGATCATAAGCTTTAAAAGACGAGTGTGATTCATAATGAACTGTTAATTCAAGTATATTTGAACATTTTCATTGATGACTTCAATAGTAGAATAGAACGTTTCCAGGGATAGAAACAAAAAAGTTTGAGTCATCAGGCGATTTACACTGATATTTAAGAAGCTCTGTACTAATATTCAGTTCACCGATAAACGAACAATTAACTGTTTTGGCGGTGTACAGTGACTTGAACACGCGAAATTTTTAATAGAAATATTTTGATTTAATCAACCATAAATACATAGTTTCAGTCATGAGGAAAAATACTGTCTATCTTTGTCTACAATCCAGGCTCATTTTTATTAGAAAAAAACAATGACAAACCAGTTCACTTCTTGATTGGCAGTAACAAATACTTGATGGTCTTATTGACGATAGTTTATAGACTCAGTATCATTTTATTAGGCACAAGTACTTCAAATAATTATAACTGCTAAAGATGGATTGCAAGTGCCAAAAGATTAATTGAATTTAAATTGAGAGTTTCAGTATTATAACGACAGATTGTTTTGCTGAATACATCTAGTAATAAATTCAAGCAACGATCTCAGCACAATGTTGATACCATTAACTACTCTTATAGAAGAAGTGCTGCTTTTGACATGAATTTTCAGAAGTAATTCTAATCGAAAAACTCATGAATAATTGTCATCTACAGACTTTATTTAAGGTTTCTAATAATAAAGCTGATTTTTAAAATAGGTATTGATCATATGTTCTGTTAAAGATTCATTACGGTAATCGTAAGAATCGTACCTTAAACTTTGAAGTAAACATATAGTAATGGGATTCAGATCGCATATGGAATTAGTTTTTTAATAGAAAACATTTCTTTGCAAAACGTAGGTATTCTTATCAAGCCTTCGGATATTCAGACTGTACTAAATAATGTGTGATCTCTTTCATGGAAGCTAAAATCTGACTCGTTTATTCTGTTTCAATGGTTGAATCTTCTATAGACTATAATCTGCTTAGCCTAGAATGATGAATTTTTCAAAAAAAAAAATGTCGCGAAAAATCGTAATCTTGCATATTATTTCACATATAACATTCACTGTAAATATTTCAAAGATGGCGATCATGCTGAGGGCAATTGTGTCCCTATTACTTTTTTGTTGAATAGGGAAAAAATGATGTTAAGCCAATACAGTGAAGTAATAGAAATTTTTAAGCAGATTATGCATTGACCACGTTCGTTTCGGTGAATAAGAGTTCTAATAATACTACTGAATTTTTATTATGAAAGCATTCAAGACTATTGAGTCCATAATAAGTTTTGCTCTAGTGATCGCGATTTATCTTAATATAATCAAGTGATCAATGTAAAATAATGATTATATTAATAGAGACTGTGAATAGCAGCATTCATTAGTTATTACTAGTATTTATAGAAAAAAAGTGTTTACTTTTTGAATTTAAATGAAAAGTTTCAAGAGAAAATATAGTTCAGAGTAAAATACATTTTTCCTTTTTGTGTCCTCTTTTTCCACCTTGTGGGGGATTAACGTGTGGATTAGGGTTAACTGGCCGTGCTGGTCGTGTTGGTTTATATCCTCCTGTAGGGTCTCGGTGATGACGACCACCTGGTTTATTGGCTGCTTTATTTATCTGTCGAACAAGATCATAGAAGATCTAAAAAAAATATACGCAAACAACATTATCGGAAAATAAAACTTAATTTTTGGTTCCATTACTTCATTAACATTTAGTTGATGTTTAGCTGATGCCTCAAGAAACGTGCATTTCCATCTTCTTGCTAATTCTTGTCCAACTTGCCGTTGAACAACGCGTTCTTCGTCTAAGTCATTCTTATTTCCAACAAGAACCAATGGTGGTGGACCCTAGAAAAAAAAAGCAAATCTGAAATCAATGCAATCACTCTTTTGTATTTTAACTATACATGGAGTTCAATGTCTTTTATTTGTACGATTCGATTATAGAACTCATCTAAATCATTGAATGTTGCTTGAGATGTTATTGAATAGACAAGAACAAATCCATGACTGTTTTTTACATATAAGTCTCTCATCGCTGAAAAATCTTCCTAAAAAATCAATAAATGCATTTTTTAAATAGATATATGATTCAAATTGCGTTTTTTACTGTTCCAGCAGTATCAAGAATTTCTAATGAATATTGTCTTCCGTCAATTTCAACAGTCTAGATTCAATTCAGAAATATAGGATAACATCAAGACAAAAAAATCAAAATAATACTTTTTTATAAACATCTTCGATAGTTGGATCATATTTTGACATGAAAATACCTTGAACAAATTGCATAGTCTAGCAAATAAAAATCCAAGGACAGATTAAAAATTAGCAGCTATTGTATCCTGTTTTCTTACGAGACATGATTTACCAACACCACCGGATCCAAAAACACATAATTTGTACTCGGACATTGTCAAATTTTTTCTTATAGGAATAAACTGTCACTCGAATATAAATGTTGCTCTGTTTGACGAATTCACGAAAAAAAAATAATTTTCTTCCTTTTTTCTCTCCCGTTAACAACGCCCTGCCTTCTGTTTTAATGTATGCGCTTTACGATGTTGATTGTGCTTCTATGTTACTTTGTAAAAAAATATACTTTATCGTTCTGATGACAAGAATATTCTTGGCAGACATAATTGAATGTGTACGAAAAGAAAAAGGGAAAGAGAAAAATGAGATTTCAATACGGATGATTCATTATTATTGGGAAGAAATATTCGTGAATCAGTGCATGTTCTTTGTTTGAAAATCATGTCTCTATTTAGAGTTCCGTCATACTAATTATAGCGAATTTCGTCGAACAGTTGATTCACCTCTAGTCAAACTCTCAATGAAAAACAGAAAACCTAGTAAAATAGGTTACTTTTTTTACTTTCACTTTGTGTGAGACATGAATTGAAAAACTCTACTGATTATTACATAAACACAATACAAAGTCATTGGTAGATTTTTTTTATTCATTGATTTGCTCTTATTGTGCAACGAAGAGATGAAAGCTTGATTTATTTGGTTATATGATGCGATACAATTTTTGAGAAATTTACAAGAAAATTATCTTTTATTCGTTTTTAAAATGATGGAATTATTCATTTTCAATCATATGACATGTAACCTGTTTTCCTTTTTAGTATGTATTTGATGGATTTCATATTCATACGAATTATTATAACAAAGCAATTTTATTCTCTCATTGAAATACTTATCATTTTCTCGAGAAATTTTAGTAAAAGTCTTTTTTTGCATAGCTGAAATTAAAATTTACAACTGGCGTTTGAAAAGGTTATAGAATTTTCAACTAAAATTTTAATTATAGTCGAACAACATGAACGTAGACTGCTACCAAGAGTGAAGACCAAAAAAAATTTTAAATTTAAATTTTTATGTTTTTCTTTTTTTTTTTATAAAAGAACACAACAGTCTCTCATATGACCGGTTGATCGATCATCAGGATGTGATGACGAATAATTTTGCACACATCCACTATATTGTTCTGTTTGAGTATTTTCACGTGATGAACTTTGTTTCGATTGTTTTGGTCGTTGACTTTGTCTGCTTATTTGTCGAATTAAATCAAAGAAAATCTATGTAAGCACATAGAAAAATCAATAAAATCTATTTGAAATAACAAATATCTTACTTCGTTAACATTAGTTTCTAACTTAGCTGATGCTTCAAGAAATGTACAACCAAATGAACGAGCCAACGATTCCCCATGATGCCTTCCAACAACTCGTTCATCTTCAAGATCACATTTATTGCCAACCAATACCATTGGTATATTAGTACCTATGTCTTTAACACGCATTATTTGATCTTTCAAATCAAGGAGATCATTAAATGTTGCTTGTGATGTTATTGAATAAACAAGAACAAAGCCTTGACCATTTTTCATATATAAATCTCTCATTGCTGTAAATTGTTCCTAAAAATAAATAAAAATACAGGTTGTTATCCTATGGAAATATTTTCTTGTATTTACCGTGCCAGCTGTATCAAGGATTTCAAGCATACAGTCAACCCCATCAATTTCTATTTGCTATAAACGAAAACATCAATATATTTTTTATTTATATTGCATACTTAAAGAAATTAATGCTTACTTTACGATAGCAGTCTTCTATTGTTGGATCATATTTACCAATAAATTTACCTTCAACAAATTGTACAGTTAATGCACTTTTGCCAACACCACCGCTTCCCAATATGACTAACTTATATTCTCCCATAATCTAAAATGGTAAATTGTATAGTTGATATCACGTGAGTAAGGATACGAAAAAAATTAGCTCGATCTTGATTGAATACTGAGCAGCACTTCCAACACGATAGTAAGGCATGTCAATGACAGATAGAAAATGAGAAGAACGAGAAAAAGTAAAATTTCTTCTCCAAACTTACTTGCTTGTGAATACATTTAATCGACAAAAAAACAACCGAATAATATGCATATGTATCAATACAGAATCTTCCCTGAAGTGAAAAAACGTCAAGTTCAGCTTTAGTCATTCATTTGTATGTTCTTTTTCTTTCTTTCTACAAAGGTGGTCTGCTTTAGTAAAACCTAGGGAAAAAGAAACACCACGATAATGACACATTATTATATACGAAAATGTCAAAATATATTTTTTTGTTATTCTTTGCATAAAAGTAATTTATATTATTAGTTGTGTGAATGAAAACAAATGATTTTATATACGAGATTAAATCAAGTTGATTACCAAATGTTGACAGGTTTATATAAAGGAAGTAATCAAGCATCTATACTGGTGACAGTAGGATATTGGTTAAAATTTCTAGCAGCAGAAACTGATTCAAAATACATTCCGTAATCTCATGAAAACAAAATCAATAGTACATCATCATTCATGATTAAAACTTAACGATGCTTACGGCCTATTCAGAACATATATGACTATGAATATGAAATGAAAACAAAACCTAGTATTTGTACGCTATCCTATTTAATTAATCATATAAACTAATATATATATATATATATATAGAGAGAGAGAGAGAGAGAGAAAGATTGTTTTTTTTATATGGTATTATTCCGTATCCCAGTAAAATAATGATAAAGAGAATATTGACGCCTTTCAAGCTGTAAAATTATTTAATTTCAAGCTTTTATCTCTGTTTTTTTATAAAATGGAGCTTTAAATCTTCAAGGATCACGACAAAACATGATTTATATCCCCACCTGCGTCCTTAAAAATATGCATGGCTCACTCATGTGGAACACGGGTTTATTTTTTTCTTGTCCTTGATACATATTGTTGGTGTATATTACTCGTTGTACAGCCACATCTATTTCATATTCAGCGGAAAGAAAAAAAGACAGAAATAATCGGACGACTGTAAGACGACTGAAAACATATCAACATGGGTGGCATATTGAGTGAGTATTTAACATGATGCCGATGAAATTTTATTCAATGTTCAATTTCTCTAGATCTTCTCAGTCGTCTGTCCAATGACGATAGTTTGGTTGGTAGAGTTGTTTTAATTCATGGTCGCCCGTACGCATTTCAACGACGTTTAGGCTCTGGCGGTTTCGGTAAGATAAATATAATTTGTTAATAATAAGAACGAAAGATTATCTTTTTTTATTTTTATTTCCAAATTTTAGGTTCTGTTTATGCAGCAAGAGCTTCACACGGTATGCCAGTAGCTGTGAAAGTGATTCATTTAACTAATTTACCTCCTGATCGTACTCGAAACCTTGTTCAAGTTTATCTAAATGAAGTTCAGAATCTTGAACGATTACGACAAGAGTCACGTCACGTTGTTGTCATTCATGATTTTGATTTTGATGCTGCATCCGGAACTGGTAAGTCGCAAAGTGTTTTCAATTCAAAACAAAATATTTTTCTTTTATTTTTCTGCAGCCTATATTGTTATGGAATTAGGTGGAGAAACTTTATCGACATTAATCAAACGACTACGTGGTATGACGAGAGGTCAGGGTCCATCAATAGACCTCATGATGATCAAAGCATTTTGGAATCAAATGGTTAATATTGTTGGTACATTACATGCAAATAGAATTGTTCATATGGATTTAAAACCGGATAATTTAATTTTATTTGGACCAACACTTAAAATAGCTGATTTAGGTATATCAAAAAAAAGTGAAGCATTAGGGTAAAAAGGAATTTTTATTTCTTCAATTCAAAAATTATGCTGAATTTCGTTTTTTGAAAATAGTCAAGCCCGAATGGGTACTCCATTCTTTAGGTAAGTCGTAACTAATTACTGGAGATATTTATGTCTGAATTTCTATTAAAAGTGCACCGGAAATAATGCAAGATATTCCTGGTTTGCAACGATCTTATGGACCAAAAGCAGACATTTGGTCATTGGGTGCTATTCTTTATTTTATGGTTTATGGTGTACCGCCAATGTATCATCAATTTGCAGCAAATCCTCCGCGTGGACTACCTACTTTTCCAGATCCTGCTCTTAATGATCTACTTCGTCGTACCTTAGTACTTAGTCCTCATACACGAGCTGATATACAGACAATTAGAAATCATCCGTTCAGTCAATCATAAGGAAACAATTTTCAAATGTTTGCTTTTTTTTATTCTTATTTGACAAGAAAGTAATCGATGGTATAGAAAATGCAATAGCTAAAAAGAATAATAAATGCTATTATCGTTTTGAAAATAAAAACTATCCTACTATGATAGTAAAAGTTGCTGTCGATACAAGAATAGATTTTAATAGAATCTTTTTTTGTCTTGCGTTAGTATAGCATTCAACAATTTGATTTGAAAAACAGAACACAAAATATCACTATCAAAAGAATGATTGTAATCAATGCTTCTCCTTTTCAATGAATGTCTAGTTCTCTTAGTATCGCTAAAATATTTTGAAATTCTGAAAAACTTCAAAACTCGTAGCTTAAGAACAATACACTGGCATGTTATTTATCAAAGTTTCTACACGTTCATTCGATACAAATGATGAGTAAAATATATTCGTAAAAACTGAATATAAAACAAAGTAAATTGATATCAGACCGTATAAGAGATTGTTCGGTAAAATACCAATAGGACTATTTTTCTAAAATATTACTTCATCACTAAAGCGTATTAATTATTAATGAAGTATTTATTGTTTTAAATCAAAACATATTGTATGAATTGTAATGAAAATACTAATTCATGGTACTGAAAATAAAAACAAGCTTTACACATGTAACTATAAAAGAAAAGAACCTATTTAAATTATTTAGAATAGCCTGGACGACATTCTAGTAAGATTGATTTCTTGTTCAAAATCAATATTTAATGCAACGCGTAGGATTTGTATGGAACGTTGCCCACAAGTGTATAGCACATCATACTAAAAATATAAACATTACATGTCATGTTTGCAAAACTTATGTTTCTTAGGAATTATTGTAAAAATGAGCTCACTAGATGTGCTCATTTTTCAAAAAAATACTTTGAACTATGGATATTATATTAGCTACAATTCTTTGAGAGAATACGATGCTACTTTTAAGAAATGGTTCTTTTTTATTTTTGAGTATATAGGAATAATCTATCAATAGATGTTAAGATGATATAAATCAAACATTAAAAAGAGTCGTAATCTACTATAAAATACAAATTACATTAATAAAAAATAGATTTGTGTGCAGTTTTCTTCTATGTTTTGTTTTAAATTGAAAACCTTTCTAATTTGAAATAAAAACTTCAAGTGAAAATTTTTCGTACTTATTCCATCTTTCTACTTTATTTGTACACAATAACACATCCTACTTTGATAATCTCTCACAATGAAATATGAATATTTCTCGGCAAATAAAATTTCGTATAGAAAGAAGTTTAATGAAGTTTTTAACAGATTTATTTTTAATTGAATGCATAATATAAAAAAAGACGACAAAAGAATGTACCAGCATTTTCTACAAAAACAAACCTTCAATATAGTAATATGTATATACTCTGCTTGATATAATTATGATGAATAGAAATAAACATGTATATGTCATGAAGTGTGGGTACAGAAGAAAAAAAAAATAAAACTTAAATGAATGGCCAGCATTCAAAAAATAATAATAGAATGAATTTATTAAACAGCACTATCTTTTTCTCGTTGTAACGTTTCCGTAAGATAAAGTCGTAATTGTTCATCGGATGGTGTTATCAAAGAATCTGCATTTACATATGAAGATGGTACGCTTGTTGAATGTCGAGTTTCTTGTTCAGTCGATGTTAAGAATTTTTTTAATGGAGGTGTTTGCGTTGACGATGATATATTCGTAGTAGGATATAGAGGAGAAAACAAAGATTCATCATTACTAGATATGGAAAGATTTTTCACATCAATTGTTAGTTTTTGACGACGATGATTATGGTTTAGTCGATCCAGAGTTTCGTTTGAATAAGGCAATATTGGTGATGATGATGGCTGATTTGTTGGATGCGAATGGTGATGATGTAGCTCTTGATCTGGAGATATAATAGTCGATGCTGATAAATGAGATTGAACTTGCTGTTGAGCTAGATGCAATTGTTGAATTGAACTCATTTCACGTTTTAAAGAACTTATTTTTGATTTTGTTCGGACAAGTTCTTGTTTCATTGCACGATTTTCTACTTCGAGTCTTTGCTTTTCCTAAATAGAAAAAACAAACAATAATGAATACCAGTGACAAATTTGATATGATAGTGAAGAGAGCTTTACTCTTTCTTTTTATTATCTCAGATCTGTTTGTTTACATCATATGAGTATATAAGTAACAAAATTAATAAGATTATAATTATGATGGAGTAAATTTGACTAATACGACCAATAGATCTATTGATGATTGAGAATGATTTCATAGTGCAAACTACAGATTCAATTCTCAATGATAAAATTTGATGGCAACAAACCATAATCAATATTTGTATACTATTATTTAACCATATTAATATCGAAAACTACTGAATTTGTTCGTATCAGAGATCTTCAGGACCGATATTTAACATTTTTTACCAACTGGTCTATCCGAAAAACGGTTACTGTAATCGGATATAACGTTTATAGTTGACTACACGAATGAAAACAGTATCGGTCGCGAAAATATTCAAATCGATTTATCAATTATTGTAAGCCAATTATACAATAATCATGAGAGATTACCAAAAACAAGTGTTTAGTGATCGAATAAATACATAACATAGAGTCAGCAAACCAAGATTGAGAACTTGATTCGGCGTGTCTCTAGTTCTTATAAGTTTTACCGTTAACTACACTTAATAATAATACTATAGACTATCAATTAAAGAAGATATATACTTTTTCTTCCAGTGATTCGTTTCTCTATGGTGTATGCAAGAAATATGCATTTATTCGAAAGAACATTTGATTTTTTCTTTGAAAAAAAATATTCTTTTGAATATTTTATTGTTTGTATAGAAGCACTTCGAGCAACTAGTTTTTGCCTTACTTCTTCAGCTTGTCTTAATCTTTCAAAAATTTCATATTGATTGGGTTCAGTTTTCGTGGGTAATGATCGTAATGATTCAGTTAATGATAATTTTCTTTGATGCAAATTTTGACTACTACCATAGCTTGGTGTCGTTTTGAATTGGTGTAATGCTGTATCATGTGTATTTGATGGAAAACATGTATCATCATCACTAACATCACCTTCGAGAAATGCACTATCACCATACAACGGCTGTTGAATAGATTTTACATCTAAATTTTGTTGGAGTATAGTTGTTTCTGATGTTGCTGTTGATGAAATTGGCATTGTTGGTGATAATGCTGTTGTTGGCAATTGGCGATTCTTTGCAAAACAACGATCATTCCATTTCTCAAAACTATTCGAACAAATCAATGGTCCACGCGGAATCAATTGTTGAGTGGGTACTGTATTTACTGATGTTGCACTATTCGTTGTCGTAATTGTTGTCAATGAACAAGTTTGTTGTGGAGATGGTGGATGTGTATAATAATAGTCATCATTTGAATCGGATAAAACTTGTTTTCGACCTTTCAATGATGATGGTTTACGTAAATGAAAATAATGATGATGCGTAGATTTATCCAGACTTGGTTGTTGTTGTTGTTGTTGTTGATGATGATGATGATGATGATGATGTTCATCATCCGATGAGCTTGTACAACTTTCTGATGTTGCTGAAGATGTTGAAGAAGAAAAATTCATATCTTCAGTTTGTGTTCCTTTTTGTTTTCGAGTTTTACGTATACGAAATGAACTACGACTTAAACGAGCATCAGTTACTGAACCTTGCTTATTCACAGGATTCGGACGTTTTTGTCGACATTCCATTACAACTTGATCTTTACAGTGACGATGAGCATTAATGCCACAATCTAGATTATTATTATTTTTTTTTGTTTATTTTTATTTGAAAATTGAACAGAAACCAATTGATTTACCTTTACATTTCCAACCTTGTTTAATTAGACCCCAAAGAAGTCCAGTACAATGAACACAAAATGTTGGTTTAAAATAGGTTGTTTCATGAAAATCATGTTTAAATTCACCTTTTAAATCATGATATTTAGCTCGTAGGAAATAACTACGCATCTCTGTTTTTGATATCATTCCATCTCTGAAGAAATTAACATTAACTAAAGCTAAAAATCAAATTCATTTCAATCTTACTGGTCAGCATCAAGTACAGTAAATGTATCAATGAATGGAAAATTCTGTGCAATTTCTTCAAATTCCCTATGAGATATATAGCCATCACGATCATGATCGTATGTTGTAAAAACAGCTTCAACCATAGCATTAACATGACGTTGAATTGTTTGAATATCAATGGTTTGACTAACTCCTGCTGCCCAATCGGCGAATACAGGACTTTGTATTTGTTCTTTTTTCTTATAAACATCAGATGTAGAATCAGCTGCTGATTCACCAGGAGATAGACCTCGAAATGCTTGATCGGGCTAAATATGTAATAAAATAGAATAAAAGAAGTTCAATTATCGATTTGAAGTCACGAAATTGAGATGTCTGATGAATAGTTAATTATTAAATGAATATTTCATGGCTAACTTACACAATGTACATGAGATAGATCATGTCGATAGTCACAAATGTGACTGTTTGGAATCGAGCAAATTTTATAATTTTACCAATGAATGTATACAGAAGACTGATTCAAATTATTGTACTATATATATATATCAAATGTAACGAAAATTACACAACTCTCTAATAAAACTAAAGCTTGGTTCATAGTTACATCTTATAGATTATAGAATTTTCAGAAAAATTTAGCTTGAAGTTATATATACTTTTCTTTCAGATACTGAATAATTCAAAATAGTTTTAGGTCTCCAAAGAACCGTAAGAAAGAGAAATGTTGGTAACACTCACTATCTTACAAAGAGAACATTTTCTTGGTTTGATATTAGGCAAAATGATTTGCTCCTAATTAGTAATGATAGAACATAGAGATATACTCTGACAGGTCTTACTAGTCTCATTCATATCTTCTTATCTACAAAATATTAGTTGCACTGATAAGTCATAATTGGGAATGTTCTTTTGTAAATGATTTTGCAGAAAAGATCATCTTCGATTACTCACAAGGGAATATGCTCACCTGATATCTTTCGTACAAGTTCATGTTTTCCCCATAAGTGAGTCTCCATGGGATTGAATTGTTTTATTAAATTAGACTTACTTTCCGGAGTTATAACCGTTTGACTAGAAATTTTGATCTAGGCTAGTTTTCTTCTTTACAAATAGATTGCTAGTTCTAAGATGACAAATATTATGAAATTATGAATAAAATTTTTCATTGCAATTATTTCATTTGACTCTTTGATGAATTTCTTGACTGAACTTACAATATCAATAGATTCTTCATAGTTCTACAGTGAAAATGTCATAAAAACATATTCTTAAACTGCCTCTAGTAATCTTGAAGAGATCTACGTTGAAAAAACTATGAACTCGAATAGAAGGACTCAGTTGACAATATTCTCTCATTATTACAATCCTCTTAATATAAAACCCTGAAGTTATGACTCAAACAATTTCTGACTGCGAAAAAAAACAACTTGAGCAGTCATTCTATTCCGCAGTGTTGAACATTCCGGAACTAAGTCAAACCTGAACACCGTCCTTACTGGGAATTCCTAGGAATTACAACTGGTATCACTATTCTATCTTCTCATATCAATGTAGTCATAATCCGATTCCGGAATTAGATCAATACGGAATCGGTGGGAATTAGACGGAATTGGTAGGCAGTGATTCCCGGAATTGCGTTGGAAGTGATAAACGGAAGTGCCGGAATTATATGGAATTTGTTCCGTGAGTGTAGCTGACTCCGGAATGTTCAACATTGTGGAATAGGATGTATTCTCAACAACTTAAGAACTCCACAATAATAAATTTTTGTATTTTTTAATTTCAGTGATTCATCTTTCTTACCGATGAAACCGATGTTCGAGGTTCACGTACTAATGAAAGTTCATAAATTTCGTCCTCTGTATAACTCAAATCAACAGAAAGCTAGAAGAGAAAACATTGTTGAATATAATTCTCATATCCAAATGATTTCTTACGGTAAGTAAATTAATCAGATCATGATTAGGTTGAACAGGTGGCACAGAAACTTGTATATTCGTTAATGTTCGGAATACAATACTAAGTTGAACTAATTTTCGAAAATTAATTAAATCATATGCAAGACGATCGTGTAATGCAACATGAAGAGAAATTATATCTTTTAAGTGAACACCACTTAAATAAATACAACTTAATTCTTAGAAAAAGAAAAAGAAAAAAAATTGATTTAACCTACATAATTGGTATTTTGAAACCATCAGATTCTGATAGACTTTTTCTATATTGAGCATAATTTGAATTTGATGAAAGTAAATCGGTCATTTCGCCAAGAAACTAAATGAGAAAATTAGCTGACTAAAAAAATATTCTTTTAAAAGTATACTTTAATATCTTCTGTTGATAAACACATCATTGTTTTTGATAAACGAGCTAATGCACTATGTGATATTCCGCCAATAACTGCTAAACATGTATTAAAATTTTGCAGTTCTCTTAGATACTAAAATAAACAAATTCTAGTGATAAAAAAAATAGTATATCTCTTTTCTAAAGTTTTACTTTTGCAACTTCAAGAAATTTATGAATAATTTCTGCACGTTGTTTTGGCGTCATTTTACTTAAAACCATACATTGTATCCATGTTGATAAACCATTAAAAAATTGTATTGAACGTTCCAGACGTGGATTATCTTGTAAAGTATTTTTAATTGCGTAAGTTTTATAATCAGTAAAATTTATTCTTCGTAAGATTTTCCATTCTAAATAAGTTAATTGAGCTGCTAACGTTTGTGATTCAATATTATTAAAACCGAGTGAAACAATTTTATTTTTTACTTGATTTCGTACGGTCATTTGACGCATCCAATCAAATGATGGTCTTAATGAAAAATAACAGTTCAATAGTTTAAAGAAAATTTGATTCTTTAAATAAAATAGCGAAACAACTACATACATCTGTGATAGATCAACTAAATTCATCGATTCAGTATCACCGGATGATTCAATATGATTTTTCATTTTTTCACAAGCTTCTTTTAAACGTTTATCAAGACCAAAATGCGTAGGAAAATTTTTAATCCAATAACTAAAAATTAACAAGAAATAATTGTTTCAGTTCTTGTGCTTTTTTTTTATGTGAATAAATTTTGATATGAAATTTACCTATAAGCGTGACAAACACGTATTTGATTTTCTTTGAATTGACGTTTTTCATTTGAATTTGTTTCTTTTTTATAATCATCTGCATAATGTTTATATAAATCATAAAGCATATTGCTTAAATATTCCGATTCCATGATCCATTTATGCATAAGAAAAAATACTCGTGGATATTCACTGTCATCAATAACTGTTCCGTTTATTTCTAATACGTTCAATAGTATGAAATCAATAAAAGATAAATACGTATAAATAACTTACGAAAGGAATCTATTAAAATGCGAATCAGTCTATTAAGTGTTGCTCCTTTAACAATGATACCGGATAAAATAGGTCGTTCTTCTTCAATATATTCTGGTGACTTTTCACTACTTTTAGATCTTTCACCTAATTCATCAAGACCAGTATTATTACTTGTTGGCCTGGATTTATCAATAGATAAAATTGAGTCTATTATCATTGCTCGATTGCTCAACGTTGAATTTAGCAATTGAACTTTTTTTCGTACATGATGATGTTCACTCGGTTCGATTTCAAATGTCACCGGACTATCTTCATCTAAATCTTGTATATTTGATATAGCTTGAGAACGTTTAATTGTTGATAATTTATTTGAATCAATATCAATACCAATGGTACGAGATTTTAATCGATGATCAACTATTGATGAACGTGGTATTAATAGAGGAGGAGCTGTCGCTAATGTTGACGATAAAAATTCATCGGATGATAGTGTCACCGTTTGTTGTTGATTACTTGCCGTGCTCATCATTTGTTATTTATCGATATGAGCTTTAAAATAGTAGAAATAAAAATACGCAAATGAAATCTCCCATTCGATAGGTATTTGACAATGTTGAAATTTAAAGTTAATATCTATTATTTGTCTCGTCACAACCATAATAATGACGCACAATATTTTTATATTGTCTTTTGAATTATGACATTCCAAACGGATAAAGACAACAGAAGAAGAAGAAGAAGAAAAAAGAAAAGAAAAAGAAATTACTCGATGTATGTGTCAACGGTATATATCCTACATTCTTATTCTCTTTATGTCATTTATTTAACAAGAAAGAAAGCCACTTTCTCTTAAATTACATTTGACCAACGAAAACAATAAATTAAAAAAAATAAAAAGAAGAATTTCATATTATAAAATCTTTCATGCGCAATATACATATGAATCTATGTAGGTGGAAACTATTTCTTTAATGACACTTACCATGTGTTATTAGTGAAATGCACCGCTACATATCGTAGTGGTGTCGATGAACAATAATGATCAATCATCCCATTGACAGACCAATGATCCATGTTCGAAGTTGTAACACATCGTATTTTCAACATAGTATACCATATATATCTATATATAAAGAAAGGAAAGAAAACTAAATAGAGAAGCGTTAATAATGCCCGGTGATGATGATGATGATGATGATGATGATCTTGGAATGCTCTGTGCGAACATACACGAAAGAAGCAAAAAAAAATAGAAAAGAAAAAAAAAGATTCTTGTTGCAATAAGCAACAACTAGCTCACTGTATGAGTGGGATCTTCGACGCGCTAGCTTGGTTGCTGTCAAAGAACAAATGCAAAAAGAAACGCGCGTCGGATGATCGTCGTAGACCAAAGGGTTGGAATAGCTAAAAATAGTAAATTATACGCGTGCATGCAGCATCGTCTTCTGTTTCTTTCTTAGCCGAGTGCATCTTCCAGAAACGGTTACGTTCTCTAGATTTTTCTAGTTTCGTCAGTAATAATTATTCTTGAACAGAGATTCATGTTTACTCTAGTTAAAATGACAAATAGATAGCAGACATATTTTCAATATGAACAATTGGCAATGATTGAGAAATAACTGTGAGAAATCAAAACGAAAATAAGCTTGTTCAGGTGTTGTATATATCAAGGGTTTTGAATATTTGCATTGATAAAAAGCAGAACGAGACATGTTAAGACATAATTTTTGCAATCGAACATAAAATAAGCAAAGTCAGATATGGTGTGCGACAGTTGCACGTCTAGGCCTCATTCAGATAGATAACTAAATAGAATAAATAAATCAACGAATGACTGACTGAATGGATGAATATGTTCGATGTAGTTTTTGGCACTGTGCTGACCTTGGAATAGATCCTAAATGGGACGATACTTACACAATGTCACTACTAATAATAAGAGCATTGCGATACATTTTCTCTCTCTCTCTCTCTCTCTCTCTCTCTCGTTTATCTAAGGTTTTTTTCTTCTCTATCTTTTAACATGTGCGCAAAAACATTGTAGCTTAGATAGCATACTAGTTAGTCGTCTTGTGGGAGGTTTTTACAATGACGAAAGAGAGGACGCACAATGACAAAAAACAAGCAATGGCAGCTTCGTTCTCTTCTCGCGTTTCCTTTTGCTCTCTCTATCTCTCTCTCTCTCTCGATACTGCAACTACAACAACTGCTCTGCTGCTGCTATTGCCTGTCTATCGTTCCATTATTTCTTTCTCTTTTCCCGCTCTTACGATCCTTACAAGCTTAGTAATGTGTGCATATAAACACACAAAAATAGAAAAGTTTTTCAACTCAACTGAAATTGCTCAACGATGAAAGAACACACACACGCACATATTGCGAACCAATCATACGCACATAGAGCATTGTTGATCTGTGTCGTTGCCCACTTGAACATACAAACAGATGAATGCTCTGAAATGACCCGATATGAGTATATATGTCAACGAGAACGAAAAAAAACTGAGAAAAAACGATGAATATGAAGAAAAAAAACAACAAGAAAAGAGAAAAAACCAACTCGAGTCCACTACCGGAAGCATCTCGCTTCATCATCCTCATTAAAGGAAGTATAGCAAAAATAAAAATAAAAAGCAAAGAAAATAATCGAAGCTAATGCTAATAGAAGATTATATTTATTTGATTAAAATTTTACCTTAACACATATACCTCTACAGATTTAACTGACATTAAACATTGATTGTCTGCTGTTTTTTTTTTCTTCTGATGTCATGCAAACTATTATTTGAATAACAATGACAACACGAGAATGTTATGAACTCTCTAATTTCCGACACCTATGATCTAAAACAAAATAGAACATGAATATATTTAAAGGCAAGAAACAGAATAGTTATATTGTCTATTTTTTTTATAGATGTTAAAAATAATATTTAGCTATAAAAGTTTTAATATTGAATAATATAATTATGACAATTATCACATCTTAAAAGAAATTTTGTGCACTTTTTCACATAAATATCTTCTTATATATATATATATTTGACTAAACTATTAAAAATTACACACATCAACTAGTATGTTATTCTAATAATAATTATTCTTCGAACTTGATAAATCTATTATTTAGGTGCTTCTTGTTGTTGTTTACATAATAAACAAAAAACCGTTTATCTAAGAATGATATAAAATAAATGAATTGATTATAATTGTATTATCAAATGAATGTACAGAGAAAAACAGCAGTTTAGTTAGACTTGAACATTACTGTGTCAATTATCTGTTTTCTTTTTCGACATACTCATGTTTTTTACTAGTTACCTAATACTTGATGATATAATAACAAACTTTCAAAAATTTTCAACTTTGATAAGGTGCAGGCAATCCGTGAGCAAGAATTTACTTCAGCGATATTTTAACATGATTCGATAGAGCTCGTCGGCTTACCCCTAAGCATGTACTATAAAAAATGTTCCGAGCTGAATTTTCTGTCAAAAAAAATTTGACAAACTTTTATATCAAAATAAGGTGTTTTTTCCGTTTATTCATGATGCAGTGGCATGTAATCAGATTTAAAACAGTTGTTGACTTCTGAAAATGTTTTTTTTCAGAAGCAGCTGACAGTGATGGATTCCACGAAATGAAGTCAGAACCCATGGACAAAGTGAACTCGCTGGACAGAGCAGTCTATCATGAAAATGTTTGATAGACTCAAAAGAAGATCGTCTATTGTAGAATTAGCTAAATGAAATATTATAAGATGCTGTCCTAATTGTAATATTCTTGTAGAGAGAAGCAATCTGAGCAAGTTTGATGCAAGCCTTTCGAAAAAATATCCGCCCGTTCTCTAGTTATTGAAACTTTTCCAAGCGTGGTTTGATTCAAAAATCGATATTATTTTCGGCTTTTCTGCATTTGAGCATGTGCTCAAAGAAAAATATTAGAGAACTCTTAATCTTCACAGGAAGATACTTCATGAGCTAGTCGTCATGATGAAGTTTTCAGTTCACTATACAGATTCTATCGTTACATAGAGCCTCTATAAAATCAAACTTTTGACAATAACTACGGTTCTCAGAGGGCTTAGTCCCCGAAGAAACGAAACGTACAGGAGCCATAACAGTACAAATCATTAGTGCAGACATAGTACTGCATATTTATATGAAAATTTACTTGGGTAATCGTAGGGTATCTCCAACAAGGGAGCTGTTATATTACTGAAAATGTCTGTCTCACAATGAGAAACGTATAGAGCGATTAAAAAATTTGCGAGAGACTGCTTTCGACGAAATAATTCCAATGAATTATTGATAGTCATAACATTCTGTATCACGCTGCATGAAAACGCCAGCCGAAAATGGAAAAACATTTTTTCCGAAAAATCCCTGTACTCCTCTTCAGGGTTTATCTGAATAGCATAGATCAAACTTCCATGCCATCCCAGTCAGTTTTCTTAATTCTTTCCATGATTTTTCAATTGTATTTCAATGCAAGATGTCAACAGTTTTAGAGCCCATTTATCATTTCAAAAACTTGTCTCATTTCATGGAGTTTTACCTAATTTTCATGAACAAAATATAGTTCCCATAGAGAACAGATTAATAGCTCGAGAACGGGCGGATATTTTTTCGAAAGGCTTGCATCAAACTTGTTCAGATTGCTTCTCTCTACAAGAATATTACAATTAGGACAGCATCTTATAATATTTCATTTAGCTAATTCTACAATAGGCGATCTTCTTTTGAGTCTATCAAACATTTTCATGATAGACTGCTCTGTCCAGCGAGTTCACTTTGTCCATGGGTTCTGACTTCATTTCGTGGAATCCATCACTGTCAGCTGCTTCTGAAAAAAAACATTTTCAGAAGTCAACAACTGTTTTAAATCTGATTACATACCACTGCATCATGAATAACCGGAAAAAACACCTTATTTTGATATAAAAGTTTGTCAATTTTTTTTGACAGAAAATTCAGTTCGGAACATTTTTTATAGTACATGCTTAGGGGTAAGCCGACGAGCTCTATCGAATCATGTTAAAATATCGCTGAAGTAAATTCTTGCTCAACTTGCGGATTGCCTGCACCTTATTAACGAAGGAAAAATATTTCTTGAAGAATAAATATCATAGTAAAACAGAAAAATTGTGTAAACCATGTAGAACATTCGAAAGTCTATGTTCTATACTTTTCCTGAAATAGATTGAAAGATATTTTTGTAGTAGATAGTCGATCTCTCAATTGATTGTACTCCAAGAAGAATAAGAACTCTTAGATCTATTTCTTAGAGAGAATCTATCGCAATCTCTCTACGACAATGAAGTTAAAGGCGTATTTTATTATTTTGTTTTGGAAAACTATATAAATGCATGTGAAATTTCGCTGTGTACAAAAATATAATGCTCCCAGACATTATCTAATGAATTAATAATAACAGTTCTAGTTTGGTACAAGCAGAGTAGTGAACTCTGACGCATCTGTTGTCGAACGTTATCGAGGCACAGCAGTGGTAGGTTTTCAACCATGGTTA